CCCCAGTGGAATCGGAGACAGTCTCGGTCTTAGGTGTGACGGAGGAGAAGAGCGTGGTCTCAGCGACAGAAGACTTTGCCATGGAGGTGGAGCAGGTGACTTTGACCGTGGATGAGGTGTCACCTCGTATGGAATCCTTGACGTCCTCAGCTGAAGAACGTGTTGTCAGTGAGGCTGTTCCACTGGAGGAGACGGTCTATGATGTGTACGAAACGGAACAGGTTGAAGCTGTAACACGTCCTACCACTGACGCTGTCGCTTCTGGTGTTGTCTCCTCGACTACTCCTTCTCTGTCTGACGTTGTCAGTGTTGAAGAACTTCCTTCTGAGGCGAGTTACTGATATGTGCATACACACAATGCACAGCCTTAGGCTTAGTGGCATGGCAAGTTCTTCCGCTTCAGTCGGTTTTGAAATAACTGGTGAATTTTTCGAGGTTTTATCGTGGAAACTGTCAGATGTTGCGCCTCTTATTGCATGCATGTCCCGTTAGTTAACAAGTTGTCTAGTACGCTCCTTCAGTCTCATCTCCCAACAAACATCATGCATTTGCATTGTATTAGTGTTTGGATAAATGTGTTTCTGAGACTGTTTGTTTCTTCTCTGAATTTTTGTAAGGCGACATTTCACTTGTCATGGATTGTTCACCTGGTAACTTGTGACCTACTCACTTGATCTTAGTGTTTGTGAGAGAATGTATTTGTGACCTACTCCATATGACTGACACTTGTTGGATGTTGTGTTTGAAACGTGTTTGTTTGTGGTATTTTGTAGTATGTTGTTGTTGTTGTGTTTGATGATGATGTTGATGATGATGTAGTGGTTGATGATGTTGATGATGATGATGGTGTTGTGAGTTGGAATGGATTTATTGTTAGTATTATAGGTAACATTTACTGGATTGTTCGATCTGACATTTGGTTTTCCGGTAAATATTAACTCTTTTCCACTTGATCGGTATTGTTAGTTGTCACTTATCAAATGTGATATGGTGGTTGATTTTCTGATTGTGAATCTGATGAGTGGTCTGTTATTGAGTTGTGTGTGATTTCGATATTCAAGTGATGGGAGCATGTGTAGCTGCAAAATCCACCAATAAATAAATGTCGAGATAATCGGTTTTAGATGATGACTGTTTGTGCTTAATAGTGGTGATGTGCATGAATGATAAAGATGTCGACAGGTTAGAACCGTTCCATGTCTGATATTGGTATGTCGTCTTTGTGTTGTTGTGTGTAGATATAGGATTTTTAATGATGAGGAACGAAAGTGTTTAGCGTTGGTGGATTGTCTGTGGAAGACAATATAATTGACTTGCATGTGGTTTTGTTGATGTTGTTCTGTGTGTGAAGAATGACGATTGGCTAAATAGAGGGTATAGATGAGGACACCTTGTCGTGTGTGGAATTGCCTGAAAGAATGACAGGTTTGATTGTATTTCGGTGTTGCATAGTTGGTTGCTGAACCCATTCTCTCATGATGTTGCCTTTAGTATGTGACACTGATAATTGTAATTGTTTGAATCCGGTGAAACTTTTGTATGTGATAGTGCTGCGTTGACGTCGGTTATAAGCGACATCTGTGAAGCTGACTGAATCATGGATGATAAGTGTGGCTCTGAGTTTCTTGTCAAGTGAATGTGTAAGAGGTGATTAGTGAAGTGTGTTGGACAGTGCTTAGTGTTTAAAAGACTTATGTGTAGTACTTTCGCATCCTGTCGCCTCTGATAAGATGTCAGTTTGATCCCACCGCTTGATTTTGTTTCCCCGAATGCTGACACTTGAAACAAACACGTCATATTCATAATGTCGTTCTTTTGTATACCAGCAGGTAACGGAAGCCGGAGACACAGTGACGGCGAAGACCGCCGAGGTCATTGTTCAAGAAGGGAAGGAGTCTGTGTCACAGACCATGGAGTGGGTTTCAGAGGGTGTTGGTGAGTTTGAGGAATCCGACCGTCAGGATAGTGCTCGTGTTGTGGAGCAGCCGAATGAAGTGAGTGTGGCGGTTTCTGAAAAGCCCACTGAAGTGGCGGCACCTGAGGTCTCAGTGAAGGAGGCTGTGGTTGAAAAGACCCCAGTGGAATCGGAGACAGTCCCGGTCTCAATTATTAGCAAAGGAGTGGTAGAGGTGACGGACATGAAGAGCACAGTTGGAGTGACAGAGGAATCTGGTAGTGTGGCGGAGCAAGAGACGTTGGTTGTTGAACAGGTGGCGGAATCCAAGGAGACAGTGACTGTTAAGATGGAGGAGCGGGTTGTACAGGAGGTGGAGAAGGAGTCGGTCCCAGAGACGATGGAGTGGGTTTCAGAGGGTGTTGGTGAGTTGGAGGAATCCGACCGTCAGGATAGTGCTCGTGTTGTGGAGCAGCCGAGCGAAGTAGGTGTTGCAGTTTCCGAAACGCAAGTGGAGGTGGAGACGGTTGAGTTGGTGTCAGTGAAGGAGGCTGTGGTGGACGAGACCCCAGTGGAATCGGAGACAGTCTCGGTCTTAGGTGTGACGGAGGAGAAGAGCGTGGTCTCAGCGACAGAAGACTTTGCCATGGAGGTGGAGCAGGTGACTTTGACCGTGGATGAGGTGTCACCTCGTATGGAATCCTTGACGTCCTCAGCTGAAGAACGTGTTGTCAGTGAGGCTGTTCCACTGGAGGAGACGGTCTATGATGTGTACGAAACGGAACAGGTTGAAGCTGTAACACGTCCTACCACTGACGCTGTCGCTTCTGGTGTTGTCTCCTCGACTACTCCTTCTCTGTCTGACGTTGTCAGTGTTGAAGAACTTCCTTCTGAGGCGAGTTACTGATATGTGCATACACACAATGCACAGCCTTAGGCTTAGTGGCATGGCAAGTTCTTCCGCTTCAGTCGGTTTTGAAATAACTGGTGAATTTTTCGAGGTTTTATCGTGGAAACTGTCAGATGTTGCGCCTCTTATTGCATGCATGTCCCGTTAGTTAACAAGTTGTCTAGTACGCTCCTTCAGTCTCATCTCCCAACAAACATCATGCATTTGCATTGTATTAGTGTTTGGATAAATGTGTTTCTGAGACTGTTTGTTTCTTCTCTGAATTTTTGTAAGGCGACATTTCACTTGTCATGGATTGTTCACCTGGTAACTTGTGACCTACTCACTTGATCTTAGTGTTTGTGAGAGAATGTATTTGTGACCTACTCCATATGACTGACACTTGTTGGATGTTGTGTTTGAAACGTGTTTGTTTGCGGTATTTTGTAGTATGTTGTTGTTGTTGTGTTTGATGATGATGTTGATGATGATGTAGTGGTTGATGATGTTGATGATGATGATGGTGTTGTGAGTTGGAATGGATTTATTGTTAGTATTATAGGTAACATTTACTGGATTGTTCGATCTGACATTTGGTTTTCCGGTAAATATTAACTCTTTTCCACTTGATCGGTATTGTTAGTTGTCACTTATCAAATGTGATATGGTGGTTGATTTTCTGATTGTGAATCTGATGAGTGGTCTGTTATTGAGTTGTGTGTGATTTCGATATTCAAGTGATGGGAGCATGTGTAGCTGCAAAATCCACCAATAAATAAATGTCGAGATAATCGGTTTTAGATGATGACTGTTTGTGCTTAATAGTGGTGATGTGCATGAATGATAAAGATGTCGACAGGTTAGAACCGTTCCATGTCTGATATTGGTATGTCGTCTTTGTGTTGTTGTGTGTAGATATAGGATTTTTAATGATGAGGAACGAAAGTGTTTAGCGTTGGTGGATTGTCTGTGGAAGACAATATAATTGACTTGCATGTGGTTTTGTTGATGTTGTTCTGTGTGTGAAGAATGACGATTGGCTAAATAGAGGGTATAGATGAGGACACCTTGTCGTGTGTGGAATTGCCTGAAAGAATGACAGGTTTGATTGTATTTCGGTGTTGCATAGTTGGTTGCTGAACCCATTCTCTCATGATGTTGCCTTTAGTATGTGACACTGATAATTGTAATTGTTTGAATCCGGTGAAACTTTTGTATGTGATAGTGCTGCGTTGACGTCGGTTATAAGCGACATCTGTGAAGCTGACTGAATCATGGATGATAAGTGTGGCTCTGAGTTTCTTGTCAAGTGAATGTGTAAGAGGTGATTAGTGAAGTGTGTTGGACAGTGCTTAGTGTTTAAAAGACTTATGTGTAGTACTTTCGCATCCTGTCGCCTCTGATAAGATGTCAGTTTGATCCCACCGCTTGATTTTGTTTCCCCGAATGCTGACACTTGAAACAAACACGTCATATTCATAATGTCGTTCTTTTGTATACCAGCAGGTAACGGAAGCCGGAGACACAGTGACGGCGAAGACCGCCGAGGTCATTGTTCAAGAAGGGAAGGAGTCTGTGTCACAGACCATGGAGTGGGTTTCAGAGGGTGTTGGTGAGTTTGAGGAATCCGACCGTCAGGATAGTGCTCGTGTTGTGGAGCAGCCGAATGAAGTGAGTGTGGCGGTTTCTGAAAAGCCCACTGAAGTGGCGGCACCTGAGGTCTCAGTGAAGGAGGCTGTGGTTGAAAAGACCCCAGTGGAATCGGAGACAGTCCCGGTCTCAATTATTAGCAAAGGAGTGGTAGAGGTGACGGACATGAAGAGCACAGTTGGAGTGACAGAGGAATCTGGTAGTGTGGCGGAGCAAGAGACGTTGGTTGTTGAACAGGTGGCGGAATCCAAGGAGACAGTGACTGTTAAGATGGAGGAGCGGGTTGTACAGGAGGTGGAGAAGGAGTCGGTCCCAGAGACGATGGAGTGGGTTTCAGAGGGTGTTGGTGAGTTGGAGGAATCCGACCGTCAGGATAGTGCTCGTGTTGTGGAGCAGCCGAGCGAAGTAGGTGTTGCAGTTTCCGAAACGCAAGTGGAGGTGGAGACGGTTGAGTTGGTGTCAGTGAAGGAGGCTGTGGTGGACGAGACCCCAGTGGAATCGGAGACAGTCTCGGTCTTAGGTGTGACGGAGGAGAAGAGCGTGGTCTCAGCGACAGAAGACTTTGTCATGGAGGTGGAGCAGGTGACTTTGACCGTGGATGAGGTGTCACCTCGTATGGAATCCTTGACGTCCTCAGCTGAAGAACGTGTTGTCAGTGAGGCTGTTCCACTGGAGGAGACGGTCTATGATGTGTACGAAACGGAACAGGTTGAAGCTGTAACACGTCCTACCACTGACGCTGTCGCTTCTGGTGTTGTCTCCTCGACTACTCCTTCTCTGTCTGACGTTGTCAGTGTTGAAGAACTTCCTTCTGAGGCGAGTTACTGATATGTGCATACACACAATGCACAGCCTTAGGCTTAGTGGCATGGCAAGTTCTTCCGCTTCAGTCGGTTTTGAAATAACTGGTGAATTTTTCGAGGTTTTATCGTGGAAACTGTCAGATGTTGCGCCTCTTATTGCATGCATGTCCCGTTAGTTAACAAGTTGTCTAGTACGCTCCTTCAGTCTCATCTCCCAACAAACATCATGCATTTGCATTGTATTAGTGTTTGGATAAATGTGTTTCTGAGACTGTTTGTTTCTTCTCTGAATTTTTGTAAGGCGACATTTCACTTGTCATGGATTGTTCACCTGGTAACTTGTGACCTACTCACTTGATCTTAGTGTTTGTGAGAGAATGTATTTTCTGTCTGCCTTTTGTTATCTTATATTCTCTTTTTTACATTGTATTTTTGGGTTTTTTCTCTGCATGTCCATGTTTTTATTTTTTTTTTCAATTTTTTCTCCGTTAATTGCTTTTTTTCTGCTTCTTATTTTTTGCTGTTTTATCGATTACCTGATTTTGTCTTTTACATGTCATTCTTATGATATCGCTTCGTCATGTTTCCTCATTTTTATTTCCTGTTCTTCTTTATTCCATTTTGTCCCAAATTATTATCCTAACTTCCTATCGGTAATGGAAGTTCGTTTTTTCTTTTGTTGTGTCCTAATATTTTATTATGTAATGTTTTGTCGCTTGAGGAAATACATGTAATTACCATGCAGTCCACTTTTTTTCTATCCAAATCTTTTTGGAATTTTTTTCTTGAAAAAAACTTCGTTTATCTATTTTAACAATTTGAACACCAGTATGATATTATCAATAGTGGTTTTGTTGAGATTTTTACAAGTTTCAATAATTGAAATTATGAGTCAATTGAAGCCAGATTACCATGGAAAACCTGGAAGCACTAGACCGCCGTTTCGTCTTTGTATGAGACTCCTCAGCATTGCATATCCACAATCCCGCCTCCCGCGAGATCTAGTGGTCTAGTGATTAAGCGCTCTTGTGCGAAACTTATAGGCCCTGAGTTCAAATCTCTGGAGGCGGGATCATGTATGCGCACTGCTGAGGAATCCCATCCTTGGACGGAATGGCTGTCCAGTGCTTCCAGGTTTTCCATAGTGGCTTAGCTTCAAATGACTCATCATTTCAACTATTGAAAATACTACGATAGTTCGTTGATTCATATTCTTCCTATTATTGATCAATTGTTACTTCTTATTCTTTTTCTTCTTCTTGTCAATGTATACTAATAACTGTGTTTTCTCTTCTAGTAAACACTATTGTTTGTAATCCATATTGTTTATAAATTTCCATTGAAATATATCAATTCTTATTTTCAAATGATTTCATCTTACAATTATGAACACTCCACGAAATATATCAAAGTATTCATGAATACCTTTAGATAACTTAAAAAAACTATATTGTTTACTATATCGTTTAAGTTGAATAAATGTTCATTGAATGAATCAGCACAATATTTATATCTTATCTTATTACTTTATAAGTTAACATGATTTTGGCAAAATTAAATAAACATGAATAAAACTGAACTTTCTAATTATAAACTAAATATCTTCTCTGTTGTGTGTGTTTTTTAATCAACGTAATACACCCCATTGAAACATTAAATAAGAAAGATTGATTCAGTGAAGAGTTCATATTTCGTCGAATTCATTTTCAATCCTGTACAATCATATATATATACTTATTTTTTAGGATGATGATACTCTTCTTCCTTTAGGTTATCTATTTCCCCCTTCCATCTTTTTCATAAATCTTTTATACCTAATTCGTTTATTTATTTATTTGTGTCCTTTATTCTCCTGATTATATTTTATCATGCTAAACCATTCTTTCCTAGCGATAATTTCCCTATCTATCTTTACAATGAACATTTAAGTCTTTAACAATCATTAGTTTCCTTGATTATTAAAAAAAAGTTTTTTCCATACCTTTGTTTATTCTGCCCCACTGTTACCATGTCTAACAGAAGCTTATTATTATTATTATTATCCCGGAAAATAAGTATATATACTTGTGATTGTACAATCTTGAAAGTGAATCCACCGTAAAGAGAACTTTTCGCTGAACACATCTTGCTTATTTAATGTCTTAATAGTTGTATTCCGTAAACACTACTGGAAAATTTCCCCAAGAAACCATATTAAATACTTAGGCCATTAACAATCAAAGGATTACTAAACGTTCCTTGTTTTATAAAAAGATTTTTTAATACCTTTGTTTATTTTGCCTCACTATCACCATGTCTAACAGAAGTTTATTATTATTATTATTATTATTATTATTATTATTATTATTATTATTATTATTATTGTTATCCTCAGAAATATGTACTTACACTTATGATTGTACAGTCTTGAAAATGAATCCCCCGTAAAGAGAACTCTTCACTGGTTTAATCTTTCTTCTTCTTATTATTATTTTTCTTTAAAATCAATAACTGATCAATTAATATGGATAATAACATAGACTTGTTTGACGTTACAATTTGTTCCTTATCTACAAATTACTTATCTTAATGATAAGCTTGATAAACATTATGCATGAAATAAAATGATGTATTATGTAACACATTCAAATACGATACCGGTTTTACATTTTCTTAAATATATATATATATATATATATCAATGGTGATGGTGATGGTGATTAAATTTGTTGTTTAAGCATGATGAATAAATTATTATGATGTTACGTAACTATTTGGTGTTATTTATTCATGCTTTGTAATATTATATGTTTGTTTATTGGCTGTAATTTAAATGTGAATACTAATTGATTAAAGCAGTATATTATTTGATATGCGAATTACCATTCTAATTATTTATTATTAAAATTTATTTTAAATTTTTAGGTAAAACCTCCAGAATGTTCAAAACCGACTGGTTAGTTATACATTGTAATAAGATTTTTATATATTTTTCGTACATTTTTTTATAATTTGAAGATGCTTTACATTGTAGACTGATAACTATTGGGAATAAGGGAGTATAAGACCGTTGGTTCGATCATGTATATAACTTCAGATGGATCCTTACTCATATTTCCATCAAGGAATAAATCTAAGACTATTAAGTCTCGCTTTGATCTCATTACGTTTTGTTTTCTATAAAAAATATGGCATATTATAAGGATTGATTCATAAAATCTATTTTCATGTTGACCATTTTCATTCATGGAAATTAGATAGATAAGTAATAACTGACTCACTCACTTTCAGATAATCAAATTGATCATGAGGCATTGTCTCTTTTAAACAATCTTCTTCAATAAAGTTTCAGATGAAATTGTTCAAAAACTGGAATTTTATATGAGTAGAGATTATTTTCTTCAATAAATTCTTATTTGGTTTTATAATTTGAACAACAATGATGAGACTGTGATTAAAATTTGTTACCCTCACCATCCACTTTTTTAGGTGTATAGAAGAAACCCATAACCGGGATAATTTCAACTCTATAATTATAAGTATAAATTAATAATTCGAAGGAAAAGTTTAAATGGAGTGGTTCTTTTTTTTAAAGATTAATCCAATTTGTATATATTACTCGTAGTAGAATGACCTCAATTTTAGTTGCCTGGATCTGTACACCTATTTTATTTTAGCATGGAATATCTCAGAAGTGAGTACTCAGAACTTCCTGAACTAATCTAGAACTAAATCACTACACTGCAAGCAATTATGGATTAAATGAAGGTGTTTTTTTTTAGTTTGATCCATGGAGATCTCTCAGTTTTATGCAGTCCAATATTTCTCAATAGAACTTCAGGAAATTATTTTGAAGCGAGTTACTAGTGAGCACATGATGATTATCATCAGAATAAGGGGTTTTTGGAGATTGTAGTAATTTTAATAGTTGAATTCATGATTCGTGACATATGGAGTTCACTCCGTGTCGGCTAGAGACAGGTATCTACTTCAGACAATGGACGAATGGTTGAGCAAGATCATGGATCGATTGAAGTTAGACATAAACCCCGTTGAATGCTGACTCAGTAGTTCAATGGTTGAGTGTTCGCGCGCCAGACCGAAGGTCCTGGGTTCCAGTTGGGCGTGGGGGGTCGTGGATGTGCACTGCTGAGGAGTCCCACACTAGGACGAAATGACCATTCACTGCTTCAAGGTTTTCAATGGTGGTCCAGATTACATCGACCCATGAATTCAACTATTAAAATTACTACAATCTCCACAAACCCCAATTCTAATCAAAATGTATCTGTGTCAAATACTCGTATACCTGTTATATGATTGTTGTTAATCAAATCCTCAAGTACCCTGTATGGACTATGTCTTTTTCAAAGATATTTTATAGTTTATACTAGACGCTTCATAAATCTCTTTTAGGATTTATGAACTTATTTTATACTGGCTAACTGTTGTACTTCATTTTATTCTTTATTTAACCGTGATTCACTGTATAAGCTCCCACTAATTTATGTGCGACCGATGTTTAAACATCTCGTCAATAAATTTCACACTTCTATTTTTTCTTAAGTAATCAGATTATTGTACTTTCAAAACAGATGTTCAGTTAACATCAAACAGAATGAATCAATCTCATCTTCGGCAGATTATCCACTAATATTTTTCTAATTAAAGGATAACAATTAAAAACGATTTTTAATTTCATTTTAGCTCCTTCAACTCCTGTCAATATAAAAATTATTATAATTCCACCAGAAAGTCCATCTTCAAAATCTAAACTTCATATAACTTGGCAACAACCTGATGATATTCCAGTCACTAATTTTTATATAGAATTAAAACCATCAAATTCCAAAACATGGCAAGATGTATCTGCTGATTTCACTATTACTGAACCTGATGCAATTCTGCCAACTGATAACTTGCAAGAATTTGTCAGTTATGAATTTCGTGTTACTGCTGAAAATGAAGCAGGCAAAAGTCATCCGTCAATACCATCGAATTCAATAGAATTAGGTAGGTATGATCACAGGAAAGTAATGATTCCTTTAAACAAATCCGAATTTAGGTGATGTTCAAAATTATTGCAATAAATAAAAATTAAAACTAAAGTTAGAGTCAAAAGTTCAAGATAGAAACTACAATTAGAAGACAGTAAACAAAGTAAAATTCAAGAATATAGAAAAGCATTAGTAGGATGGACAAAGTCCTTACGAGAAACTTGTACTAGTGTGATCATTGCATGTCGCCTACTAGATTGACCTGTAAGAATGATCGGTCAGTAGTAATAGATGATTGATGTTGCATAGATTGAAGCAGCAGTTCATACAGCTGTGCGTTCAGTTGAAGAATGTGATTGTAGGAACTAACTACTGAACGTCCTAGGTTACTTCGTTTTTCCAACTGACTGATTACCAACCAAAGATAAATGGTAGATCATCTGGCAAATATATCAGTGGTCTTTATAACGAACGAGATAATGAGTAGTTTCAGGTGATATTGACGTTTCTAATTTTCAATTGTACATGAATATCGTTAATTTGCACATGATCAAATTCGAATGATGGGCGTTTGGGAGCTGTGATAGTCATTGAGTTTGAGGTTTAGTTATTATTCTGTAATGTAGAAGTGTTTCTGGATGAATGTATCAGTGTGGAATCTACCCATGTCAATGTTTGCTACTCACCGAATCACTGAAAGATGTGGAAAATGATCTCAGAGTATCACACTTTATTGGTATTTTGAAGTGAAGCCATATTTTGATGCGGAATCTGAATGTCATGGGCAGAATATACCACTAGTGATGGATAGTTGAGAGACTCATTTGGATGTGCCTACTACCTTATTTAACAATCCATCTGTGTATTGAATGCATTTAGATTTGTGTAATAGACTACTGGAATGCTACATTCAAGCTTAATACTCACCAAATAGTATCATACGTAATTGATTTCAAGTCATTTCTATATTCGGTTTGTTTATTATTAATGTGATCACATTTCAAAACAAAACCAGTATCACTTTCATAAGTAGTAGCAAGCGCAAAATCTTCTTTTCCATATTCTAATAGAGTTGTTATTCGTTTCATCTAGGTATACCGCTAGAATTCATTCGCCCATTGACGGATATAACTGTCAGCGCAGTGACAAATGAACCAGTCGTACTTGAATGTGAGCTATCTCGAACTCCACGTGACAAGATCCAATGGTTTAAGGATGGAAAATCACTACCCAGCAGACTGTCGAGTAGAATAAAAGTTGAAGAGTTGGAGAATGGAAAAGTTCACCGAATTATCTTCAGTCCATTGACAGAGGAAGATCTAGGTGTTTATTCTGTGAAAGTAGAGAATTTGACAAGTGAAGCACGAGTGGATATGAAGAGTGAGTTATTAATTACTGCTAACAAAGCTCATACGGAGTCTCGATTTTATTATTGTTTATTTTATTTCTCAACTGAAGTTATATTTAACTATTGAAGACCCATTTTTATTTGGTATATTTAAATTTTCTTAACAGAAACAAATTAATTGTCTTCTAGCGTGCCTCCTTTCTCCTTATGTTTGAAATTATTGTAAGTAGTAACGCTAATAATACATGTTGAATATTGGAATGAAAAAAGTTGTTGAATTTTCTATCCACTTACAGTTGCACCAACACTGAAGCTGTCGGAATCATTCTCTGACAAAGTCATCATGAAAGCAGGAGAGGCGGCCGTCTTCGAAATACCATTCGTCGCCAGTCCGAAACCGACAGTGACCTGGTCATGGAGGCCAAGAACGCGTCCTGATGCGGAGTTGGGATCAGCTCAGACTCCACGATTTAAGGCTGACGTGGTGTCCGGACTGACATCACTTCCAGTGAGTAAGGTGAAGCGTGAAGATGCTGGTGAGTATAGTGTGGTCATCAGTAATGAATTGGGCGAGGTGACAGTGAGCATTGAGTTGATTGTATTGGACAAACCATCTGTACCTCGCAATTTAGTTGCGAGTGATAACACTGGTGAGAGTGTTTTGTTAAGTTGGACGGAACCAGAATTCCTCGGTCTTCATCCTGATGTAGGAGTTAGTGATGGATTGAGTTACGTTGTCGAGATGCGTGAGTCAAATCAACGTGCGAGTAGGTCGGTGACAGTGACGAGTGAATTGAATACTCTTATAGACAAATTGCAAGTGAACAAGTCGTATGTGTTTAGTGTTGCAGCTAAAAATGATGTCGGTCAGTCGGAATTCGCTGAAACGAGTCCAGTTTCGACGAAGTTGGAATATGGTAAGTTTGTGTTTGTATTGTATAGTTTTGTTTATGATTGAATTTTCGAGGCTATTGACCTTGTTGGCAAAGCATATTGTTACTCGATAGATCTCAACAAAAGTGCTTGGATAAGGCTTTCAAACGGACAATGCTTGAATTTACCTTTCAACTGATTTTGAAGTTTTTTCAACCGGACACAAGGAAAATGAAATTCCTCGTTCACCTCTGCTCTGAATGTGAACTGAATTGAGTAGCGACAGTTATTGAGTCGACCCAAAATCTCATGGAGGTCCATTGATTTCCGGTTAGGAAGAATGTCAGACGGTTCCTTACAGAGATCTATGTATGAATTTAGAGTTGCTTAAGTCGTTCAACTGTCTATGCTGAGGTACTATAAACACAATGTTGTCGAGCTGAGTATGAGTATGAGACTATTGGAACGTCTGTTTAGCGTTTAGACAGCTCTGGTCTCACCAAAAATCTATTACAAGTTTCATGGTGTACATTCAGCTACTCACATAGATCAATATTCCAACAACACAGGCATGTTGAAAACACGTAGATTTGTTGGTGATTTTATTTAATGTTGTCGATGATGCATAGACTCAATTCGTCTATGTGCATTAAATATTCTAGCACGCGAGCAGTTTGTCACTCTTCACTCTGTTTTGTCTCAATTGTAAGCTTTAGAGTATGATCTGCAAACTGTGGTTGAGTGATTCGATGCAAAAATTTCTTAATTGTAATTAATGCCGGTGTGTTTGTTTCATCCAAAGAATAGTCGCTGAACTCCTTGTCAATAAATTCATATTGTCGATGTCGGAGAGATGAAAAATCTCCAATGCGTTCGGAAACACCTTTCAGTTTGAGCGATTGAGAAGCTTGTGGATGTGTAGACAACCCGATAAAACCCATCTGAAAGCAGGGTATCGGTCAAACACTGTCACTATCTAAGGAGTCTGACTTAATAGTTTGTTGATGACTACAGTGTAGATTTTTCTGTCTCTAGTCCTGTAGGTGAACTTCTGATAACATCGGCTGTATGAATCCATCATGTGGACTAGTTGGAATGTTATTTTACCGTTCTTTGTTCCAGCAGTGCTCTGTGCATCGTGACTGTATAATGGATTATTTCTTAGTTTTAGTTAAGCTATTTGTTCATTGTGGATTGTTTTGACCACCTACTGGAGTATGTTGACTGACATCATTCAACTGTAGGAACGCCGACGAGATTGTGCAGGTACATTTTAATTGTGGTCCTTTGTTTGATCCTATTTGCATTTCTTGAAGCACATGGGAAATGTGATGCGTCACTCATTCAACCTCTGTTTCACGATTCGATTAAGAGTTAGTGAATACTCATAAGAAATAACGGCATTGAACCACGATTTATGTGTTCAACTGAACACAAAATGAGTCGTTGGCTCGACCGAGATCTTACGTATTGTCGATCGTGTTTTAAATGCCTTGTTACAGATATGTGTATAACATTGTCACTGATTATCTAACAGTGTGAGTTACGTTTTGAATGTATTTTGAATGCTTTCTGAAACCACCAGGTCCACCATCGAGTCCAGTCAATGTGAAGGCAGTCGTCAATCCACCGAAGGCGTCTATCAAAGATCAAACGATAGAATTGACGTGGGAACAACCAACCGACCAAGTGTCTGCCAGTGGACCGGTCACAAACTTCTACATCGAATTGAAGCCTGAAGATTCAACTCGATGGCAGGACGTGAGTGCCGACTTCACAATCACCGAACCACACTTCACACTTCCTACTGATAAATTGCAAGAGTTTGTGAGTTATGAGTTCCGTGTAACATCAGAGAATAAAGCTGGCAAGAGTAAACCTTCTTCACCATCGAACGCTGTTCAACTAGGTAAGTGATAACACTTGTTTCACAGTTGTATGCATGTGTGTGCAGGTGTGTGTGCGTCTATCTATATGCAGCGAATTCCAAGTGATTTCGCTTTAATCTATCTATTGACCACGATGAATGTATCCAAATCAGGTGGAATTGAGTTGTGGAGTAGGATGGACTAAGTCCTTACGAGAAACTTGTACTAGTGTGATCATTGCATGTCGCCTACTAGATTGACCTGTAAGAATGATCGGTCAGTAGTAATAAATGATTGATGTTGCATAGATTGAAGCAGCAGTTCATACAGCTGTGCGTTCAGTTGAAGAATGTGATTGTAGGAACTAACTACTGAACGTCCTAGGTTACTTCGTTTTTCCAACTGACTGATTACCAACCAAAGATAAATGGTAGATCATCTGGCAAATATATCAGTGGTCTTTATAACGAACGAGATAATGAGTAGTTTCAGGTGATATTGACGTTACTAATTTTCAATTGTACATGAATATCGTTAATTTGCACATGATCAAATTCGAATGATGGGCGTTTGGGAGCTGTGATAGTCATTGAGTTTGAGGTTTAGTTATTATTCTGTAATGTAGAAGTGTTTCTGGATGAATGTATCAGTGTGGAATCCACCCATGTCAATGTTTGCTACTCACCGAATCACTGAAAGATGTGGAAAATGATCTCAGAGTATCACACTTTATTGGTATTTTGAAGTGAAGCCATATTTTGATGCGGAATCTGAATGTCATGGGCAGAATATACCACTAGTGATGGATAGTTGAGAGACTCATTTGGATGTGCCTACTACCTTATTTAACAATCCATCTGTGTATTGAATGCATTTAGATTTGTGTAATAGACTACTGGAATGCTACATTCAAGCTTAATACTCACCAAATAGTATCATACGTAATTGATTTCAAGTCATTTCTATATTCGGTTTGTTTATTATTAATGTGATCACATTTCAAAACAAAACCAGTATCACTTTCATAAGTAGTAGCAAGCGCAAAATCTTCTTTTCCATATTCTAATAGAGTTGTTATTCGTTTCATCTAGGTATACCGCTAGAATTCATTCGCCCATTGACGGATATAACTGTCAGCGCAGTGACAAATGAACCAGTCGTACTTGAATGTGAGCTATCTCGAACTCCACGTGACAAGATCCAATGGTTTAAGGATGGAAAATCACTACCCAGCAGACTGTCGAGTAGAATAAAAGTTGAAGAGTTGGAGAATGGAAAAGTTCACCGAATTATCTTCAGTCCATTGACAGAGGAAGATCTAGGTGTTTATTCTGTGAAAGTAGAGAATTTGACAAGTGAAGCACGAGTGGATATGAAGAGTGAGTTATTAATTACTGCTAACAAAGCTCATACGGAGTCTCGATTTTATTATTGTTTATTTTATTTCTCAACTGAAGTTATATTTAACTATTGAAGACCCATTTTTATTTGGTATATTTAAATTTTCTTAACAGAAACAAATTAATTGTCTTCTAGCGTGCCTCCTTTCTCCTTATGTTTGAAATTATTGTAAGTAGTAACGCTAATAATACATGTTGAATATTGGAATGAAAAAAGTTGTTGAATTTTCTATCCACTTACAGTTGCACCAACACTGAAGCTGTCGGAATCATTCTCTGACAAAGTCATCATGAAAGCAGGAGAGGCGGCCGTCTTCGAAATACCATTCGTCGCCAGTCCGAAACCGACAGTGACCTGGTCATGGAGGCCAAGAACGCGTCCTGATGCGGAGTTGGGATCAGCTCAGACTCCACGATTTAAGGCTGACGTGGTGTCCGGACTGACATCACTTCCAGTGAGTAAGGTGAAGCGTGAAGATGCTGGTGAGTATAGTGTGGTCATCAGTAATGAATTGGGCGAGGTGACAGTGAGCATTGAGTTGATTGTATTGGACAAACCATCTGTACCTCGCAATTTAGTTGCGAGTGATAACACTGGTGAGAGTGTTTTGTTAAGTTGGACGGAACCAGAATTCCTCGGTCTTCATCCTGATGTAGGAGTTAGTGATGGATTGAGTTACGTTGTCGAGATGCGTGAGTCAAATCAACGTGCGAGTAGGTCGGTGACAGTGACGAGTGAATTGAATACTCTTATAGACAAATTGCAAGTGAACAAGTCGTATGTGTTTAGTGTTGCAGCTAAAAATGATGTCGGTCAGTCGGAATTCGCTGAAACGAGTCCAGTTTCGACGAAGTTGGAATATGGTAAGTTTGTGTTTGTATTGTATAGTTTTGTTTATGATTGAATTTTCGAGGCTATTGACCTTGTTGGCAAAGCATATTGTTACTCGATAGATCTCAACAAAAGTGCTTGGATAAGGCTTTCAAACGGACAATGCTTGAATTTACCTTTCAACTGATTTTGAAGTTTTTTCAACCGGACACAAGGAAAATGAAATTCCTCGTTCACCTCTGCTCTGAATGTGAACTGAATTGAGTAGCGACAGTTATTGAGTCGACCCAAAATCTCATGGAGGTCCATTGATTTCCGGTTAGGAAGAATGTCAGACGGTTCCTTACAGAGATCTATGTATGAATTTAGAGTTGCTTAAGTCGTTCAACTGTCTATGCTGAGGTACTATAAACACAATGTTGTCGAGCTGAGTATGAGTATGAGACTATTGGAACGTCTGTTTAGCGTTTAGACAGCTCTGGTCTCACCAAAAATCTATTACAAGTTTCATGGTGTACATTCAGCTACTCACATAGATCAATATTCCAACAACACAGGCATGTTGAAAACACGTAGATTTGTTGGTGATTTTATTTAATGTTGTCGATGATGCATAGACTCAATTCGTCTATGTGCATTAAATATTCTAGCACGCGAGCAGTTTGTCACTCTTCACTCTGTTTTGTCTCAATTGTAAGCTTTAGAGTATGATCTGCAAACTGTGGTTGAGTGATTCGATGCAAAAATTTCTTAATTGTAATTAATGCCGGTGTGTTTGTTTCATCCAAAGAATAGTCGCTGAACTCCTTGTCAATAAATTCATATTGTCGATGTCGGAGAGATGAAAAATCTCCAATGCGTTCGGAAACACCTTTCAGTTTGAGCGATTGAGAAGCTTGTGGATGTGTAGACAACCCGATAAAACCCATCTGAAAGCAGGGTATCGGTCAAACACTGTCACTATCTAAGGAGTCTGACTTAATAGTTTGTTGATGACTACAGTGTAGATTTTTCTGTCTCTAGTCCTGTAGGTGAACTTCTGATAACATCGGCTGTATGAATCCATCATGTGGACTAGTTGGAATGTTATTTTACCGTTCTTTGTTCCAGCAGTGCTCTGTGCATCGTGACTGTATAATGGATTATTTCTTAGTTTTAGTTAAGCTATTTGTTCATTGTGGATTGTTTTGACCACCTACTGGAGTATGTTGACTGACATCATTCAACTGTAGGAACGCCGACGAGATTGTGCAGGTACATTTTAATTGTGGTCCTTTGTTTGATCCTATTTGCATTTCTTGAAGCACATGGGAAATGTGATGCGTCACTCATTCAACCTCTGTTTCACGATTCGATTAAGAGTTAGTGAATACTCATAAGAAATAACGGCATTGAACCACGATTTATGTGTTCAACTGAACACAAAATGAGTCGTTGGCTCGACCGAGATCTTACGTATTGTCGATCGTGTTTTAAATGCCTTGTTACAGATATGTGTATAACATTGTCACTGATTATCTAACAGTGTGAGTTACGTTTTGAATGTATTTTGAATGCTTTCTGAAACCACCAGGTCCACCATCGAGTCCAGTCAATGTGAAGGCAGTCGTCAATCCACCGAAGGCGTCTATCAAAGATCAAACGATAGAATTGACGTGGGAACAACCAACCGACCAAGTGTCTGCCAGTGGACCGGTCACAAACTTCTACATCGAATTGAAGCCTGAAGATTCAACTCGATGGCAGGACGTGAGTGCCGACTTCACAATCACCGAACCACACTTCACACTTCCTACTGATAAATTGCAAGAGTTTGTGAGTTATGAGTTCCGTGTAACATCAGAGAATAAAGCTGGCAAGAGTAAACCTTCTTCACCATCGAACGCTGTTCAACTAGGTAAGTGATAACACTTGTTTCACAGTTGTATGCATGTGTGTGCAGGTGTGTGTGCGTCTATCTATATGCAGCGAATTCCAAGTGATTTCGCTTTAATCTATCTATTGACCACGATGAATGTATCCAAATCAGGTGGAATTGAGTTGTGGAGTAGGATGGACTAAGTCCTTACGAGAAACTTGTACTAGTGTGATCATTGCATGTCGCCTACTAGATTGACCTGTAAGAATGATCGGTCAGTAGTAATAAATGATTGATGTTGCATAGATTGAAGCAGCAGTTCATACAGCTGTGCGTTCAGTTGAAGAATGTGATTGTAGGAACTAACTACTGAACGTCCTAGGTTACTTCGTTTTTCCAACTGACTGATTACCAACCAAAGATAAATGGTAGATCATCTGGCAAATATATCAGTGGTCTTTATAACGAACGAGATAATGAGTAGTTTCAGGTGATATTGACGTTACTAATTTTCAATTGTACATGAATATCGTTAATTTGCACATGATCAAATTCGAATGATGGGCGTTTGGGAGCTGTGATAGTCATTGAGTTTGAGGTTTAGTTATTATTCTGTAATGTAGAAGTGTTTCTGGATGAATGTATCAGTGTGGAATCCACCCATGTCAATGTTTGCTACTCACCGAATCACTGAAAGATGTGGAAAATGATCTCAGAGTATCACACTTTATTGGTATTTTGAAGTGAAGCCATATTTTGATGCGGAATCTGAATGTCATGGGCAGAATATACCACTAGTGATGGATAGTTGAGAGACTCATTTGGATGTGCCTACTACCTTATTTAACAATCCATCTGTGTATTGAATGCATTTAGATTTGTGTAATAGACTACTGGAATGCTACATTCAAGCTTAATACTCACCAAATAGTATCATACGTAATTGATTTCAAGTCATTTCTATATTCAGTTTGTTTATTATTAATGTGATCACATTTCAAAACAAAACCAGTATCACTTTCATAAGTAGTAGCAAGCGCAAAATCTTCTTTTCCATATTCTAATAGAGTTGTTATTCGTTTCATCTAGGTATACCGCTAGAATTCATTCGCCCATTGACGGATATAACTGTCAGCGCAGTGACAAATGAACCAGTCGTACTTGAATGTGAGCTATCTCGAACTCCACGTGACAAGATCCAATGGTTTAAGGATGGAAAATCACTACCCAGCAGACTGTCGAGTAGAATAAAAGTTGAAGAGTTGGAGAATGGAAAAGTTCACCGAATTATCTTCAGTCCATTGACAGAGGAAGATCTAGGTGTTTATTCTGTGAAAGTAGAGAATTTGACAAGTGAAGCACGAGTGGATATGAAGAGTGAGTTATTAATTACTGCTAACAAAGCTCATACGGAGTCTCGATTTTATTATTGTTTATTTTATTTCTCAACTGAAGTTATATTTAACTATTGAAGACCCATTTTTATTTGGTATATTTAAATTTTCTTAACAGAAACAAATTAATTGTCTTCTAGCGTGCCTCCTTTCTCCTTATGTTTGAAATTATTGTAAGTAGTAACGCTAATAATACATGTTGAATATTGGAATGAAAAAAGTTGTTGAATTTTCTATCCACTTACAGTTGCACCAACACTGAAGCTGTCGGAATCATTCTCTGACAAAGTCATCATGAAAGCAGGAGAGGCGGCCGTCTTCGAAATACCATTCGTCGCCAGTCCGAAACCGACAGTGACCTGGTCATGGAGGCCAAGAACGCGTCCTGATGCGGAGTTGGGATCAGCTCAGACTCCACGATTTAAGGCTGACGTGGTGTCCGGACTGACATCACTTCCAGTGAGTAAGGTGAAGCGTGAAGATGCTGGTGAGTATAGTGTGGTCATCAGTAATGAATTGGGCGAGGTGACAGTGAGCATTGAGTTGATTGTATTGGACAAACCATCTGTACCTCGCAATTTAGTTGCGAGTGATAACACTGGTGAGAGTGTTTTGTTAAGTTGGACGGAACCAGAATTCCTCGGTCTTCATCCTGATGTAGGAGTTAGTGATGGATTGAGTTACGTTGTCGAGATGCGTGAGTCAAATCAACGTGCGAGTAGGTCGGTGACAGTGACGAGTGAATTGAATACTCTTATAGACAAATTGCAAGTGAACAAGTCGTATGTGTTTAGTGTTGCAGCTAAAAATGATGTCGGTCAGTCGGAATTCGCTGAAACGAGTCCAGTTTCGACGAAGTTGGAATATGGTAAGTTTGTGTTTGTATTGTATAGTTTTGTTTATGATTGAATTTTCGAGGCTATTGACCTTGTTGGCAAAGCATATTGTTACTCGATAGATCTCAACAAAAGTGCTTGGATAAGGCTTTCAAACGGACAATGCTTGAATTTACCTTTCAACTGATTTTGAAGTTTTTTCAACCGGACACAAGGAAAATGAAATTCCTCGTTCACCTCTGCTCTGAATGTGAACTGAATTGAGTAGCGACAGTTATTGAGTCGACCCAAAATCTCATGGAGGTCCATTGATTTCCGGTTAGGAAGAATGTCAGACGGTTCCTTACAGAGATCTATGTATGAATTTAGAGTTGCTTAAGTCGTTCAACTGTCTATGCTGAGGTACTATAAACACAATGTTGTCGAGCTGAGTATGAGTATGAGACTATTGGAACGTCTGTTTAGCGTTTAGACAGCTCTGGTCTCACCAAAAATCTATTACAAGTTTCATGGTGTACATTCAGCTACTCACATAGATCAATATTCCAACAACACAGGCATGTTGAAAACACGTAGATTTGTTGGTGATTTTATTTAATGTTGTCGATGATGCATAGACTCAATTCGTCTATGTGCATTAAATATTCTAGCACGCGAGCAGTTTGTCACTCTTCACTCTGTTTTGTCTCAATTGTAAGCTTTAGAGTATGATCTGCAAACTGTGGTTGAGTGATTCGATGCAAAAATTTCTTAATTGTAATTAATGCCGGTGTGTTTGTTTCATCCAAAGAATAGTCGCTGAACTCCTTGTCAATAAATTCATATTGTCGATGTCGGAGAGATGAAAAATCTCCAATGCGTTCGGAAACACCTTTCAGTTTGAGCGATTGAGAAGCTTGTGGATGTGTAGACAACCCGATAAAACCCATCTGAAAGCAGGGTATCGGTCAAACACTGTCACTATCTAAGGAGTCTGACTTAATAGTTTGTTGATGACTACAGTGTAGATTTTTCTGTCTCTAGTCCTGTAGGTGAACTTCTGATAACATCGGCTGTATGAATCCATCATGTGGACTAGTTGGAATGTTATTTTACCGTTCTTTGTTCCAGCAGTGCTCTGTGCATCGTGACTGTATAATGGATTATTTCTTAGTTTTAGTTAAGCTATTTGTTCATTGTGGATTGTTTTGACCACCTACTGGAGTATGTTGACTGACATCATTCAACTGTAGGAACGCCGACGAGATTGTGCAGGTACATTTTAATTGTGGTCCTTTGTTTGATCCTATTTGCATTTCTTGAAGCACATGGGAAATGTGATGCGTCACTCATTCAACCTCTGTTTCACGATTCGATTAAGAGTTAGTGAATACTCATAAGAAATAACGGCATTGAACCACGATTTATGTGTTCAACTGAACACAAAATGAGTCGTTGGCTCGACCGAGATCTTACGTATTGTCGATCGTGTTTTAAATGCCTTGTTACAGATATGTGTATAACATTGTCACTGATTATCTAACAGTGTGAGTTACGTTTTGAATGTATTTTGAATGCTTTCTGAAACCACCAGGTCCACCATCGAGTCCAGTCAATGTGAAGGCAGTCGTCAATCCACCGAAGGCGTCTATCAAAGATCAAACGATAGAATTGACGTGGGAACAACCAACCGACCAAGTGTCTGCCAGTGGACCGGTCACAAACTTCTACATCGAATTGAAGCCTGAAGATTCAACTCGATGGCAGGACGTGAGTGCCGACTTCACAATCACCGAACCACACTTCACACTTCCTACTGATAAATTGCAAGAGTTTGTGAGTTATGAGTTCCGTGTAACATCAGAGAATAAAGCTGGCAAGAGTAAACCTTCTTCACCATCGAACGCTGTTCAACTAGGTAAGTGATAACACTTGTTTCACAGTTGTATGCATGTGTGTGCAGGTGTGTGTGCGTCTATCTATATGCAGCGAATTCCAAGTGATTTCGCTTTAATCTATCTATTGACCACGATGAATGTATCCAAATCAGGTGGAATTGAGTTGTGGAGTAGGATGGACTAAGTCCTTACGAGAAACTTGTACTAGTGTGATCATTGCATGTCGCCTACTAGATTGACCTGTAAGAATGATCGGTCAGTAGTAATAAATGATTGATGTTGCATAGATTGAAGCAGCAGTTCATACAGCTGTGCGTTCAGTTGAAGAATGTGATTGTAGGAACTAACTACTGAACGTCCTAGGTTACTTCGTTTTTCCAACTGACTGATTACCAACCAAAGATAAATGGTAGATCATCTGGCAAATATATCAGTGGTCTTTATAACGAACGAGATAATGAGTAGTTTCAGGTGATATTGACGTTACTAATTTTCAATTGTACATGAATATCGTTAATTTGCACATGATCAAATTCGAATGATGGGCGTTTGGGAGCTGTGATAGTCATTGAGTTTGAGGTTTAGTTATTATTCTGTAATGTAGAAGTGTTTCTGGATGAATGTATCAGTGTGGAATCCACCCATGTCAATGTTTGCTACTCACCGAATCACTGAAAGATGTGGAAAATGATCTCAGAGTATCACACTTTATTGGTATTTTGAAGTGAAGCCATATTTTGATGCGGAATCTGAATGTCATGGGCAGAATATACCACTAGTGATGGATAGTTGAGAGACTCATTTGGATGTGCCTACTACCTTATTTAACAATCCATCTGTGTATTGAATGCATTTAGATTTGTGTAATAGACTACTGGAATGCTACATTCAAGCTTAATACTCACCAAATAGTATCATACGTAATTGATTTCAAGTCATTTCTATATTCGGTTTGTTTATTATTAATGTGATCACATTTCAAAACAAAACCAGTATCACTTTCATAAGTAGTAGCAAGCGCAAAATCTTCTTTTCCATATTCTAATAGAGTTGTTATTCGTTTCATCTAGGTATACCGCTAGAATTCATTCGCCCATTGACGGATATAACTGTCAGCGCAGTGACAAATGAACCAGTCGTACTTGAATGTGAGCTATCTCGAACTCCACGTGACAAGATCCAATGGTTTAAGGATGGAAAATCACTACCCAGCAGACTGTCGAGTAGAATAAAAGTTGAAGAGTTGGAGAATGGAAAAGTTCACCGAATTATCTTCAGTCCATTGACAGAGGAAGATCTAGGTGTTTATTCTGTGAAAGTAGAGAATTTGACAAGTGAAGCACGAGTGGATATGAAGAGTGAGTTATTAATTACTGCTAACAAAGCTCATACGGAGTCTCGATTTTATTATTGTTTATTTTATTTCTCAACTGAAGTTATATTTAACTATTGAAGACCCATTTTTATTTGGTATATTTAAATTTTCTTAACAGAAACAAATTAATTGTCTTCTAGCGTGCCTCCTTTCTCCTTATGTTTGAAATTATTGTAAGTAGTAACGCTAATAATACATGTTGAATATTGGAATGAAAAAAGTTGTTGAATTTTCTATCCACTTACAGTTGCACCAACACTGAAGCTGTCGGAATCATTCTCTGACAAAGTCATCATGAAAGCAGGAGAGGCGGCCGTCTTCGAAATACCATTCGTCGCCAGTCCGAAACCGACAGTGACCTGGTCATGGAGGCCAAGAACGCGTCCTGATGCGGAGTTGGGATCAGCTCAGACTCCACGATTTAAGGCTGACGTGGTGTCCGGACTGACATCACTTCCAGTGAGTAAGGTGAAGCGTGAAGATGCTGGTGAGTATAGTGTGGTCATCAGTAATGAATTGGGCGAGGTGACAGTGAGCATTGAGTTGATTGTATTGGACAAACCATCTGTACCTCGCAATTTAGTTGCGAGTGATAACACTGGTGAGAGTGTTTTGTTAAGTTGGACGGAACCAGAATTCCTCGGTCTTCATCCTGATGTAGGAGTTAGTGATGGATTGAGTTACGTTGTCGAGATGCGTGAGTCAAATCAACGTGCGAGTAGGTCGGTGACAGTGACGAGTGAATTGAATACTCTTATAGACAAATTGCAAGTGAACAAGTCGTATGTGTTTAGTGTTGCAGCTAAAAATGATGTCGGTCAGTCGGAATTCGCTGAAACGAGTCCAGTTTCGACGAAGTTGGAATATGGTAAGTTTGTGTTTGTATTGTATAGTTTTGTTTATGATTGAATTTTCGAGGCTATTGACCTTGTTGGCAAAGCATATTGTTACTCGATAGATCTCAACAAAAGTGCTTGGATAAGGCTTTCAAACGGACAATGCTTGAATTTACCTTTCAACTGATTTTGAAGTTTTTTCAACCGGACACAAGGAAAATGAAATTCCTCGTTCACCTCTGCTCTGAATGTGAACTGAATTGAGTAGCGACAGTTATTGAGTCGACCCAAAATCTCATGGAGGTCCATTGATTTCCGGTTAGGAAGAATGTCAGACGGTTCCTTACAGAGATCTATGTATGAATTTAGAGTTGCTTAAGTCGTTCAACTGTCTATGCTGAGGTACTATAAACACAATGTTGTCGAGCTGAGTATGAGTATGAGACTATTGGAACGTCTGTTTAGCGTTTAGACAGCTCTGGTCTCACCAAAAATCTATTACAAGTTTCATGGTGTACATTCAGCTACTCACATAGATCAATATTCCAACAACACAGGCATGTTGAAAACACGTAGATTTGTTGGTGATTTTATTTAATGTTGTCGATGATGCATAGACTCAATTCGTCTATGTGCATTAAATATTCTAGCACGCGAGCAGTTTGTCACTCTTCACTCTGTTTTGTCTCAATTGTAAGCTTTAGAGTATGATCTGCAAACTGTGGTTGAGTGATTCGATGCAAAAATTTCTTAATTGTAATTAATGCCGGTGTGTTTGTTTCATCCAAAGAATAGTCGCTGAACTCCTTGTCAATAAATTCATATTGTCGATGTCGGAGAGATGAAAAATCTCCAATGCGTTCGGAAACACCTTTCAGTTTGAGCGATTGAGAAGCTTGTGGATGTGTAGACAACCCGATAAAACCCATCTGAAAGCAGGGTATCGGTCAAACACTGTCACTATCTAAGGAGTCTGACTTAATAGTTTGTTGATGACTACAGTGTAGATTTTTCTGTCTCTAGTCCTGTAGGTGAACTTCTGATAACATCGGCTGTATGAATCCATCATGTGGACTAGTTGGAATGTTATTTTACCGTTCTTTGTTCCAGCAGTGCTCTGTGCATCGTGACTGTATAATGGATTATTTCTTAGTTTTAGTTAAGCTATTTGTTCATTGTGGATTGTTTTGACCACCTACTGGAGTATGTTGACTGACATCATTCAACTGTAGGAACGCCGACGAGATTGTGCAGGTACATTTTAATTGTGGTCCTTTGTTTGATCCTATTTGCATTTCTTGAAGCACATGGGAAATGTGATGCGTCACTCATTCAACCTCTGTTTCACGATTCGATTAAGAGTTAGTGAATACTCATAAGAAATAACGGCATTGAACCACGATTTATGTGTTCAACTGAACACAAAATGAGTCGTTGGCTCGACCGAGATCTTACGTATTGTCGATCGTGTTTTAAATGCCTTGTTACAGATATGTGTATAACATTGTCACTGATTATCTAACAGTGTGAGTTACGTTTTGAATGTATTTTGAATGCTTTCTGAAACCACCAGGTCCACCATCGAGTCCAGTCAATGTGAAGGCAGTCGTCAATCCACCGAAGGCGTCTATCAAAGATCAAACGATAGAATTGACGTGGGAACAACCAACCGACCAAGTGTCTGCCAGTGGACCGGTCACAAACTTCTACATCGAATTGAAGCCTGAAGATTCAACTCGATGGCAGGACGTGAGTGCCGACTTCACAATCACCGAACCACACTTCACACTTCCTACTGATAAATTGCAAGAGTTTGTGAGTTATGAGTTCCGTGTAACATCAGAGAATAAAGCTGGCAAGAGTAAACCTTCTTCACCATCGAACGCTGTTCAACTAGGTAAGTGATAACACTTGTTTCACAGTTGTATGCATGTGTGTGCAGGTGTGTGTGCGTCTATCTATATGCAGCGAATTCCAAGTGATTTCGCTTTAATCTATCTATTGACCACGATGAATGTATCCAAATCAGGTGGAATTGAGTTGTGGAGTAGGATGGACTAAGTCCTTACGAGAAACTTGTACTAGTGTGATCATTGCATGTCGCCTACTAGATTGACCTGTAAGAATGATCGGTCAGTAGTAATAAATGATTGATGTTGCATAGATTGAAGCAGCAGTTCATACAGCTGTGCGTTCAGTTGAAGAATGTGATTGTAGGAACTAACTACTGAACGTCCTAGGTTACTTCGTTTTTCCAACTGACTGATTACCAACCAAAGATAAATGGTAGATCATCTGGCAAATATATCAGTGGTCTTTATAACGAACGAGATAATGAGTAGTTTCAGGTGATATTGACGTTACTAATTTTCAATTGTACATGAATATCGTTAATTTGCACATGATCAAATTCGAATGATGGGCGTTTGGGAGCTGTGATAGTCATTGAGTTTGAGGTTTAGTTATTATTCTGTAATGTAGAAGTGTTTCTGGATGAATGTATCAGTGTGGAATCCACCCATGTCAATGTTTGCTACTCACCGAATCACTGAAAGATGTGGAAAATGATCTCAGAGTATCACACTTTATTGGTATTTTGAAGTGAAGCCATATTTTGATGCGGAATCTGAATGTCATGGGCAGAATATACCACTAGTGATGGATAGTTGAGAGACTCATTTGGATGTGCCTACTACCTTATTTAACAATCCATCTGTGTATTGAATGCATTTAGATTTGTGTAATAGACTACTGGAATGCTACATTCAAGCTTAATACTCACCAAATAGTATCATACGTAATTGATTTCAAGTCATTTCTATATTCGGTTTGTTTATTATTAATGTGATCACATTTCAAAACAAAACCAGTATCACTTTCATAAGTAGTAGCAAGCGCAAAATCTTCTTTTCCATATTCTAATAGAGTTGTTATTCGTTTCATCTAGGTATACCGCTAGAATTCATTCGCCCATTGACGGATATAACTGTCAGCGCAGTGACAAATGAACCAGTCGTACTTGAATGTGAGCTATCTCGAACTCCACGTGACAAGATCCAATGGTTTAAGGATGGAAAATCACTACCCAGCAGACTGTCGAGTAGAATAAAAGTTGAAGAGTTGGAGAATGGAAAAGTTCACCGAATTATCTTCAGTCCATTGACAGAGGAAGATCTAGGTGTTTATTCTGTGAAAGTAGAGAATTTGACAAGTGAAGCACGAGTGGATATGAAGAGTGAGTTATTAATTACTGCTAACAAAGCTCATACGGAGTCTCGATTTTATTATTGTTTATTTTATTTCTCAACTGAAGTTATATTTAACTATTGAAGACCCATTTTTATTTGGTATATTTAAATTTTCTTAACAGAAACAAATTAATTGTCTTCTAGCGTGCCTCCTTTCTCCTTATGTTTGAAATTATTGTAAGTAGTAACGCTAATAATACATGTTGAATATTGGAATGAAAAAAGTTGTTGAATTTTCTATCCACTTACAGTTGCACCAACACTGAAGCTGTCGGAATCATTCTCTGACAAAGTCATCATGAAAGCAGGAGAGGCGGCCGTCTTCGAAATACCATTCGTCGCCAGTCCGAAACCGACAGTGACCTGGTCATGGAGGCCAAGAACGCGTCCTGATGCGGAGTTGGGATCAGCTCAGACTCCACGATTTAAGGCTGACGTGGTGTCCGGACTGACATCACTTCCAGTGAGTAAGGTGAAGCGTGAAGATGCTGGTGAGTATAGTGTGGTCATCAGTAATGAATTGGGCGAGGTGACAGTGAGCATTGAGTTGATTGTATTGGACAAACCATCTGTACCTCGCAATTTAGTTGCGAGTGATAACACTGGTGAGAGTGTTTTGTTAAGTTGGACGGAACCAGAATTCCTCGGTCTTCATCCTGATGTAGGAGTTAGTGATGGATTGAGTTACGTTGTCGAGATGCGTGAGTCAAATCAACGTGCGAGTAGGTCGGTGACAGTGACGAGTGAATTGAATACTCTTATAGACAAATTGCAAGTGAACAAGTCGTATGTGTTTAGTGTTGCAGCTAAAAATGATGTCGGTCAGTCGGAATTCGCTGAAACGAGTCCAGTTTCGACGAAGTTGGAATATGGTAAGTTTGTGTTTGTATTGTATAGTTTTGTTTATGATTGAATTTTCGAGGCTATTGACCTTGTTGGCAAAGCATATTGTTACTCGATAGATCTCAACAAAAGTGCTTGGATAAGGCTTTCAAACGGACAATGCTTGAATTTACCTTTCAACTGATTTTGAAGTTTTTTCAACCGGACACAAGGAAAATGAAATTCCTCGTTCACCTCTGCTCTGAATGTGAACTGAATTGAGTAGCGACAGTTATTGAGTCGACCCAAAATCTCATGGAGGTCCATTGATTTCCGGTTAGGAAGAATGTCAGACGGTTCCTTACAGAGATCTATGTATGAATTTAGAGTTGCTTAAGTCGTTCAACTGTCTATGCTGAGGTACTATAAACACAATGTTGTCGAGCTGAGTATGAGTATGAGACTATTGGAACGTCTGTTTAGCGTTTAGACAGCTCTGGTCTCACCAAAAATCTATTACAAGTTTCATGGTGTACATTCAGCTACTCACATAGATCAATATTCCAACAACACAGGCATGTTGAAAACACGTAGATTTGTTGGTGATTTTATTTAATGTTGTCGATGATGCATAGACTCAATTCGTCTATGTGCATTAAATATTCTAGCACGCGAGCAGTTTGTCACTCTTCACTCTGTTTTGTCTCAATTGTAAGCTTTAGAGTATGATCTGCAAACTGTGGTTGAGTGATTCGATGCAAAAATTTCTTAATTGTAATTAATGCCGGTGTGTTTGTTTCATCCAAAGAATAGTCGCTGAACTCCTTGTCAATAAATTCATATTGTCGATGTCGGAGAGATGAAAAATCTCCAATGCGTTCGGAAACACCTTTCAGTTTGAGCGATTGAGAAGCTTGTGGATGTGTAGACAACCCGATAAAACCCATCTGAAAGCAGGGTATCGGTCAAACACTGTCACTATCTAAGGAGTCTGACTTAATAGTTTGTTGATGACTACAGTGTAGATTTTTCTGTCTCTAGTCCTGTAGGTGAACTTCTGATAACATCGGCTGTATGAATCCATCATGTGGACTAGTTGGAATGTTATTTTACCGTTCTTTGTTCCAGCAGTGCTCTGTGCATCGTGACTGTATAATGGATTATTTCTTAGTTTTAGTTAAGCTATTTGTTCATTGTGGATTGTTTTGACCACCTACTGGAGTATGTTGACTGACATCATTCAACTGTAGGAACGCCGACGAGATTGTGCAGGTACATTTTAATTGTGGTCCTTTGTTTGATCCTATTTGCATTTCTTGAAGCACATGGGAAATGTGATGCGTCACTCATTCAACCTCTGTTTCACGATTCGATTAAGAGTTAGTGAATACTCATAAGAAATAACGGCATTGAACCACGATTTATGTGTTCAACTGAACACAAAATGAGTCGTTGGCTCGACCGAGATCTTACGTATTGTCGATCGTGTTTTAAATGCCTTGTTACAGATATGTGTATAACATTGTCACTGATTATCTAACAGTGTGAGTTACGTTTTGAATGTATTTTGAATGCTTTCTGAAACCACCAGGTCCACCATCGAGTCCAGTCAATGTGAAGGCAGTCGTCAATCCACCGAAGGCGTCTATCAAAGATCAAACGATAGAATTGACGTGGGAACAACCAACCGACCAAGTGTCTGCCAGTGGACCGGTCACAAACTTCTACATCGAATTGAAGCCTGAAGATTCAACTCGATGGCAGGACGTGAGTGCCGACTTCACAATCACCGAACCACACTTCACACTTCCTACTGATAAATTGCAAGAGTTTGTGAGTTATGAGTTCCGTGTAACATCAGAGAATAAAGCTGGCAAGAGTAAACCTTCTTCACCATCGAACGCTGTTCAACTAGGTAAGTGATAACACTTGTTTCACAGTTGTATGCATGTGTGTGCAGGTGTGTGTGCGTCTATCTATATGCAGCGAATTCCAAGTGATTTCGCTTTAATCTATCTATTGACCACGATGAATGTATCCAAATCAGGTGGAATTGAGTTGTGGAGTAGGATGGACTAAGTCCTTACGAGAAACTTGTACTAGTGTGATCATTGCATGTCGCCTACTAGATTGACCTGTAAGAATGATCGGTCAGTAGTAATAAATGATTGATGTTGCATAGATTGAAGCAGCAGTTCATACAGCTGTGCGTTCAGTTGAAGAATGTGATTGTAGGAACTAACTACTGAAAGTTTTGCTTTTTTTTATATTTTATTCTTCTTGCAGTCTTTTCTCTGTCTATTTTTGAGTGTATCTGCCTCGGATTTTAAATCTTTCATTATTTGAAATTACGTTTCTTCCCATATATTAATCACAGCATACATCCGTCGCAAGTTGACCGATATTAATTTTGTCAAATTTCTAATTTTTATCCATTGCAAATCAAAGCTGTTTTTTTAAAGTTTATGAATTACGCATTGCCGAGTTTTTGTCTGATCTCAGTAACGAAATGGATAACATTTTGGCTCTTAAAAATTCGTACTATGTTTTATGTGCGTCAAACTTTCATGTTCTATGTGGTACGAAATACTCATCCTAGATTTTACTTCTATCTGCGATTCATTTTCACAGTACACACAATTTATTTGACAAATATTTATTTACGAATTTTTTCAAAATGGAGGTGGACTGATTCAAGCTGAAAATTGTCGATAATTTTAGTAGTTACTTTAATTGATGTCTATGTTTGTTGTGCTAATATATATTTTAGAAAGAGCAACAGAGGTGACTTTAAAAAAAATGACTTTTGTAAATCAAAGCATTATGTCATAATTGGTGTTTTATTAAAATATAATTTTTATTAGCTGATTAACAGTCAAATAAGAAATAAATAATATGAAACTGAAACTCAGGTCCTGAAAATGGATGGATGACATCAAATTGAGAGTGATTGATGTGTCTTTCATCTGATATAAAGTAGTTTCTGATCTCATTGAAATCCTGAACCGATTTAAGTAAAGCAAACAGTGAAAACATGTAAGCACTGGATAGTCGTTTGACCTTAATGTAGGACTCCACGGCAATGTATATACTCAACCCCAGATGCACGAACTCTGAAACTTCCTGCATGCGCGGTCGTGGATGTGCACTGCTTATAAGCCCTATACTAAGGTTAAACGACCGTCTAGTGCTTCCAAGTTTTCAGTGGTTGTTTAACTTAAAAGGGCTCAACAGTCTTCACAACCCTATACTTACAGCTTTTGATCTTTTTATTGCCACCGCCTCAGCAAAACATAGTCTATTCGAAACCTTACATTGTTTGAATATCTTGAAGAATTTTGAAGAGTTTCGATTGTGTCCATTTTCAAGCAGATGATGAGCAATTGTACTGCTGAAAATGTCATATCGTTTCAGCCGAAACGTTATTGGAATATGCTCAGAAGTTCAGACACTAGCCCACCTTTTTTTTTCTTCCAATGCATATATTTTTTGCATTTTCGAGTCATGTTTATTACTACGAGATACTATATAAAGTTTCTGAAGAATAACATCCCGAGCCTCATTCATTTCAGTCACTTAATCGTCTAGTGACTATTCAATGCAAAATATTTAGAGAACTAACTGGAATAAGAATTCTGGGACAACGTTATGCCGCCCACTTCTCTCCATATTAACTTATAATATCAGCTCCTTCCTAAAACATGTGTAAATAACGGAAGCATTGTATTTTGAAAGAAGGAATGCTTCAAGGTAAACTAATAGAATAATTTGTTAAGATTCACAGAGCTTTTTGGATACTATTAAATTATAAAAATTGACAAAAACGTTTGTTCCTATGATTTATTCTAACTTGCATGAAGTGAGCACTTTAATTAGTATAGTTTGCGGAGATCATTTTACAATACAGACAGGAAATAACGGTAATGGCATTGAAAACGAAAGGAAATGAGATATATTTTTACCCGGCCGTCTGTAACCGCGACTTTATATGTTGAAATGTATGTGTAACTATAAATATAACTTAAAAAATAAAAGTTATCCGACAACAATAAATATGTGGGTTACCATGAAATAATTATGAAATAATTTACAGAATATATCTTTGAATAACAGTTAAGAATCGAATATTTCAATGGTTGAGATGATGAATCAATTGAAGCTAGACCACCATGGAAAACCTGAAAGTACTGGATCGCCGTTTCGTGCTATTGTGGGACTCTTCAGCATTGCCTATCTGCGATCCCGAACGCGTGATGAGAACCCAGGACCTATCGGTCTTGAGCGTGAACAATTAACCTCCACAAAACTGAACCAGCCGGCATCCAACGGTGTTAATTTCTAACTTCAACTAAATTGAGCGACACATCCACCGTTGTCATCAGTTACTATCTCACAACGGACCTGGCTGAACTCCATTGATCACTGCTTTTCACTAGAACCTAGGAAATACTTCTTGGATATTTACTGCAGAACCTCAAATACTCTTTCAGCGAATTTCATTTCAAGAGGTATAATATGATACTCATCATTGATTGAAAATGATAAATAATCACAAACATTCTATACCTCTTGATTTCTCTCATTTTTCAGGCGTTCCACTCGAATTTATACGACCACTAACTGACTTGACTGTTGACAAAGTAACCAATGAACCAGTCATCCTTGAGTGTGAACTATCTCGTACTCCTCGTGATAAAGTACAATGGTTGAAGGATGGGAAACCTATTGGTCGTCTACCAGACCGTGTGACAATTGGGGAGTTGGAGAATGGGAAAATCCATCGTGTGAAGTTCACTTCATTAATGGATGATGATTTAGGTGTATATAGTTTACGTGTTGAGAAGTTATCTAGTGAATGTCGACTAGATATGAAAGGTATGTCCATAAATTTCGTGTGAATTTTTTTTATTTTGTTGTGAACTCCTTTATGAGTTACATATTAGTGCTAAAGTAAAAAACTACATTTTCGATCAAAAATTATACCAATCAAATACAAGTCATGTGTGCTATAAATTTTACTCTTATTACTACTTTTATTACACTAGTATTGATTACTGCTTATGGCTAATGATCATATGTCTACACAGTACTCTTACTCGTGCCCAACCTACCAGTCAGGCTGCCTGAAAATTCCAATAAGTTAATCAAACCATATCACACCATTTATTCAAACTCAAAAACTCGCTTAATAATATATGATCGATTTGTTATACTAGAGGCGCTTTCGCATTCAAAGCACCATTCACTCCTATTCGAAAACTCTATCTCTTCAAACCCCTTTCCTAGACTGTCATATTTTTTTTAATCGCATATCCTGAACATAAGGGTACATATTGAGGAAACAGATTTTAATAATTTTCTGCTTTACCTAGAATGATAAATGGAATAAATATCTTCAAAATAACATTTCTCATACTAATATTGAAGTTGATTAGATGACAGTATAATCTTCTAATTGTAGACCATAATACTCAACGTCCCACTTCAAAGAGTTAAAATAAAATTGTTTAATAGATTAACAAAATCCGCTTGCAAAAAATACATGGAGCATAGTTTATTCAAACACATTCACTTGATGAATCATACAGTCGTAAATCTAAAACCTTGAAATCAAATATTGAATGACATGCATTTTGTTAACTAACTGATAGACATATTAATGCTTAAAGTATTTTTTACAACTGGTACATAAGTACTCATTTGCTCTATGTACACTTACAGTACCGCCAACATTGAGATTATCCGATTCGTTCTCCGATCGAGTGATCATCAAGGCTGGAGGTGCCATGGTGTTCGAAATACCATTCACTGCCAGTCCTAAACCAAAAGTCGAATGGACATGGAGACAGCGAAGTCGACCAGATGGTGAATTGGGACCGGTACAAAGTCCACGATTTAAGGCTGACGTGGTGTCGGGATTGACGTCATTGCCTGTGAGTAAGGTGAAGCGTGAGGATGCCGGTGACTACACAGTGGTGATCAGTAACGAGTTGGGTGAAGTGTCTGTGACGATTCAGATGATTGTGATTGACAAGCCATCTGTACCTCGTGATCTGGAGGTGAGTGAGAACAGTGGTGAGAGTGTGTTGTTGAGTTGGAAGGAGCCTGAATTCGTTGGTTTGTCCACAACGACTGCGACGACGCCGACGGATGTGAATGTGAGTGGTGCTGGTGGATTGTTGGAGTATGTGGTTGAGATGCGTGAGTCTAGCCAACGTGCTGGTCGTGGTGTGAGAAAAACGAGTGAATTGAGTGTGAGGATTGACGATCTTCAGATCAACAAGTCGTATGTGTTTAGTGTTGCAGCGAAGAATGATGTTGGTCAATCAGAGTTTGCAGAAACGAAACCAATTTCAACTAAATTAGATTATGGTTAGTATATTTCTATTCAAATTTTTATTGTTCTCCTTAGTTATTTCAAATTGTATGTTCTAGATCATTTACACATCAATATTACGACTACAACTGGTTATGAGTTGGATCACTAAAAATAAAATATTTCTTAATAAATGGTTCATGCTACTTAAGGTTGGTTAATCAAACACATTTTCAGTAGTTGTCATAAGGATAACTGGGAACCATCGTTTTTTTAGAACAAATACACATTTTTTTAAACCAATTGGTTTGATATTTTAGCCTTCGATCACTTCATGACTTAAGTTCGCTAATATCTAATAGCTTATTTGATCACTTTTTTAGCCTACCTGGGTTAATCTTTTGATTCGCTATAAAATTAGTGTAGATGGGAAGTTATGAGAATAAATTAAAATATGCTTGCCAAGTAATAAATGATACTGATTTGGTTGTCTACATCAGGAAAATTTCAAGTGCTTTCTCATTGGATTAACAATATTCCAATAGATCACAACCTCTTATCAACAAACCTGTTACTGACAACAAGCTTATATAGCGTTCCACAAAGTCTTTAGAAATGTATATATATAGTATGTATTTGGTTACGCCACTAACAATAGTAGCACTAGCTGAACTACCGTACGTGCCAAAAATTAATTCTCCACACACATTTCACCCATTTCGATACCAATTATCAGAAAATTATAAAGAATAGCTTCATGAGTTTCCCAATTTCCTTTCCATTCCTCTTCTTGAGATTGTGAATTTATAACTCCTGGTCACCCTACTTCAGAATAAGTTGAGTAGATTCAAATACATGTTTAACTATCATACAGACCTCATTGATCATTAATATTTAAGTGTTGAAGAACTACCTAAAGAACATAGAATAAAAGAATAAACACAGGAAAAAAGTTTAACTCTAATCATTTCCCCATTGAATGCTAATGAGTCAAAGTTATTCACTAAATACTTTTAAACAACTGAAATAAAATATATGTATGACAAACAAGTACCGAATATTATGTTAATAAACTAAAATAAGTCACCGATGTGGATGTAATGTAGAATCGAAAAAGCAGTATCAGGAATCCAGTCAAGTTTCATTCTTCTTATGGCAAACATAAAACTGCGATCTATGTACAAAACAATTTTCACAAAATATGTGAATCTAGAAATAAGGTAGGAAGGATTATTATTGATTTGTATCCATTAGCTTGAATTTAAGCTTACAAAATCTCGATATTTACCAAAACTCATCTTTAAAATACAAGGTCCACCATCGAGTCCAGTCAATGTGAAGGCAGTCGTCAATCCACCGAAGGCCTCCATCAAAGATCAAACGATAGAATTGACGTGGGAACAACCAACCGACCAAGTGTCTGCCAGTGGACCGGTCACAAACTTCTACATCGAATTGAAGCCTGAAGATTCAACTCGATGGCAGGACGTGAGTGCCGACTTCACAATCACTGAACCACACTTCACACTTCCTACTGATAAATTGCAAGAGTTTGTGAGTTATGAGTTCCGTGTAACATCAGAGAATAAAGCTGGCAAGAGTAAACCTTCTTCACCATCAAATGCAATACGATTAGGTGAGTTCTATGTTTGAGTTTGTTGAGTTCTCTTCTTTAGTGTCTTTGTCTCTACCATATAAATAACTTTCCGATACATTATGAACTTCCTGTTTGTAAATTGATAAGCAAGTTGTTCTAACACCTGCTTCAGATCATGCGACATGTCTATTTAATTTCCTGAAAATATTATATTTTATAACATTTCATAATGATCAAGTTGTGTCAATTGAATTGCAGTATGGATACTGGTTTGTGTAACCCAACATGGGATACGTTATTTCAAGATTTTAGGATGCCGGAGACAGTCAATGGAAATCTCTGGATGTAAGTTTCAATAGAATTCGGTCAACCGTAAGGTTTAGACATATATTACATTGGTTACTATTCAGTAATCACTCAACTTTAAGTACATCGGTCCTATAGGACGTCAGTTTATTCCATAGTAGCTAAATGATAACGATTCAAATTTCGACGTTGAACGATGCCTAATCTAATCCCTTAGGGATCGTCAGTTCCTTAAACATTACAGTTTTCCTTTACTGACAAATACTAACTACCACAAAGCTCGCGCCAGATTACGTTTCTTGTCAAATACTACCAAACACGTATAATCTCAGTTAACGTATCAGTAATATTTCAGTTCCACTTAATTTATCATTTATTATCAATAGACAATGAACCTTGATTGTCAAAATGATCTGTCATTCATCTAGATGTAATAAAAAATAACAGTAATGATGATCAACTGTCTGGGATGATTAGAAATCCTTTTACTACTGCATTTGTGAATAGCCTTTGTTCATTATAAACAGAGATATATGATGGCTAACAGTAAAGTACAGGACGCACGTTTCACCGTACTCAGAAAACTTAAGCTGGATGTGCCTACCTGCTCATTCCGGGACCCAAACCCAGTATCTTTCGCTTCAACCGCCATCACGTTATCCATTTGGCAATTGAGTCCGATTAGCTACAAGCACGTGCGATGGGGTAAAGTTTAATTTGTTTTTGTATTGGTTGTTTGAACCTTCCCATAGATGTTTAGTAGTGCAATGGATCAATCTGTTATTGGCATATGTGCATCCTGTTTGGATTGCCTCGATATTCCTTTCAGTCACATATGACGATAAAAGACTGATCAACTGCAATCTTAAACATCTATGGGAAGTAACAAACGTTCAATACAAAAATAAGTTTTTGTCCTTGTTAGATACATTTGTGCAATGTTGCAATATCTACTTTACAAGCTGATATTTCATTAAGCTTTTTATTTACACAGAATGATTCATAAAAAGGTAAGTGTTCCACCTATATGTTAAAAACAAAATATTCAAAAGTTGAAAATTTACTACAGAACTCTACTAATAGTCGTTTTACGCATAAGTTTTATCATGAAATCCTTAAAATTCTGCTTAAATTCAACTCTATTCACTTTTAACGGGATGTTATACAAACAAACTAACGGTGCAACAATGGGATCCCCCGTGTCCCCGACTGTAGCTAACCAGTTTATGGCACATATTGAATCAAATATTTTCATCAACGACATTAAACCACGAATTTTGCTTAGATATGTAGATGATACCTTCGTTGTGATAAAAAAGACTCAGCTAAGACCTTTTCAAAACGAATCAATAAGCTTCAATCGAACATCAAATTTACGAACGAGAATGAAATTGAACATGGTGAGTTGCCATTTTTAGATTGCTAAGTGAAAAGAAATCAAAATGAAATTCTAAATCCATCCATTTGCCGTAAACCTACACACTCTAATCGCTATATTGACTTCAATTCAGCACATCCATTCAGTGCAAAGATCTCGCTAGCCCTAAATCTTTTTAGAAGTACTAACAAGATTATCATATCGGGAGAAGATAAACAAAAAGAACAAAAGAATATAACTAACATCTTACAACTTAATAATTTTCCTATGAAGATTATTAGAAGTATACGAAAACAAGACGTTTAATTGCGTAATAATAATAGTTCGAATGAAATACCATGGATTGGCACTGCAGTTTTTAAATACCGTCATGGCACAACAGAATAACTCAACACAGAATTAAAGTATATTACAAAAGGACGAACACACTTCGAAATACTTTAGATCGCTTAACAGAAAAAAATCCCCTTCATGTCAACACAGAACTGCGTCTACAAATTAAGATGTGTCGATTGTGATGCCTTCTATATTGGAGAATCATCTCGCGAAATCTTGACTCGAACCAAAGAAAATATTAGAAACTCAAAAAAAACACCTAATAATCACATAGAACTGGATAGACCTCAAAGTAAATCACCAATAGCAGTTCACGTTATTTTCAACGACCAGTAAATCGATTTCAAAAATACCAAAATATTACAAGAACGTTTTTCCAATTACAAAGAGAGGAGAGTAGTTGAAGCATTCCATATAATGCTTAATCCGACTGCTCTCAATGGAAAAGAAAGCCTCACTATACATCCGACTCGGACTATCTATCCAAGATACCATATCTGATATTATTCACATTTCACACTATTATCTTACATAAAAATTATACTCTATCCTTTCTTACCATAAAGGTCACATTTTCTTATCCGTGACCTTACACACATACACATACACAAACTCCATACATGTCACTTATGAATCACCTAGACCGATATGACATGATATTGATTTGTTCAGACACAAATCACGAACATTCTATACCTCTTGATTTCTCTCATTTTTCAGGCGTTCCACTCGAATTTATACGACCACTAACTGACTTGACTGTTGACAAAGTAACCAATGAACCAGTCATCCTTGAGTGTGAACTATCTCGTACTCCTCGTGATAAAGTACAATGGTTGAAGGATGGGAAACCTATTGGTCGTCTACCAGACCGTGTGACAATTGGGGAGTTGGAGAATGGGAAAATCCATCGTGTGAAGTTCACTTCATTAATGGATGATGATTTAGGTGTATATAGTTTACGTGTTGAGAAGTTATCTAGTGAATGTCGACTAGATATGAAAGGTATATTTAATGACTTTTAAAAAAATCTGAATATAGTTTGTATCTGTATATGATTCTATTCATTTTTCCTTATTTAGCTTAATTGGCGTTATACTTAAAATGTAAAATTCATAAAATCGTTAGAAGCATTATATTTCACTTAGCCCTCTATATTATTGTTCACATAATTTTAATGCTTGAGATCATGAGTCAGTCGAAGCTAGATCACCATGGAAAACCTAGAAGCACTGGATGACCGTTTCGTCCTATTGTGGGACTCCTCAGCAGTGTGCATCCACGATCACGCCTCACGAGATTCCAACCCAGGACCTATCAGTCTCGAGCGCTAGCGCCTAATCACTAGACCACTGAACCGGCCGGCGTCCAACCTGGTTAAATACCTTGAAATAACAATCAACTTTGTCCATAAATCAGTGTTACTATCAAATGTAGAATTTAAATTGTTTTTTCAGTAGATAATAAACATCTTTACTAATGTGTAAAACTAGAAGCTGCAATGAATTTGGATAAGGTTATCATTTGATTAGTGTAAACAAAGATGTTCCATCATGCAACAAACTGATGTATATCCATCATGTATTCTCGGCTAACCATTTTAACCTTATTTACGTGGTATTCTATAGACTGTATAAATTTCCTTGACTTAATATATATAAACTGTATTTAAGTTCAAATTTCGGTTTATCATATCTTCCAAATCTTTTTTTCCGACAAATTACATTCTAGATTGATGTGTAATGACAATATTGTGTAGTTTTAAGACGACTAAGCACATTTATCATACTATTTCCATTCACTACAAAATGATCCACGCTTACAATAAACTGACTAAAAGGTAGGTCAGATGCTAAAAATCCAATAACCCACAAATTAACCAGTGCCAGAATATTTCATTCGAAATGCTTTCAGTTGTGTCAGTGTGTATTGGTACGGAAGTGAAACCTGTTCCACTAAAGTTTTAGATATGAACGGCTAATGACTCTATACAAATACAATACCAATATTAAAGGCTTTCTTCTCATAAATACCATTTATCATAAAGATAATGATAAACCAAGCTGATGAACCAGCCTCAGCTATTTTCTCTGAACAGTTTATTTCATGATATTTAATTCTCAAGATAATGACGGAATGAAAATAAACACTTTTGTACATATATGTAAGTGAATATTATACGTGATGAAGACACAAAAACGGTTGAACAAAGAACCTGTATTTTCATGGACATAATCTTTTTCTTAATAAACACATATTTTTGTAAATTTACAGTCCCACCAACATTGAGGTTATCCGATTCGTTCTCCGATCGGGTGATCATCAAGGCTGGAGGTGCCATGGTGTTCGAAATACCATTCACTGCCAGTCCTAAACCAAAAGTCGAATGGACATGGAGACAGCGAAGTCGACCAGATGGTGAATTGGGACCGGTACAAAGTCCACGATTTAAGGCTGACATGGTGTCGGGATTGACGTCATTGCCTGTGAGTAAGGTGAAGCGTGAGGATGCCGGTGACTACACAGTGGTGATCAGTAACGAGTTGGGTGAAGTGTCTGTGACAATTCAGATGATTGTGATTGACAAGCCATCTGTACCTCGCGATCTGGAGGTGAGTGAGAACAGTGGTGAGAGTGTGTTGTTGAGTTGGAAGGAGCCTGAATTCGTTGGTTTGTCCACGACGACGACGACGACGGATGTGAATGTGAGTGGTGCTGGTGGATTGTTGGAGTATGTGGTTGAGATGCGTGAGTCTAGCCAACGTGCTGGTCGTGGTGTGAGAAAAACGAGTGAATTGAGTGTGAGGATTGACGATCTTCAGATCAACAAGTCGTATGTGTTTAGTGTTGCAGCGAAGAATGATGTTGGTCAATCAGAGTTTGCAGAAACGAAACCAATTTCAACTAAATTAGATTATGGTGAGTTAGTATATGCATACCATGTCAGTTTGAATTTGACTTTCAGTAACATCTTTTCAATCCAGTAATTATGGTTTTACTGTATTCATAATATTTTTACCTTAAATTCGCATTTCATGTGGTTGCTATTTCATTTAGTCGCTTGTCCAATAATAATCCAGTCTAATTATTTTTATCACTCTGACGAACAACCTAACTCTTAAACCAGTGGTTTTGTTCTCGTAATTTTCTCGATTAATATAATGTTTTGTTATGCATCATTTGTTATGTATCATTAGGTATGGGAAGAAATGTCTTGGAAGCGGGTACAAATGGTAATGAAAGGAAAGGTGTTGGAGGATCCAGAAAACTTTTCAAAAAAGAGCCAAGAAAGGCTCTGAAAACACTTAGAAGCATCTTATCCAATCAGTGTTCACTAGAAGTTTTGCCAGAAACATCTAGAAAGTGAAAAGTCACGTGTCGAGCTTCTGATTAGGTGATTAGTTATGCTGCTACTATGTTTAGTAGCATTCCATAATTTTCCGGAAGCCCAAGGACATCTAAAATACTATAAAAACCCTAGATTTACTGTACATAAACTAACCTTTGGAGTAAAGCGTTTTCTTCCAGATTTGCACCTTTTCTTTCGTGTTCAAGTCGATATGTAGATCTAGCCTGGGGGTTACTAAAAGAGCTTAGGAACCGGATCTAGCGTTCGCTTGGCATTAATTGCACGGCCACTGTGATTCCCCACCACCCATTGATTCGAAATTGTACGGTGTGATAAAAAAATTTAGGGATTGGTGATTGGTGTACTTGTTTTGCAAGTGTTTGCTCAAGTGATAATGAACAAACATTTTGTCACCTTGAATAAGTTTTTAATTATCGGGATGGGTTCTGTGGAGACTTTAGAAAGTTCACTGGTTGAAATCATGAGTCATTTGAAACTAGACAATCACGGGAAACCTGGAAGCACTGGACAGCTGTTTCGTCCTAGTATGGAACTCCTCAGCAGTGTGAACCCACGATCCCGCTCACAGGACTTGAACCCAGGCCTTCAGTCTCACGCGCGAACGCTTAACCTACTGGACCACTGAGTCGGCATCCAGTAGTGTTGATGTCTATGTATTCTAAATAAAATTCAAATGTAAAAATGCAAATTCTCACATCTAATCAAAACACTTGATGCTATTTCGATTTGAACTAATCAGATTACAAAGATTTACAATTTACAGCCAATTAAAAAAATATTACAGCTGACATAATATTTGTTCATTATCACTTGAGCACACACATTCAAAAACAAGTTCATCAATCACCAATTCATAAATTTTTTAATCACACTCTAAAAATTATCATCACTGGGTGGTGGGGAAACACAGCCGCTGTGTAATTAATAGGAAGAAATCGCCATTCAGTGCTTCCAGATTTTCAGTGGTGGTCTAGCTTCAATTAACTTATGATTTCAACTATTGGAATTACTATAATATGCACAACAACCCCCTCTGAAATTAATGCTAACCCAATTTATTGAAGTATGCATTAATTTTCACCTGGCGTTATTTTTATTTGTATCACCCCATTGCACAAGCGAGTGTCTATTAGGGCTCAGTAGCTAAGTGGATAACGCGATAGTGTTTGAAGCCAACGGTACTGGGTTCGAATCCTTGAGTGAACATTAACTCTGAGATGCAGGTTCATCCAGCTGACGAGTCCCAAATAAGATGAAACGCGCGTCCCGGATTTCACTGTTACCCACTATCCATCTTTGCCAAATGTTATTTTGTATTGAAAAATAAATAAAATGTTATTTACAGTTGGTGCCAATCGGCCTGAGCTGAAAATAGTATTTTTTATAGAATTTAAGCTACCTTTTCTGAATATTTTGTGAATACGATAGACAGCACTGAGTAATGACTGACTAACAATATTATCATTTTCAATCCTTTTAATGAATATGATTTCAATATTTTAACTGAAATATGTGTGCTTATATGTGCTGATGTAGTTTTTAAAAGATCGTCATTTTTAAAAACTGTGTAATCGAACTTTTAATTACAATCCCCGAAATGTAGCATTTTCTAACAATCATTAATCTGAGTGTATGAAATGTAAAGTACTAATTTACTTCTTTGCTTCGCCTACTGTTATCAGAAAATCATTCTCTAACTTTCTAAGATTCAGTGTATGAATGACCAAAAAATATATTCGAGTTTCAATGGTTGAGATCATGAATCCATTCAAGCTAGACCACTATGGAAAACCTGAAAGGACTTGATGGCCGTTTCGTCCTAATGTGAGACTTCTCAGTAGTGCGCACCCACGATCCCGCCTAGCGAGACTCGAACCCAAGACCTGGAATTAAATAGAGGAATAAGATAGATTGAACCTAATTATATCTTCAAGTAAAAATATGCATTTGTGTTGAAGATTTTAGTTATTTAATTTATTGCAAAATATATCATAGTAGATAAGTTCGCGTTGTTATAAAGGAGAACATAGGTGAGGACAACTGTTCGTGTTCAAATACAAAATTATTGAATGACTTGATAGAAATGAGATCTATGCAGTGAATACTTCATTTACAAATTTCCATCATTTGTTCTTCACATTCAGTATGATTCTTCCAGTTTCCAATCCCCCCTTATTTTCCCTTCTGTTCCCTTCAACTTGATCTTCTTAGCCTTGTGCTGCCAGGTTGTGCACTTCCGATTAATGTTACATACTACTGATGTCGATAGACATGAGTAGTATACATCACAACGTCTTTTAATAATTATAATCACAATTAACTTCAAACTCTCACAGTAAATTAAAACATTTATCAACTGTACTTTGAACAAACTTAGGAGGTTAAATAGATTGTACGTAATGCAGTTCACCAGCAGCATGTAACCGAACAAAAGTCACAATATTCTCGTCAAGACTAGATCATAACATGATATAAATTGTAATCATTACACATATAATTAATCAATAGGAAACCTGTATTGACTTATGATTACAACCTGTATTAAACTTATTAGCTTTTAGAAGTCCCGACCGTTGTTGCTACCTTGACGTGGTGGTCGGGCTTGCCTATCGTGATGAAGCAACCGAGCTATACTGGCTGGAACAACCGTTCCTCAAGGTCCTACCATGTCAGACAGGTCGGTTGAAGAGCGGTAAGACTAAAAGCAACAAACCCAAGGTCCGAAGGCGAAGTCGTACTGCTGACTGTACAGAGGTGTGACAGCAGTAAGGTGTTTCCTTCAGACAACCAGCATGACAGCGATGCTGCCTTCCCACAAGGAGGGGTGGGGTTAGAAAAGGTCGACCCTAAAAATGCACACCTCACCTTACCTCATAGATTTCCGTCTCCGGCGGTAAGGCCCTTTTGGAGAACGGAGCTAACACGTCAAAAACCTCCCACGAAAAGGCCGTGCGCGACCGGCCTCAAGCAGTTGTCCCTTGGGCATTGCGGACACGCTCTCAGGTCACTGAAACCACTTCTAATCCAATTTCCTTTTCAGGTACTTCCAGAAGAACCCTTCCACGGTGTGGGCAACCGGGAAGTGATAACCGCCCTCATACCTCTAACAGCACGCAAGACCACTGAGCTTTTACAAGTTGATCATAACAAAAATAAATCAATAGAAATTAATTAAATAATAAAATAAAATAAAGTACTCATTTGTGGATATCACAAAATAATTGACTTGAGTTCGACTTCAGTCTGTTTATTGACTCTGTTGTTACAGTTAAATAAACCGAATTCTTGATTGTCTGTAGTACTATGAGAAAAGGTAACAAAATTTGTCCAGTAGTTATCCGTTGACGAATACAGAAGAAATTGATATAATTATTCAAATAAATCTAAGTATGACCACTTGTTATAACAATATGTTTTGTTGTTGAAATGGTAAGTTACAAGCATTCGTTCATTAAAACAATTAAATGAAATCGAATATATGTTGCAAACTTTTAATACAGATAATTAAAGATAACTGATGTCTCTCTCTCTATTTAGGTCCACCATTGAGTCCAGTCAATGTGAAGGCAGTCATCAATCCACCGAAGGCCTCCATCAAAGATCAAACGATAGAATTGACGTGGGAACAACCAACCGACCAAGTGTCTGCCAGTGGACCGGTCACAAACTTCTACATCGAATTGAAGCCTGAAGATTCAACTCGATGGCAGGACGTGAGTGCCGACTTCACAATCACCGAACCACACTTCACACTTCCTACTGATAAATTGCAAGAGTTTGTGAGTTATGAGTTCCGTGTAACATCAGAGAATAAAGCTGGCAAGAGTAAACCTTCTTCACCATCGAACGCTGTTCAACTAGGTAAGTGATAACACTTGTTTCACAGTTGTATGCATGTGTGTGCAGGTGTGTGTGCGTCTATCTATATGCAGCGAATTCCAAGTGATTTCGCTTTAATCTATCTATTGACCACGATGAATGTATCCAAATCAGGTGGAATTGAGTTGTGGAGTAGGATGGACTAAGTCCTTACGAGAAACGTGTACTAGTGTGATCATTGCATGTCGCCTATTAGACTGACCTGTTTTTATAACTTGTGAACCTGTGCGCCCTGTTTATTGTATAACGCAATGATACCGTCAATCAGAGAGCAGCGAACTATCGATTGAACCAGTGACGCATAAAACACTTGCGAGCAGCCTAGAGTCCTGATTAGTCCTGCTTTCCGCCTAGCCCAGCCATTTGAGTCCAGAACACCAATCTCAACCTATGCAATATGAATAGTTTATTTCAAACATACGGGGTTTATATACCAATCAAACCGACCGCAACGTACTATTAAAATAGAAAATAACATTTGTGAAATATTTGGCCAAAAGTGGTTGCGAATGAGGGAGATAGTGATTAACAGACAGGGAATAATTCAAGAATGGTAAAACATATAATAATAGTTCATAGGTCAAACTAAAACTCATAATAAGAGGGACATGAATATGAACAGTTTAGTTATATAAAAATTACACGGTAAAAATATACTCATAGTATTGGTCCATAAATGGATCCCAAAAAATACCATTCATTATTCTTATCGGGATATAACACCTGTAAGAATGATCGGTCAGTAATAATCGATGTTTGATGTTGCATAGACTGAAGCAGCAGGACATGCAGCTGTGCTTTCTGGTTGTAGAAACCAAATACTGAACGTTCTAGGTTACTTCGTTTTTCCAACTGACTGATTACCAACCAAAGATAAATGGTAGATCATCTGGCAAATATATCAGTGGTCTTTATGACGAACGAGATAATGAGTAGTTTCAGGTGTTATTGATTTTTCTAATTTTCAATTGCACATGAATATCGTTAATTTGCACAGAATCAAACTAAAATAATGTACGTTTTTTTAAAACATTTCAATTATCGGTCACAACTAAACTTTAAATTCGGGTTGTTGAGATTGCCTAATTTCATTGAATTCATGAATCGATCAGTGTTAGATCACCATTAAATCTGTGGAAGCGCTAGACGACCTTTTCTTCCTAGCATGTAACTCCTCAGTCGTTTGTATTCACGATCTCTGACGCGGGATTCAAACCCATGACTTTAGGCCTTGCACGTGAAAGTTTCACTTCCAGACCACTGGACAGGCATCCAACTGTTTTAAAGTCTAGCTTAGACCAATCCACGATGTCCTGCAATCATTTTGCATTGACTTGGTTGGGTAACTGCCTCACTCTACAAAGTTGAAATGTATACCAGAACGAAACTGCCTTTCAGGGCTTCCAGGTTTACACTGGTGGTTTAACATTGTCGGTCAAGTTCCTTTTTTTCGCATATCTAAATTTATTAGGTAAGTTGTCGTATATTCTTTATTTTTTTACTAGACCAAATCTTGAGACATACGAAAATGTTTGTTCTCTATACAATATAATCACAGTTCTAGCTAATGATGAGTCCCAGCTATAACTGTATGGATGACTGTGTGAAAAATTTCATTTGATCATTTTTCCGTAACCATCAACTTATGAGCACCGATGTGAAAAGATAATACCAGGTCACGAAATCTTCGCACTGTGATATTCTAATCAACACATTATTGAGAATGTCAGGATGTCTATATCTTATTGTTATTATTATTATTATTGCTTTATCACCATTAATAACACTGAAGGAATTTGTTCTTTGTTTTTAAAGGTATTCCACTAGAATTTGTTCGTCCATTGATTGATGTTACTGTAAATGAGGTTGATGAAAAACCAGTTGTATTGGAATGTGAATTATCTCGTTCACCACGTGATAAGGTACAATGGTTAAAAGATGGTAAATCTCTAAGCCGTTTACCAAACTATGTATCAGTTGAAGAATCAAGTGACAAAAAAATTCACTCTATTAAGTTCCGCTCCTTAACTGATGATGATTTGGGCGTCTATACGATAAAAGTAGAAAAGTTATCAAGTGAGGCGAAACTTTCAATGAAAGGTAAGTTTATTACATCAGTATATATATATATATATATATATATATATATATATATATATATGTATCACTCAGGCAATATTCTTGAAAAATCTGTTCTTCTGTGAATAAACATCAATATGCTTTTCCTTTTATTTCAGTTCCACCAACATTGAGATTATCCGATTCGTTCTCCGATCGGGTGATCATCAAGGCTGGAGGTGCTATGGTGTTCGAAATACCATTCACTGCCAGTCCTAAACCAAAAGTCGAATGGACATGGAGACAGCGAAGTCGACCAGATGGTGAATTGGGACCGGTACAAAGTCCACGATTTAAGGCTGACGTGGTGTCGGGATTGACGTCATTGCCTGTGAGTAAGGTGAAGCGTGAGGATGCCGGTGACTACACAGTGGTGATCAGTAACGAGTTGGGTGAAGTGTCTGTGACGATTCAGATGATTGTGATTGACAAGCCATCTGTACCTCGTGATCTGGAGGTGAGTGAGAACAGTGGTGAGAGTGTGTTGTTGAGTTGGAAGGAGCCTGAATTCGTTGGTTTGTCCACAACGACTGCGACGACGCCGACGGATGTGAATGTGAGTGGTGCTGGTGGATTGTTGGAGTATGTGGTTGAGATGCGTGAGTCTAGTCAACGTGCTGGTCGTGGAGTGAGCAAAACGAGTGAATTGAGTGTGAGGATTGACGATCTTCAGATCAACAAGTCGTATGTGTTTAGTGTTGCAGCGAAGAATGATGTTGGTCAATCAGAGTTTGCAGAAACGAAACCAGTTTCAACTAAATTAGATTATGGTGAGTTAGTATTTGTTTAGCGCGATTTGCAAGATTTGAACTAATTTTACGGGTAATTTACTTTTCAGTAAATACAATTAGCTTAATAATTATAGATGTTTTATAGATATCTGTTTATGTCATCATTACGTTATTTTATTTACCATTCAATTTCTATTTTTTATGTCGTTTATAGTAACTGAAAGAGGATAGTTTTGTATTGGATTAAACAGGATGTTATAGATAAATTTTGATTTTATAATTTTGTTTAGGACCTCCAACTCCTCCATTGAATGTTACTGCATCTGTATCTCCATCATGTGCTGAACCAGAAGATCAAATGATAACAGTGAATTGGTCCGAACCTGAAACAGCAACAGCAACAACATCTACTGGATCATCTCCACTTTATTACACTGTAGAGTATAGAGTAGATGAAGGACGTGTTTGGAATAAATTAATCTGTGGTAAAGAAGTTACTGGTATGAAATTAGATTTTCCTCCAATTAAAGAAAATTTGAGCGCTGGTAAATCATATGACTTCAGAGTTATAGCTGTAAATAAAGCTGGTACAAGTGAACCATCAAAACCATCGAATTCAATCCAACTAGGTCGGTTTCTGTTCATTTTATCATCATTATTACTAGTTCATATATCTTTGCCTATTACTATGCACTATACAACTTTCAGAGTGAATAATTAATGTATGCGACTTACTTTTTGTCATTTAAGCATAAAGTGACATTGAGATACCTAAGTTAATTTTAATTAAACCAGAAAATAAATTATATAAACGAAATATCTATTATAAAAAGCCCATTTCACCTTTATTTTTTCCTCTCTATTTATCATCCTAATACCTCCCAGTGATAGGTATTTCAAAACATGAAGCCCATTAATTTTGATGTAATTGCACTGCTGATATATGGATTACGTCTGTTAAATCATCATCACTGGTAACTGATGTTCTAAGAGATGGTGAAAATTTGTAGCTCAGGTGGATGATTTTGTTTTCAGAGAGCAAAACTCCATCAAGATGTTCTAGGAATTTAATGAATCAAATCAGTATTATGATCTATCGTAATATCAGTTTCTATAGAACAAACAAAGAACACATTCATATAGACTTTCGGCTAGATTACACTGAAGCTTAATAATACTTTATCCCTTCATTTTGTACGTTATCTAGTTTTAACTTGGTTTTTACAATCGCATATAATAATAGTTCTGAACAATTTGGGTATCTTGTAAGCGTTGAATTGTTACTCCATCACTAAAGTTAAGCAAAAATCAACATTGCTACTTCAAATATACATCGTGACCCTGAAATCTCATTGATTAGTCAGTATAATATGTATACATATAGCGAAACGATCTTAAAAGATGACTGTTGTAACGAGAACATTTTAATCATTTAACTTCATTTACATTGTAATGGGTTGCCAATTCATTAATTTTACACGACTTTCTATTTTTATGCACACAATCCTTTATTGTTACTATTCATATTCCGTAATAAAGCATTGTAATACTTCAGTTACGTCATTGTGTGTATTCCTTGTTCGTATGTCCTCACGGAACTAATACTTCAAAAATATCATATTTTTGGTATAATATAGAAGTATTTCAACAAGTTTCCGTTTCTTGTTTCTTGATCGGTCCTAACACTGAGTGGTCGCCAGTTAGTAGTTAGCAGTCCAGTAAATCGACATCTAAATAACGTATATTCTTTTCAATGCATATTGCTAGCAACCACGATGACTCTGATCGTAGGTTTTTTGTAACTTGTACAGTGAAAGGTTGTACACTTTTCAGAAACGCACCTGAATAGGCTTATGCGATTAATAGACATAATGTATCAAAACAAACGAAAAAACAGATAACTTGTTGAAATATCTAGATGGCATGAATAGGTAGCCCAGATGTTCAAGCAAGTCGCTAAAGATATAAATATACATACGATTGTACAGCTCGATCATAAATTCATTGAAAAGAGATGCCTTCATTGAACTTTGTGTTTTTAATCTTATTTATTGGTCACGACAACTAAACAAAATAATACTTAAGGTGGTTCTAAAGCTCGAATTATTGTTTTTCTAATATTTTTTTCCAAAACACAATGTGGCTCTTATTACGATAATGAACAGCTTTTTACATAAGCTGTTTGGTTATTTTGCCATTTGTGAAATATCCAAATTCAGGTAAATGAAGTAATATATACAAAAAATATAGATTTAGATTTTGAGCCACATTTATAAAGTCGTTGGCGGTTAGATCAAACTATGTTAAATATAAGCGAATTTGGATAGTGGATAGCAGTGGAATCCAGGACGCGCGTTTCGTTTTATTTGGGACTCATCAACTGCATGTGCCTGGATCTCAGAGTCGAGGTTCACTCAAGGGCTGGAACCCAGTACCGTTCGCTTTAAATGCCATCGCGTTATCCATTTAGCTACTGAGTCCTGAAAGACGCTTGCTTGCTCAATGGATTCCACTGCTAGCCACTATCCATCTTTTGTTATAATGCATGTGAATTAACGTAATATCGAGGCAATCCGCACAGTATGCACATATAGCAATAAGAGACCAATCAATCGCAATCCTAAACATCAATGTGGAGATTCAAGTAAACAATACCAAGAGAATCTATTCATATATATTTTCTATTATTATCATTATTATTATTTCATTTATTAACAGGTATAGTACTTGAATTTATACGTCAATTAGAAGATTTAATTATAACTAACATTGAACCAATTGAATATAAATTAGAATGTGAATTATCACGTAAACCAAGAACAATGATAGCTTGGACAAAAGATAATAAACCATTAATTATAAGACCAGATGATACTCATATGAAATTTATTGATCAAGGCACAATTCAATCAATTCATTTTACACATTTAATTGATACAGATATTGGTGATTATGCAATACAAGTAGAGAATATTTCATCAAAATGTAAATTAGAAATTAAAGGTAAATATGATACTAATAATGACTTAATCACTTGTGATGTAATAATCATGGTCAATACGATTAATCAGTTAATTAGTTTCAGTGGATGAGTTTGTGACATGAAAATGAAATGATTTATTTTCATTCTAATAGTTGAATTCATGAGTTGATTTAATCTAGACTACCATTAAAATTCTAGAAACACTGATTGATGGCTGTTTCGTCATAGTATGAAACTCTTCAATAGTGCTGCTCCAATGCTTGCAAATTTTCAATGATAGTCTAACTGAAATTGATTCATGAATTCAACTATTAAAAATGTTACTAGAAATCTCAACAAACCCCTATTCTGATAATTTTAATTTTGTCATTTGATAATTTGTTATAATTGTTTAGAATAGAAATAATACAAAGAAAGCACCAACCTGACTGAATTCCAAGTCTATGATGTATAGTGCTTATATCTGATTAATTGAATGAGTATATTTGTAAGAGAATAAAACGTTATATTTTGAAAAACAACCGTAGTATTTATGTAACGATACCTCACAGTAAAATGGATGGTTCAACAATTTGAATATTAACATAATTTAGTTTTACTTTTACTGATACTTGAGATCATGAGTCAACTGAAGCTAGATCTCCATGGAAATCCTGGAAGCATTGGAAGGCCGTTTCGTCCTATTGTGGTACTCCCCAGCAGTGCACATTCACGATCCTTCCTCGCCAGATTCCAACTCAGAACCTATCCATCTCGCGCGCATGCGCTTAACCTCTAGACCACTGAGATGGTATCTGACGGTGCTAATGTCTAACCTCAACCAATCCGTGCACTTCTGAGGAGTCCCACAGTAGGATGAAACGGCCGTCCAGTGCTTCCAGGTTTTCCATGTTGGTCTGTCTTTAATTAACTAATGATCTCAACTATTAAAATTACTATAATATCCACAAAACCCCTCCTGATTCTACTGATACCATTAGAAGAAATTTAGAAATTATTACTACAAAACATTTTTGTACTGATAACAGTACTTGTTGATAAATCATATTTTCATTTACTATCAAAGTAAACTAGCAGTTTATTAAGTGGAAAATTGCGACATTTTTTCCGTTATGACACGATATCATGACAATAATTTGTATCAGAAGGGGTTTCTGTGAATATTATAGTAATTTCAATAGTTGAGATTAAGAGTCAATTGAAGCTAGACCACCATTTAAAACCTGGAATTACTAGATGGCTGTTTCATTCTATTGTGGGACTCCTCAACAGTGCGCATCCACGATCCTGCCTCACGAGATTCGATTCCAGGACCTATACTTTGATTTGATACACTACAAATAGACTGGGTCGCTTATACACAGGTACATGTTCAAAATCAATAATTGAGAACAAAATACATGTAAGACAATGGTTTATTCAACATAAATTCAATCAATCTATAGCTAAATTAAAGTTATAAGATAAAGATAAGATTTACATTACAAAGTATAAAGTGAGCCTATTTATCTTTTCCCACTAATCAACTGTAGACTTATTTGAAGATAAATAACAGTTAATATTAATTTATGACAAGGAAACCGTAGGTTTGGTTGACAACAGTATATACATCTACACAGATAGTCAATCAATATGCTTAAAACATTTGGCTTTGCTAATGTTCTAACATGTTATTCGTTTATGTTAAGATCAATTGGTTTGATGAACTCTTGAATTTCATTTTAATAGTGTGCATATGTAAGTAGCAACCAAGCATCAGCGATTCGACTATAACGGGATGAGTATTGGAATAGTTAGAAGTTTAAGAACTATTTTTCAAGTTATTATCATTGACGTTTCAAGGAATAACAGACTTTATGTTCTCTAAAATCTTCAAGAATGTAACCTGAAACAAACTGCATTTATCAAACTAATATCTGTTTTCATATGAATTCGAGTGATGAAAGCCAAAATATGATACATATGTATAGTAAATTTTAGTAAAACCTTAGTGTGCTGAGTTTGCATCGCTTTTACTCTTGTATTTCATTACAAAACCTTAAACTTGTTGACGTAGGTTTAGCCGTTATTGTCAGCAAACTTATAGTATAGTCTGATTTATTATTGGGTCTTTTAAAAGTATTTTAAAGTTGTTCTTTTTTCATTCATTATCATTGTTCAAACTATAGGTGAATATTGTCAGATAGTTGTTTATAATGTATCTTGTTTTCTTTTTTCAAAATGTTTACAGCTCCACCAACAATTCAAATGTCTGATCAATTTGAAGATCATATTACTTTAAAGGCTGGTAGTTCAAAAATTCTAGAAATTCCATTTATATCTTCACCAAAACCTAAAATTAAATGGACATGGGCGCCAAGTACTGACTTGACTCAAGAACAAACCCCTAGATTTAAACCGGATATAGTTTCTGGTTTAACTACATTACCTTTAAGTCGAGTGAAACGTGAAGATAGTGGAGCATATAAAGTTAAAATATCAAATGATCTTGGTGAAATTTTCATAACAATTCATGTCATTGTTATTGACAAACCATCTCCACCAAGAAATCTTACAATAACTGATGCTACAGAAAAATCAGTCATGTTTAATTGGGATCTACCAGTTAATGTAAATGAAAATGAATCTTTAGAATATGTTGTAAATTATCGAGATGCAACCAAATATTCAAGTCAACCAATTAATGTTTGTGTAACAAAGGAATTGAAAACATTTATAGATGGTCTTAAACTGGGATCTCAATATATATTCTCAGTTTGTGCACGAAATGAAGTTGGTGATTCCGCCTTTGCTGAAAGTCAGGCATTCTTAATGAAGTATTCTTTTGGTAAGTTAATTTTCTTAGGTTTATGATTGTTATAAGCATGATTTGAGAATGGAGTAGTTTATTTGTTTTGTCAGAAGAAATTACAAGATATAGTGAATAAATTTGTGGTGAGAATTCAGGTGTACGTGTTACATATATCCCATATTTAGTGTCATTGTTCCCTTTTTTAATATAGACCCACCTGAAGCTCCAGGAATACCTCATGTTACTATATTAGAAAGTGGTCACGTTTCACTGGAATGGACACCTCCTTCATCGGACGGTGGTTCTCCCATCACAGAGTATTTCATTGAAAGCATGGATGAACGTCCAGTTGTAAAAGGTCAGCGCCGTACATCGACCTATGGTTCTCGAGCACAGTGGAATTCACTAACTTCAGGAATCATATTTGAGCCTAATGTTCAACCGAAAGCTTCAGTAACTGGTTTGTCTCCTGATAAACAATATACATTCCGTGTATGTGCTATTAATAAAGCTGGTAAAGGGCCATTTAGTCCACCATCAGAATCTTGTTTACCCTTAATGAAACGTAAGTTATTTAACAAAATTTTGATTTATTTGGTTTCTTATCAAAATTTCTATAGACAGTCTAAAGTATTTCAAGGGTTGTTAGGGTACTTATCAAAGTACGTGTACAACAGTGACGCAAAATATATATTACTTGCTACTGATTTCTCTGGAGTAAATGATAAAGAATACCTAACATGGCAATTTGGTTATATCTTCTAAAAATGCCGCATTACATGGCTTTATTCATTTATTGAATGTAGTTACCTTTGAAAATGTTACGACTCAAATAAGCAAGTAACTTCAATTAATCATTTTCACGAGATAATTAAGAATTTTTGATGAATAAGACTGTCAGAACTTGGGAGGCATGACAATAACACCAATATGAATTTATCTTTGCTTCATATAAGTTCCGACTAAATAGTACACACTTTATGAGTGGTTTTAGTTATTTTAAAGATCAGCCAATTTAATTATAATGTCAACGCAGGGTTGTGGTAATGGTTGAATTTCAGTAAAATCACGAAACGATCTAAGGTGGACGACCATTGAAAACCTGGCAGCACTGGATGATCACTCCTTCCTAGCACGAGATCCATCAGGAGTGCGCATCTATGACCTCCCAATTGAAAGTCAAACCCTGGAACTTTGATCTCACACGCAAACGCAAAACCTCTAGATTACTGAGCCGTCACGAAACGGTACTAATGTCTAATTTCGATCAATTTGCTATATTGTGTAACCATTTTCCATTTTCTTTGGTCGTTACCTTCCTCACACCCTACAATGTTTTACTCCAGTGATCACGGCTTCCCATTAGGATTTATTTCTCAAAACGAATTAAACGCGTAAATGTTATTTTGCCCTGTCGTCTGAGTCTGCTAATGATATACATGTATGCATATATGCGAGCGCAGCTAGCTACTTGCGTGAGGAAACCAACAGTAAGCAGAAAACTTTAAATTAGCTAAACTGAGTCAAGAATATTTGCTCAACTCACTCATAAATTTATATCTTTTTTTGCTGGGAAATTAAGGCAACATAATTCTTTCTTTAGAAAAGGAAGCCAATCTTGACTAATAGTATGCATCTATCAGCGTCTCTCACTTATCATTTGGCTTATATCTGAATGGCATAGCGAATCAGTGAATGAAAGTAAAATTTACATCGCTTCACGTTTTGTTCCAGCCTGTCCTGTGCTTTATGTTCTTTAATTGTTTTTTACTAATTTAGCTCCTAAAGTTCCTGGAAAACCTGGTCCTGTAACCGTCGAACCTTTAAACGAAACAAGTATCAATTTAAGTTGGACACCTGGTACTGTAAACGAAGACTTTGGACCAGCTGACTATTATATAATTGAAGCTTGTGAAGATGATGGTAATGACTGGAAAGAAGTTGGAAAGACATCCAAGCCAGATGATTGTAACTTGAACGTGAACAATCTAGATAGTTCAACACGTTATCAATTCCGTGTTCGTGGAGTGAATAAAGAAGGTGTCGGTGAACCATCAAAACCATCAGAAAGGATTTGTTTAAAGAAAGGTAATTTTTAAAGTAAACATTTGTGCTCAAACTTGTTTTCTTTTTTGTTTCTTTACTGATGTTTGTATTTAACTATAATTGAGCAAAAGGATTTACACTAAGGCTAAACTATTTTAGTGTACTCATTTAGATAACGACTTTGAATCTTCAATGTAAAGCTAAAAAATTAGTACCACTCACAGTGTGTCAAATGAGTAACTTCGAAAATGATTACTTTATATAGCCCTTGGGGTTCTGTAAATGTAATGATAGTCCATTGTACAACCACTGAGTAGAAATAACATTGTACACATGAAAGTAATTGAAACGTCTATTCTTTTGGATGGATGGCAAAGTAACTCAATTAAGCATTGCCAGTTTTCATTTATCCCCACTCACTTCCCATATGAATCATACTCACACCAATGAAGTTGGATTAAGTTAATTCTTTGATGTCAAAACAGATCATTAATCCATAACTTCGTTTACAAAAGTGTATTCAAACAAATTTGAGGCTATATAAATCGGTTTACTTAACTATTTGACTTACTATAAATACTCTATAGGCAACCTGATCTGCAGTCTCATTACTAAAGTTCTGTACCAAAATATATTGAACTAAAAATTTATAATGGACTTTCAAAATCAGCAAACTATATAAAATCCTGTACACATTTAGATCTAATTAATTTTTGTGGAGCTATATTCTTAGATGAACCAAGTTTTAAGTTCATGAACTGATAAAAAGGCATAGACATTACAAGGTCGTTTTAACAATTGATAGAATGTTGTATAATAACTGGCAATGATTCATATAGTATTTAAGGTTTATTCATATCACTTTATAGAGTAAATTATATAATATTAAGGTTATGATTGTCTGCCAACTTGATCCAATCAAAATCACACCGATCCTAACACTTAATCCAACCAACTACATGAAAGTAGAAAACTAATAATGTATAAGAAGCATATATATCAAGCCGAATGAAAGTGTACTAATCCAAGAAAAGACTGTAAGCCATTTATGAAATGAGATGTTCTTGACGAGAATCAAATGGACTATATATATTTTACTAATGTTGCTATTATTAGTACTGTAGTGAACAAGAACACGACTGGGGACAACTAAATAAATTACAGAACAACTTACTAAAATCTGAGAATTATACAGAAAATACTTAATTTGCAATCAGTCAATTGTATCAAACTTGATTGTTCCTTTAGCAAATATCAGACTTTCATTGTTTCTATATTTTCATACCAAATTGCTTTCCGTTTCCGTTCTTTCCTTTTCAATCTTCTACTAAAATACAATCTATTCTTGACTATTGTTACATACTACTTATGTGAATATAAGTAGTTCAAATCACATTACGATTATTTACTATTGTTTTTAAATCATTTTTAGATGCTCCATTAGTTATAACTAAAGAATTAGAATCAATTCATTTGAATGAAATTCCGCAAACAATTGAATATGAATGTCATCTTTCTAAATTACCACAAAAAGTTCAATGGTTCTATAATAATAAACGTTTAGATACATCAAATTTACGTAAATATCGTTTTCTTGATGATGGTAAAATACAAAAATTAGAAGTATTAAAAATTACATTAGATGATGTTGGTGAATATTCTATTAAAATTGATAAATTAGAATCAAAGGCAACATTTGAAATTGATTGTAAGTTGTTTTGTGTGTACTTTTTGATTATGTAATATCATTATGTTGCTTGATTTTGATTCAGTGTAATAGTTGAATGAGAATTTTTATACTTTGTAAAATTGGTTTCTATCATGAATTGATGTCAGTTAATGAATTAGAAGGGGTTTTATGGAGATTTTAGTAATTTTATAATTGAATTCATGAGTCAATTGAAACTAGACTACCATGGAGAACCTAGAAACACTGGACGGCTGTTTCGTCCTATCATGGAACTCTTCAGTATTGCGCATCCAGGATTCCGCCTTGTGAGATTCCAATCCAGGATCTATCAGTCTCGCGCGCGAACGCTTAACCTCTAGACCACTGAGCCGGCTGTCATTCAACGATGTTTATGTTCAACTTAAACTGATCCACGAAATTGTGTCACCGATCACTATTGTCTTCAATAAGTTACTATCTCACAACAGACTCGTCTAAACTGCACTGGTCACGGCTTCCCACTAGGATGAAACGGCCGTCCAGTGCTTCCTGGTTTTCCATAGTGGTCTAGCTTCAATTGACTCAGGAATTCGTCATTAAGAATTAAAGAGAAATAGAGGGTTGTTTTTTTCAGGTTTGAGAGTTTTCAAAAACGAACACATAGAACACTACACAAAATTAAAATTCATAACCTTCATGTATAGCTGAAAGTAGTTAGACATTAATGTGCCATTGTGTTGAAATTCATTGATTCCTTTTTTGAATCGATGAAATTTTTAATATAGTACGAACACGATAAAATATTATTGATGATTATTATCATTGTCTTACCTTCGACGTGGCTGATTAAATGGCCAGTTGCTTCTTGTTACACTTTTAAGAACCTATCTGGAAAGTAGTTATTATAGAGAATAAAATTATAACATCTTTGTTCAATATAACCTAGTTCTCAGTGATCTTTCAAATGATTTCATTTGGTATTAAAAGTTATTTTCACCTTTGAACAAATATCCACAAATTATATATCTAAATAAAAAATTGGGTGAGACTATAATTTATGGACGAGCTTTGAGCGACACCAGACCGACCTTGTGAGTGTTCACCTAACCACTAGGACCAAATAAAGTTTATAAACCTGTATGAGGAAACAGTTGATAATTAGGGTTAGAAATTAGATTTAAGGTTTGCATCACGAATTGACGTCAGCTATAAGGCCAAAACCCTATTTATCTGAATGAATGAGTGAATTTCGCGCCAAAATCTGAGACCTGTTATCTTAAACGTGATTGGATCGTTCACAGATTATAGTCTCGCCAAAAATTGATTAGATTTCTTTAATTCACATTATCTGTCACTAACACAACAGATAAATTTTCACGTTACATTCATAGAATATGAATTTCTACTACAAGGTGATATATTACTGAAAATAATGATGATAATAATAATACGTTGGTTAGAAACATTAAATATACTTAGAATTGTATTATCAAATTCATTATACATAAGCTTAACAAAATAAAATTAATAAAACATGATTTACTTGATATGAGTGCTGTGATGTGCGGTGTCCAAAAACTGATACTGATACATGATGTGCTACGCGTTAACCACCCTCAACCAACTACTTTGGCGAGAACATTATAGTGAGCGAGGAAGTGCATTGAGCTACCGAATGAAATTCACAAATACTCATTCATATACATATACCACTTTAATCCTTAGGAAGTTGACCCATTTCTTAGATAATGAAATGCACTTTTCCCTTAGGTCATTTCTGATTACCATCGAATGACCTTCTCATTAGGCTACTTCTGATTGGTTCTTCATATCAATAGATATATTTTTTTGAATTGTAAATAAAACATCTATGAAGATGATACACTTCTTTTGGTTACATGAATCTTCCCATTGGTGCTTAGGACTACAAATGATCAATCATTTTTGGCATATATACGAATTGCCTCGATATTCACATGCATTATAATCAGAGTTGAATTGTGGCTAGCAGTGGAACCCAGGATGCACGTTTTATCATATTTTGGACTCCTCAGCTAACTGTACCTTCATCCTAGAGTTAGTGATCACTCAAGGACTCGAACACAAATGCACATATGCCAAAAGGGACTAATCATTTGAAGTCCATAACATCAGTGGAGATATTTAGATAACAAATACAAATGGACTGAACTTCACTCCATTCTACAAGTCAGTTACAATCAAGATTCAGTACCTAATTGGATAACGCGATGGTGTTCAAATCAAATGACACTGGGGTTGAGTCCCGGAATGATTAATAACTCTGGAATCTAGGTACATCCAGCTGACGAGTCCCAAATAGGACGAAACGCGCGTCCTGGATTCCACTGCCAGCCACTATCCATCTTTGCTAATTAACAACTGTTTAATGAGTGATATTTTCTTTGCGTATTCTTTTGGCAATCATGGTGACTTTTTTAAAGAAAGTGTTTACCAAAATTATTTACGTTTGTTCTGTGTTTGTCTATAAAAAACATCCCATGATTTAAATATACAAATAAATTATTTTATTATCTTTCATGTTTAGTACCACCTAAACTCTGTCTACCAGATGATTTCTCTGATACAATCATACTTGCTCAGGGAAATAATCGTAATATAGAGATACCATTTACTTCTTGTCCACCTGCTACCAGTATCGTTTGGTATTGGAATGGTAGTCGTACTTTGCCTGATCCAACAAAACGAACTGTTCCAGATAATGATTCAAAGTCTCAAGCGGTACTTCGTCTTACTGCAGTACAAGTTTCTGATGCTGGAATTTATGAAGCTATTATCACTAATCCATATGGAGAAGCTAAAGCAACCATAACATTGAAAGTTCTTGGAGTCCCTGGTGCAGTAACATCATTGGAAGCACATGTTGAGTCACCTACAGAAGTATCTGTTTTATGGAAACCACCTGAAGATGATGGCGGTAGCCCATTGACAGGATATAAAGTTGAACAACGCCAATTGGCTCCTGAACCTGGAGGTGTTTTACGTTCTCAGGCTAAGGAGTGGAAGTCAATTGCAAATGTTAGTTCGAAATCAAAAACATCTAACGATGAAGAACCATTTGTACATCGTATCACAGGGTTAACTGAAGGAGCCACTTATTTGTTTGGTGTTTCTGCAGTTAATGATTGCGGAAGTGGACCAAGGAAAGAAATTACCGATGGCTTAATAATGAAATCTCCTTATGGTTAGTTAAATTATTGAAATATCTATTCATCTTTATTTAATTTTGTATGACACAAAACCATTATGTATAAAACACCCAAAGAATTCTCATTCAAATTGTGTACGATTAACTATCGAACAATATGAGTTTACCGAAAATGAAAGATTCAAAATCTTATCAACTTCCTATAAGATAGATAAACTTACATTTCAGTGTTCATTTCAGAGTTAATAAGTTAGTGAAAAGCAGTTTAATATCTGTTAAATAGGATTATTCGCAATCCTTATACTCTACTACTTACTATCAGGATGTAATCATACTTACTTACTTACGCCTGTTACTCCTCGTGAAGGAGCATAGGCCGCTCACCAACATTCTCCATCCAACCCTGTCCTGGGCAATCCTTTCCAATAAATCGATTTCTGATTGAGACCATGAATCGATCAATGTTAGACCACCATTGAAAACCTAGAAATACTGGATGGCCGTTACGTGATATTATCAGACTTCTCATCGGTACACATTCACGATCCCGCAGGCGGAACTCGAACCCAGGACCTTCGGTCTGCCACGCAAAAGTTTAACCTTTAAACCGCTGAGCCGGCTGAAGGGTTACGCAAGATCGTGGATCGATTGAAGTTAGACATTGACACCATCAGATGCCGACTTAGTAGTTTAAAGTTTTAGAGTTCGTGCGCTAGACCGAAGTTCTTGTGTTTGAGTCCCTTTGGTATGGGATCGTGGATGCGCACTGATGAAGGGTTCCATACTAGGACTAAACGGCTGTCCACTACTTCCAGGTTTTCAATAGCCATCTAGCTTAGATTGACTTATGAAGTCAACTGTCAAAATTAAATGATCATTAAAAGTTGTAACTTTATGATTTCATTTACTACTACTGAATAATGATAAATAAATGAGATTTCCCACTAATAATTTTACAAAGGAATAACAATAAAATAAAAGATTCCAATAAATATTTCACTTGATTGAAAATGAAATTATGAGATGGTGGAAAATGATGTTTGTACTGATGATGTCGTTCAAAAGAACGATAAAAGCTCCACGACCAAACCGTCCAGCTCAGAGAACAAAACTCCACCAAAAGTGAAATTATTTAATCAAACATGATCATCTATGAAGAATTGTTCAATTCAAAGATAAGTTTCATTATGGATTAACATAGTGATTTTCAATTATAGAGTAAGCAAAACTATGTTGATTAGAAATAATGATAATAAATATCTCTTTATTCAATGCAAAATAAGTCGGTACATTAGAAAGTTCGAGGGTAGATAAATACTTAAAGTACACATTCTCCGTTACAGCATAAAATACCGACCATGTACCTAACTTTAATCCATACACATGTAGACAATATATACACATGTATGATAGTGTTGTAACGTTATATTTCTTTATTTTTATGTCACAGATATTCCGGAAATTCCAAAGCAACTTACTGCTAAATCAATAAATCATTCCACTATTGAATTAGAATTCAAACTACCAGTCACTCATGTGGAAGCGCCTTTAACTAGTGTAATTGTTGACTATCGTCCTAAAAGTGTATCAAGGTAAATACTTTTATAGAAATATTATCAGACGGTTATTAATTAAAATAGTTATATATTTATAGTCCGGTTATATTAAACTCGTATTAAAGTCAGAGGGGGTTTCGTAAATATTATAGTAATTTTAATAGTTGAGTCTACGAGTCAATTGAAACTAGATCACCATGGAAAACCTAGAAGCACTGGACGGCCATTTCGTCCCAGTATAGGACTCCTCAGCAGTGCACATCCACGATCCCGCCCCTCGAGATTCGAACCCAGGACCTATCGGTTTCGCTTACTAAAGTATTTCTATATTCTCAATTAAATGAAATCCTAATTTTTCTAACTAAAAAATTTGATGTCACTTCTAAGCTTACCCTAAAAGTTTGTAAAATAAGCTATATGAAATAAATAACTCTTACTTACAACTATAACTCATTGTGAAGCACATGACCCTGACATAGAATCACCAACCGACTCTATCCTGAGCGATTTCTTCTAGCCACTTCAAAGTGTTATTCATCTTTCTGATGTCTGCCTAAAATTTCGAGGCAATCTGTTTTTCGGTCTACTTCTTTTTCATCTGCCTTTAGTTAGATTTTGATTTGTGATTCAGTTTGATGATTTCTGCACTGCATATTCTACCCACTTCCAGCGTCTTTTCCTAGTTTCCTCTTCATCTGGAGGCTAGTTTGTTCTCTGCCACAGTAAGTTATTGCTAACGGCATCAGATCAACGGATTTGGAGTATCTTGTGAAGATTGATGTTCTTAAGTATTTATACCTTTTTGGTGGTAATTGTAGTAGTTTTCCAAGTATCAGCTCCGTACAACAGAACTGTATTGACGTTTGTATTGTAAATTATGACTTTGGTGTTGTGTGACAGTTGTTTTGAGTTCCAGTTGTTTTTAAGTTGTAAGAATGTTACCCTTGCTTTACTAATCAGTGCCTTCAGATTTGCATCAGATCTCCCTTCTTTATCAGTTATAATACACGGGTATGTAAAAGCCTTCACCTGTCCCAGCGTTCCTCCATCAAGTGTGGTTTGGTTGATGTTCTTTGTGTTGTATTTGAGGATCCTGCATTTTCCCTTGTATATGTTGAGGCCTACTGATACAGAGGTTGCTGCTACACTGGCTGTCTTCACCTGCACTTGTTGTTGTGTATGGGATAGAAGAACTAGATCATTTGTGAAGTTCAAACCGTTTAACTACGTCTAACGTGTTTACTGTATTCCGCGCTTCCCCTGAAATGTGTAGGTCTCCATAATTCAGTTAACAATCAATAGAAAGAGAAAAGTCGAGAATGAGTAAGGCTGTCTGACATTGGTCTTCATTTAGAATACATCTGTGCATCTGAAGTATGCTATTTCCACATTATTGAGATATTAATTTCCGAATCAAATTATGTTGTTATGTGTACTCAAATAATTTTAGTTCTGCAAACAACCTTTGCTATATAATTATTGCAACATAACATATCAGCTAACAATGAAAATATGAATTTTTTATTGCTAACAAACAAACCTTGTATAACTGAGATCATGAACTGATTGATATTAGACCAGCATTGAAAACCTTGAAGCACTGAACGACCGTTTCGTCTTACCGTGGGACTCCTCAACATCGCGCATTCACGATCCCGCTCACGGGATTCGAACCCAGGACCAAAACGGCCGTTCAGTACTTACAGGTTTTTAATCCTGGTCTAACATCAATCAGTTCACGATCTCAATCAAATACCTAATAATCTCCACAACACTATACTGATAAACCTTGTATAAACTTTTTATCGTAGGTAAGAGAAAGTAAGATTTATTCAATAGCTTGTACTTAACAAATTGTCTTATCCAATTTCGTAAGTTAATTCTCAATTTATTTACATTAAATTATTTAATAATTAGATGGAAAACCCAAACATTTGAACCATGTTCTATAGTACAAATTGATAAACTTGAAGCAAATACAGAATATGAATTTCGTGTGAGTTGTACTAATTTGGCTGGTAAAAGTGAATCATCAAATCCTGTTAAAGCTAAAACAAAACAATTGCCAAGTAAGTAAAAAGGAATCACGTTTGTTTTCCCTCATTGATATTTAATAAAACTATTTAAATTTTGAAATAATGGAGAATATTTGTAACTTAGAATGGAGATATTTTACTAATTATTGTCTCTGAGCTAGATGATTTGATTGTGAAGCTTTAAGAATAATGAATGGTAATTTTTGGGATCCATTTATGGACCAATACTATGAGTATATTTTTATCGTATAATTGTTATTTAACTAAACTGTTCATATTCATGTCCCTCTTATTATGAGTTCTATTTTGACCTATTAGGATTTACCATTCTTGAGTCATGACCTGTCTATTAATTACTATCTCCCTCATTCACAGCCACTTTTGGCCAAATATTGCACAAATGTCATTTTCTATTTTAATAGTACGTTGTGGTCGGTTTGATTGGTATATAAACGCCGTATGTTTGAAATAAACTATTCATATTGCATAGGTTGAGATTGGTGTTCTGGACTCAACTGGCTGGGTTAGACAAGGAAGCAGGACTAATCAGGACTCTAGGCTGCTCGCATGTGTTTTATACGTCACTGGTTCAATCGATAATTCGCTGCCGTCTAATCTGCAGTCACAGTTATAACAAACTTACATTGTCCTTTTAAACAACACTATTATCAATATGCACTTGAAAATGAAATGATCTGTTGGAATTTCTTCACAATTAACTAACATCTTATTTTGTTAACCTGGAATTTGTTTAGTTTTTATTATTAACTCTATGATTGTTATCTGCATCACTTTTTGTTGTTGTTTTTATTGATTGGTTTCTCTTATAACTTGAGCTCTGACAATGCAGGTGCCAATTCTCTTAAAAGATAGGTTCGATTCAATGTTTCACAATCAAACCAACCAATTCAGAAATCATTACACCAATAATTGAAGTCAATTTTCAAACCTTTGGTTTAGGACCAATAAAATTAGGTAGAATTTATCAACAAATAAAGATTTTTTTATTGAAATCTCAATCTTAAACACTACACTTGACACTTTTCCTAAATATTTCAACATACATTCCCTACATGGTGCTATATAGGTACTTTGTATTTAAGTACAGATATTTTCATGAAATCCATTAAACAAACGTGATAAAACTAACTGAATATTAAAGATATGCATCGAAGTACAAATAGAGGTAGAAAAGATACCGAAATACACTGTATGCTGAAACAGTAATCATCATGGTCATTTCTTTATTCCTTATGGTTGTTATTTTAAAGGAAATGTCAAGTTTCCCAACTAGTCAATGAATCGGCTTATTTAGAAGTAACCAGACTTAAAAGGAAATGTGGACTATGACATTGATTCACTTAATCTAATCTGTCTAGTTTTTCATGACATTAATGATGGAGGGGGAAAGGCTTTGATAAACCCTAAAAAAAATCTTCTGAAGTTGGGAAACTGATGAAACTAGGCGTTCTTAGGAAACATCCAAAAGAAATCTAGGACACAAATGGCTTCGCCTTCATTACCCCGTTCAGGTAATGACCGAATTTGTTACTAATTTCAACACGTTTTCTCGAAATCACTTAAATTTTAGGGTTGCGTATGATCTAATAAACATCGCTGCTTTCTATTCATATACTAACCTCTAAAGTAAAGTGTTTCTTCAATACTTTCTACCTTCTGTTTTCCATCCGGAGTTCAAGAGTAGAAGACTTTCGAGAACTGGAAAGGGATTACGAAGTCGGTATCCAAGCCTTCAAGTAGAATATGTATCGTATCGTATGTCGTACAATCAGAAAATGTTGATAAAACTGAGTGTCTTTCGATCTACAATACTACAAGAGCTTAAAATATGATTACTGACTGAATCACTGAGTTATTTAAATTTATTTATCAATTTTTAGACGGGTTTTAATGAGCCTCCTGAAATACATGTTTCAATGTGTTCCAACAAATATATATACCAAGTACAAAATTTATCTTCTGTCGGATTCAAATAACTAGTACTAATCAAAGTATGCTACAACAATATCATCAACGAAGTGAATTTAATTCTGAAACTCTAGATACTAGTCATTGGTTCATAATTGACAAACAATCATTAATCCGTTACTTCTTCCTTACTCTTCCAGTACCATAATCTTTACTGTTAAAAAATGTATTCATTTCAGAACCTCCTGATGCTCCGAAGCTTGACAATGTTACACCAGTCAATACAAACTCTGTAAAAGTCAATTGGTTTTCTCCAACAAATGATGGCGACAGTCCAATTATATCTTATCAAATAGAGATGTGCGATGCTAAAAATGGCACTGAAGTATGGAAACCAATTGAGGCTTTAAACATAGATCGTACGGATCAAAGTTTGCTATCTCCGGACGAACAAAAGTCATATGAGTTAATTGTGAAAAATTTAGACAATTCCAAATCTTTCAAATTTCGTGTTATTGCTGTGAATAGTATAGGACCAGGTAAACCGTCTAGAAGTTCACAACCTGTTACACCTGGTAAGTTATTTGCTACTTACTATTTCTTTGGTAATAAATGGATGTTTAGTCTATTTTACGATTCATGTAAATGTTATTGAAAGACAAAGAATAATTCAGAGAACAATTATATCTGACAATTTCCGTTATTAGGTTCTACAGCTAGAAGTCCATAACTATTGCATTAAAATGAATAGAACAAGACCATTTTATTCTCTTCATAACATGTTCAATCAATTTCTACATGAAAATTAGTTTTTACCAGTATGGGGTTGTGGAAATTATTAAGTTTTTGATTGAGATCATGAACTGATTGATGTTAGACCACCATTGAAAACCTGGAAGCACTGGATGGTCGTTTCGTTGAGGTTAAACATTAACACTGTCGGACGACGGCTGAATAATCTGGAGGTTAGGTGTTCGTGCACGAGACCGAAGGCCCTGAGTTCGAGTCCCGCGAGCGGGATCGTGGATGCACATTGCTGAGAAGTCCCACAATAAGACGAAACGGCCGTCTAGTGCTTCCAGGTCTTAAATGTTGGTCCAATATCAATCGGTTCATAATCTCAATTACAAAGAATTAATTTTATTTCCCTAATATGTACTAGTGTTGTTAAGTCTTAATTATCTCTCTTAACATTCTTAGAATTGGGGTTTGTAGATATTATAGTAATTTTAATAGTTGAATTTATGAGTCAATGTAAAGTAGACCACCATTGAAAACCTGGAAGCACTGAACGGTCCTTTCGTCCTAGTATAGTACTCGAACATTCATTCATTTATGAACTGAAACCCATTCTTTATCTTAATCGACCAGTCATATGTGAATTAGCCATGTAGAATAAAGTATCGATTGATTATTCTCATGCAACAGATAGGTTAACACTGCTCATTACATGTAAATTTTAGAGATTTTCATACAAATGTTTTTACAGAATATTTAATCACTATGTATATATTAGGAAGAAATTGTTATTCATTTTACATCTTATCAATGATGTTAAACTAAAGAAGACCATTTCGATTGTATATCAATTATTGTACAGAAAGTACAAAAGGAACAAAAGAAGCTTACATTTAGACACTTTTAATTATAAAACAAAATACTTTGGCTTTTTCTTTCGAATAATGATGGTTCTATGTAATATGAAAAGAATTTTGACTAGCTACTGTATGAAAATCACTTATGAGTATCTAATCATAGTTTCACTCGATAAAAAAGTGTAATATTGACATTAATCCTATTGTAGTGAATGAGAACAAAAGTGAGGACAATCGGATGTATTGAAATACAAAATTACAGAACACCTTAGTAAAATCTGAGAACCATACCGTAAATACTTCATTTGCAAATTGTCAATCAATCGTCTCAAACCTCATTGCTCTTTCGTTTTCACACCAATCATTCTCCGTTCTTGTTCACTTTTCTTCGATCTTCTTAACTTTCTACCATCAGACATATCACTTTCGATTGATAATAAATACTACTTATATCTTTTGACATCAGTAGCATACACCACACTATGTTGATCTTTGTTGTGAATTCTTCATAGAATAAATAATGAACCTGGCAGTTACTTTCGTTAACAGTAAAATCCTGATTCAAAAATTTACTATTCACTACTTTTTGAAAAATAATGACTTGGAAATTTAAATCAACAGGTGAATAGTGTATCTTATTGGAAATCACAGTGTTGAATTACTTTAGGATGAGTTTTGTTCTCTCAACTGGCTAGTTTTTTCGTGTAACTCTCATTGTTCCTCTGAACAACATCAGCACAAATTTCCCTTCTATCCTAAAGTTATTTTTCTGATAATATTGTTTGGAAGAACAATAAGAGTTCTATAATCAAACCATTCAGTTCAGAGAACAAAACTCCTAAACTATCCATCTGAGCTAAAAACCTTCTCCACTATTCAAAGTTGAATTACTTGTTCATACGTTCATGTATTATAATTTTCAATTTATTAATACAAGTTACATAATATTTTATGTCAACCTTAAAAACAGCATACAATTCATGAATAACACTATGAACAGATCAATTCTTCAAATGTTTAGCTTTCCAAACAATGTCATAAATATTATAAACAAATATGGATAGCGGCTAGCAGTAAAATTCAGGACGCGCGTTTCGTCCTACTTCGAACTCGTCAACTGGATGTGCCATCATAGTACGCACATATGCCAATACGAGACTGATTAATTACAGTACTAAATATTAATGAGAAGATTCAAGTAAACAATATCAAGTGAGTTTAAACTTCACTCCACTGCACAAGCAAGTGGCTATCTGAACTCAATAGCTAAGTGAATAACACAATGATGTTTGAAGCAAATGATGCTAGGTTTGAGTCATTCAGTGAACATGAACTCTGAGGTGCAGGTGCACCCAACTGACGAGCCCCAAATAGGACGAAAGGTGCATCCTGGATTCCACTGCTAGCCACTGTCCATCTTTGCTTATAGTGGTTGTGAATTAAGGCAATATTGAGACAATACGCACATTATGCACATATGCCAATAAGGGACGGATCAATTACAGTCCTAAACATCATTGAGAAGTTTCAGGTAAACAATACCATGTGAATTTCATGTCATAAACAGTTCTTAGCTTTTCAGTACAATATCATTTGATTATATTATCTTGTTATCCTTATTAATACCTCTCATAAACTATCCATAGTTATATGAAAATGTTTTAAAATCAATTGCTATTTTTTTCACCTGAAAAACTTATAGGAATTGAAGTCAATATTATTCGACCATTGAATAATGTTTGTTTTGATGAAATTCCAAAATCTGGGACAAAAGTTGAATTAGAATGTGAATTAAGTCAATCTAATTGTCGAGTAAATTGGTTATATAATGGAAAACCAATTGTATTGGGCAAGAAATATGATTTCTCTCCAGAAGGAAATGTTTATCGATTAATCATTAATGATATAACACTTGAAGATATGGGAGTTTATGAACTGAATTATAAGAAGTTAAAAACACAATGTAAAGTAGAAGCTAAAAGTAAGTTTTAAAATGTTGAGATATTATTTTAACTACTTGATAAAAGTATGAATAGTGTGTTTTTGCTTGGTTATTTTATTTATAACTTTGCAATATGCATCTCACTCTAACATGTTGTATATTCAAAAATAATCATCTGCTTGTGATCATCTTCAATGCTAACTAAAGGTGAAAATTTTTCGTTTAATAGTCTTTGATTTCAGGCTAACATAGTTATATTTTATTAATACTACTGTAGTGAATGAGAACACCAATGGGGAGATAACCAAATGTTTTTGAATACATTACAGAATTTTTAAACGAAGATGGATAGTGGCTAGCAATGGAATCCAAGACGCACATTTTGTTGAAGTAATCGTGACTTTGAATAATTATGAAGAATCAAGTGTTTGGTAAACTACAAGACAAGATAAATTGTACGATTATCTGTATATCAACCAGTCACGATCTAAATGAAAATTAAGCACTGGGATCAGACTAAAAAGTTGGATATGTATTTGGAAGAATTGATAAAGCTGATAGTCATTGCATTAAAAAAGATTGTTAGAAACATTTGCTAATCAAAATTAGTTCTATCAAATTGCTTCTAGTGATTAGGATAAGTGAACCTAAGATAAGCAGATACAATCCAGTCCAGATCAGATCGTGCAAGTTATATAATTGACCTTTATAAAACTAGAAAATAAAAACAAACCTATTTTTACACTAACTGTTATATCCCGATAAAAATAACGAATGGCAACTGTTAGAATATATTTCTGGATTAATACTATACATGTATTTTTATGGTATAATTGTTATGTAACTTAACTATTCATATTCATGTTCCTCGTATTATAAGCTTTATTTTGACCGTTGAACTATTACTATACAATTTACTGTTCTTGAGTTATGCATAGTCCATCAATTTACTGTCTCCCACATTCAAAGTCACTTTTGACTAGATCTTGTACAAAAGTTTTTATCTATTTTATAGTACGATGTGGTCTGCTTGGTTTGTATATAAACTCAGTATGTTTGAAATACATGATTCGTATCATGGAGGCTGAGATTGGTGTTCTGGACTTAAGAGGCAGGGAGAAGGACCGATAAACACTCTAGACTGCTGGTGCGAGTTTTATTTGTCATTGATCTGGTCGATAAATCACTATTCTGTAATTGGAAGTATCATTACGTTATACATTGATAGCCCTATATCATTAAATTAAGATTGCGATAAACTCATTTAATCCAAAAAAAATTTATGATAACCTCTTCACAAATTAATGAACATGTTTTATCATATAAAATTTCTTTTTAGTTCCACCAACACTTCTTGAAGATACTGAAGAAAGTCATACACGTCGTATTAATGTTGGTTCAAATTGTGTATTTGAAGTACCATTTAAAGCTTATCCAAAACCTACTATAAAATGGCTTGCTCAAAATATACCTATTACTGATAAAACAAAACGTTATCAAGTTAATATAGTAGCTGGTTTAACATCATTATCTATACAACGTGTACAAAAAGATGATACTGGTCAATTAGTTGTTATCATTGAAAATGAACATGGAAAATTAACATGGAAATGTGAACTAATTGTTATTGGTAAGTGATTATTCAAGTTATTTCTTTCTCTTAGAATGCAGTTGATTTCAATTACCATAACTGCAGAAAATTTTTTTTAAGTGATGTTAAAAATTAAATAATAAGATATATGGTTTGATTAAGATCATAAAGCGATTGGTGTTATACCAACATTAAAAACATGGATGCACTGTTTGACTGCCGTGGGACTCCTCACTATTGCGCTCGCGGAATTTGAACTCAGGGTCTTCGGTCTCACTTGCAAACGCTTAACCTCTACACCATTGAGCTGACCGGCATCCAACGATGTTAATGTCTAACCGCAAACAATCCACCAAATTGCGCGATCATCTTCGATTGTACTGAGGTAGATACTTGTCTCTACGTGACATGGATTAGCTCCACTGGTCACGGCTTCTCATTAGAACTCCGAGAATTCCCTGACGAAGCTGCTCACTAGTGAGCACATAATAATTATCAGTATGAGGTTGTGGAGATTATTAAGTTTTTGGTTGAGGTCATGAACTGATTAATGTTAGACCATTATTGAAAATTATTAAAGAAACACGGCAGTGTACATCCACGATCCCTTTCGTAGGTTAGTTAGAAGTATTTGAAATATTTAACTAGCACCTCATAATATTGCAGGATTAAACCCTGCTTCATATATTCTATTTTGTAGTCATTGTGTATCATTAATTCTTATAAAAAGAAATATGATTCAAATCATATTAATTACTGATTTATCTTAAATTGACTGTAATCACTTTCAAATCATATGCTAAAGTACCTTACCTAACTTTCAACTTTACACTTTTATGGCATCAAATTGAGTCAACAGTTATCCGTTTCAATGTATATGATCAATTTAAGGGGATTTCTATTCTTATAGTTCCATTTACCATATACTTTTATTATTCTCATTTTATTTTAATTAGATAAACCAAAACCAGTTGAAAATTTAACTGTTGAACCAAGTATAGATCGACTTCATATGATAATGAATTGGAAACCACCACGTAAAGATTTAAACAATCCAATAACACATTATGAATTAGAATATCGTAATTCAAAAAATCGTTCATGGCAAACATTTAAAAATGGTCCATTAGATATAGATGATTTATATAAAATACCTAATAATTTAACAAAATTTGAAATAAAAATTACAGAAAAAGAAACAGCGAATAGTCTAGCACCGAATACAGATTATTATTTTCGTATAATAGTTGTTAATGAAGTTGGAAAAAGTGAACCAACTGAAACACGTTCATTCATTAAAACACCATCATTACCAAGTAAGTTAATAACTTTTATATTATATTGTTTAAAATATTTCTATCAGATGGGTTTTGTGAAGATTGTAGTAATTTCAATGGTTAAGATCATAAGTCAGTTGAAGCTAGATCACCATGGAAAACCTGGAAGCACTGGACGGCCGTTTCACCCTATTGTGGGAATCCTCAGCAGTGCGGATCCACGACCTCACCCCCTGCGAGATTCGAACCCAGGACCTACTGGTTTCGCGCGACAGAACTTAACCACTAGACCACTGACCCGGTCGGCATCCAACGGTGTTAATGTCTAACTTCAACCAATCCACAAAATCGCTCCACCGTACACCATTGACTTCAGTGAGCCTCAACTGAATCATGATTTCAACTATTGAACTTCGTAAAATCTCCATCTGCTCACTAGTGACTGACGTCAAGAAACATTTCCTGGAGTTCTAGTGAGAAGCAGTGACCAGTGGAGTTCAACCAGGTTTGTTGTGAGATATCAGCTCACTGGAGACAATGGATAACTTCAACTGACTCATGATCTTAACCAATAAAATATTTCTATCGTCTTCTAATATCATTATCGAAATTTCTATCATAATAAAATTACTATGTTTGAATTGATTATAAGTTCACTTAATCTGCGAACGGAACAAAAACTCTGTGATCAAAGACTAATAAGCTAACTATTCTGATATGTCTTAATCTCTCTATATACAGAGAGAAAAATTCCAAGTTCAAAACCGGGAAATATATTGCTCAAGCAGCTAGAAGCATGAGCAATCACGACCCAATCTAGTTGAAAATGCAATCATTTATATATTGATTTGTGCACCTCTTTTTGATTAATAATCAGAATAAATCACATATATGAAAAATACTTAATACAAGAATATTCTATGTTAAAGAATAAAATGTTACTCTGGGAAACAGAAACAAATACTATATATATTATATATGTAATATATATAATTTCAATAGTTGAATTCATGGGTCAATTGAAGCTAGACCACCATGGAGAACCTAGAAGCACAGTGCGCATCCACGATCCCGCATTCAGGACTCGAGCCCAGGGCCTATCAGTCGCGCACGTGAACGCTTAACCCCTAGACCACTGAGTCGACCGGCATCCAACGGTGTTAATGTCTAACTACAACCAATCCATGAAATTCAATCACCGTCCACCATTGTCTTCAGTAAGTTACTACCCCACAACAGACCCGGTTGAACTACACTGGTCACTGCTTTTCAGATATTATTACAAACAAACTGATAACGAAATTCGATTTTTATATAGATAATGTCAATTAATCCAACGTTTCCATCCATATGATGTTTTTTATAGAACCACCGAAATTAAAGTATGATAAAACTTTGGAAACGTGTAAAACAACCACTGGACAAAAGCATTCTATACCCGTTAGTGTAGAAGGTGAACCATCTCCACAAATAGATTGGAAATTTGTTCCTGACGGTCATCCAAGTGATGAGAGAAATTCACTTCCTAGTGATGCACAAACAGAAGCATCCGGTCCTGACCAAGATGGTGTGAATAAAATTGCATTGAAATTCCGAAAAATATCACGATCATGTGACGGCACATATATTTTAACAGCTGTAAATAATTGTGGTGAAGCTCGTGCTGAATTTCATGTGACTGTGTTGGGTAAGGAACATCTCATTTTTCTAACTTATAGCCATTATATAATGCTTGGTTTCTACTCCATTAGTTTGAAGTAACTAATATTAAATACTGGAAGCGAAGGCCACAACTTTACAAGTTCAATTTTATTTCAGTATGACGATGAATGGCTGCGCAACCACTCATCCATTGGCTGAGGTGGATACCTGCATTTATCCGACACGGTTTTGACTCCACTGGCCACGTTTTCTCACTAGGGCTCTAGGAAATTATCTTGAAGCCAGTCACTAGTGGGGAAATGATATTTATTATCAGTATGGGGTTGTAGAGCATGTTAAGATTTTGATTGCGATCATGAATCAATTGATGTTATACCACCACTGAAAACCTGGAAGCACTGAATGATTCAATGGTGGTCTAACATCAATCGATTCATGATCGCAATCAAAAACTTAACAATCTCCACAACCCCATACATATTTTATTATCAAAAGGCAGAAGTGTGAAAAACCACCAGGGTCACAGTAATTATTGGTTTTTATAGGTATATTCTAAAGAGTCAGTGTAATATTGTAAAAATATTAGAAAAACAAAGTAAGGTGAGCTAAATTTACACCATCATGAAAAAGGAATTACATGAAGTCCAAAAGTAAATTAGACGATGATAAAGACCAAGAAATGATGAAAAAGTTTAGATTGTTTTGTTTTTTCTAAACCTTCATTGAATCAATAAGAAAAAGACTTACTTACTTACTTACAACTGTTACCCCTCGTGGAGAGGAGCATGGACCGCCCACCACCACTTTTCATCCAACCCTGATCTGGGCAATCTTTTCCACTTGTTTCCAGTTGATATCCATCCTTTTCATGTCTGCTTCCGATTCTCAACGTAGTGTGTTCTTCGGCCTTCCACTTTTCCGCTTCCCTTCAGGATTTCATGTTAGGGCTTGCCTCGTGATGCAGTTTGGTGATTTCCTTTATAGGTGTCTTATCCACTTCCAACGTCTTTCCCTAATTTTCTCTTCAGCTGGAAGTTCGTTGGTTCTCTTCCACAGTAAATTGCTGCTGATGGCATCCGGCCAACGGACATTCAGTATCTTGCATAGACAACTATTTATAAATACTTGTACCTTTTTGATGATGGCTGCGGTAGTTCTCCACGTTTCAGCTCCATACAGTAGAACTGCTTTGGCTTTCATATTGAAGATTCTCACTTTCATATTGGCTGACGGAAAACGACTTATATTCTACTAGATGAGTTTCTTTTTCGCTAACTAACAACTTTTATCTATGTATTTTATCTTCATGGATAATATTGATAAGATCGATATTTGATTATGCAAATATGAAATCGATAATCGCCTCATGTTTGCACCAATCTCAGATACTGTTTTTTTTCTTCTTTTGAGTAATTCTGAACCACGTTAACTAACAGTAGTATCGAAAGTTTATAGATAAATAATATTATAAAACATCATTGTTTTACAACTGTTTCTTTTTCTCTCGGAAAAATTCATAACTTTAGGTCTACCAAGTGCACCACAGAATCTTATTGCAACAAATCTGTCAAAAACTTCCATTCGTCTAAATTGGTCACCACCTACTGATACTGGAGGTAGTCAAGTATTAAATTACGTCATAGAACAAGCTGTAGTTAAAAGTAATTTGGCTACACCATCTAGTGTAGGTTATTGGGAACCTGTAACACGTAATCTTCCAGTACATGAAGCATCTGACAGTTCTACAGGATGTATTTATGATATTATTAATTTGGCATCAGAAAAATATATGCTTTTTAGAGTAGCAGCTCAAAATAAACAAGGAATTGGTGAATTTGAAGCTATTACAAGTCCTCTTTTAGTTACATCTCCACACAGTAAGTTAATTTTGAAAATTATAATTTTTATAAATGTTGGTTATTTCTGTTATAACTTATGGCCTATTACCCCTAGCAATATATGACGTTAATATACCGCCAATTAGAGAATAGTGATTTATCGACCAGATCAATGACAAATAAAACTCGCACCAGCAGTCTAGAGTGTTTATCGGTCCTTCTCCCTGCCTCTTAAGTCCAGAACACCAATCTCAGCCTCCATGATACGAATCATGTATTTCAAACATACTGAGTTTATATACAAACCAAGCAGACCACATCGTACTATAAAATAGATAAAAACTTTTGTACAAGATCTAGTCAAAAGTGACTGTGAATGTGGGAGACAGTAAATTAATGGACTAGGCGTAACTCAAGAACAGTAAATTGTATAGTAATAGTTCAACGGTCAAAATAAAGCTTATAATACGAGGAAAATGAATATGAATAGTTTAGCTACTTAACAACAATACAGTAAATATATATATATATATATATCATATTGTTCTATAAATAGTTCTGAAAGGTTACCATTCATAACTCTCACTGGGATATAAAAATTTCAAATTATTAAATCGTTAATATGATTGCAGTATTTTGATGAGATAACTTTGCAGTACTGGACAGCCGTTTCGTCCTATTGTGATACTCCTCAACAATGCGTATCCACGACCCGCGACCTTCACTCTCGCGCACGCGGACAATTTCAATGGTGGTCTTACATCAATCAGTTCATGATCTCGATCAAAAACTTAATAATCTCCACAACCCTATACTGATAATAGGATAACTCTCCAGGGTTCAAAAGGAAGGACATGCAGATCAAGTTATAAAGGAAATATTAATACACTAGGATGCAAGTACATTCAAGTGACAATATACAAAGTAAAATATGTACTTTTTACGATTTACTATTAGTCACTACAAAATATATTGAACATTAGAACTTCTTTAAAAATATATTTATGCTTAAATTATCCATGACATTTCATAGTGAATAAAATTATCATTTTTCTTTTCATATTCTAGATTTACCCGGACCACCAAAAGATTTAAATGGTACAACTGATAAAGATGGACAAGTTCATTTAGAATGGAAACCTCCACAACATGATGGTGGTGCTAAAATTATGAATTATATCATAGAAAAATGTTTATCATTAAAAGATGCTAATTGGTCTGAGATTAAACTTCCTGATTCACCTAATACAATGCGAATTATACCAAATCTTAGAGGTAATTTAACTTATTTATTTACTATTGAATATTTTTTATAAACTAAAGTTGTTTTTCTTAGTTTAAATCACAAACTGGTATAAGCTAAACCGTCACTAGAAACCAAGAAGTAGTTTCGTCCTAGTATGAGACTCCTCTGTAATGCTCATACACAACCCAATCATTGAGGATCGAACTCAGGATCTTAGTTTTTGCGCATGACCGCCTAATCTCCTGATCATCATCTATTGATTAAAACTACGCAAATTCTACAATCTTCACAAACGTCTCTTTACTGATGATGTCATTGTTGTTATCTTTATTTAATTAACTTTCAATTCTACTTTACTAATTCATATTTCTATTCTTTTCATTTAATTTATATGTATCGTTATAATAGATGGTATCTGCTACTTTCGTGTATCAGCTGTCAATGATGCTGGAAAAGGTTCACCATCTAATATCATAGATGTAGATGTTAAAAAAGGTTCTGGTAAGTACTTATAAGTAAAATACTACTCATCTTACAAACAAGTATTTAATATAATACGAGATTTATTATAATAAAATCAGCGAATGACTGTTATAACAAAAATGATTAAAGAAAACTAATCCGATTTATTGGAAAGAGTCAGTTAGGCTTCACTCCTCTTGGATCCCTCCTGGGGTTGCTGACAGTCCCAAGCCCGGACAATGGAGTAGGGTTGGGCATGGAGTTAGCGATCCCATCCCGTAGAAAACTAACTCGTTAGAAAAACGCTAACCAGAAAAAAAATAATTAAAATCATTTAAACTCTGCCCTGAGAGTTAGAAGGTGTTCATTTCGAAGAGTTATGACACCTCACGGTGAAAGCCGAGTTCCTTCAGAAGTCACGAGGCTGATGCCCCCTCTGACAACCATAGCAACCATTAATTTAAGTACATGGAAGGTTCGTACAATGTGGGAGACAGGAAGAGTCATCCAAATTGCTACAGAAAAGGCTTCACGTGGATGATACAGTAATTATTGTAGTGCAAATTACCTGAAACTCCTTATGCTATGTAAACAATAGTATGGAAAGTTTAACAACTAACCCAAATTAAGTGAAGTTTGATAAAGAATGAAAGCACACCAGAAGTTTAAGTTATTCATGAATATGAAGCCGATAATACAATTCGCTAATTTACAAAACACGAAACAGTTAAACTACCGAAATAAATTGAGTCTTATCAACCGATTCACTTATACTAATGGTAAATTTATTAATTATGAAATCAAGTTAGTCAGTTTAGTGTTGTTAGATGCCTACCAAATTTAACCTTAAAAATGTTAAGGATTCAACTCCCAACTTGTTAATGCTAATAATATGCTACTTGATATAACCTTGTAATTATTACTCGTGATCCCAACCATGACCAGGTTTTTTCTTGCGAGCAGATATCCTAATAGTTCGGTTGAATGGCTTGATAGACAACTATCAATTAATTACAAAACGTTTCTTTACCAAGACCTAATGAGCGATGAAAAAAACATTGTGCTTTGATTGAGATCGTGAACCGATTGATGTTAGACGACCACCATTGAAAATCTGGAATCACTGGACGGCCGATTCATCCTAGTATGAGACGCCTCAGAAGTGCGCATCCATGATCCAGCTTTCAGGACTCGAACCCAGGGTCTTCAGTCTCGCGCGAATGCTTAACCTCTACACCATTGAGACAGCCGGCATCCAACGATGTTAATGTCTAACCGCAAACAATCCACAAAATCGTGCGGTAATCTTCCATTGTACTGAGGTAGATACCTGTCTCTACCTGACATGGATTAGCTCCACTGGTCACGGCTTCTCACTAAAACTCGGAGAATTCCCTGACGAAGCTGCTCACTAGTGAGCACATGATAATTATCAGTATAGGGTTGTGATTTTAACTCAAAAAATTTACATCATTAAATAAATTGACAATCACAACATAATGCATATTAATTGAAAGATCATAATGTTTACCGAAATAAGGCATTTAGAATATAAAATTAAAACACTCAACTCATAATCAAGATGACAAGATACGCGTCTGTGAATTTATAGTACAGTCATTTCTCAGTGTTCAAAATGTGTGCGATATTAAAGATTTTAAGACATTCTTCCTATCACTTAGTGAGTGCTTTTTATAAGAGCATTATTTTCAGTGGAGATTTCATTTCTAGTTACGAGAAAATGACATACCAAAAGTAGGACATTATACTTTCCATACTCATTTCGAAGATTACGGAAAATATTAGGCGTTTTTAGGTTATGTTATGTGTGTGTTTGCTAATATTCACTGCCAAGAGAGAAGGATCATATTGCACAATATGTGTACTCACCTTCATATAAAATATATAAAGACTATTGACATTGTATAATACTTGAAATATTTCAGGTTTTACAATTACGTAATTTTCTTCTATTCATAAAGATAAACCTGATCAACCAGGCCAACCAACTGTTGAAGTAATTGCAGATGGTGCTGTTCAACTGCGTTGGTCACAACCATTGAATGAAGGTACTGGTGGACCGATAAAAGGCTATGAAGTACAAATTTGTGAAGTTGGTTCAATTAAATGGAAACCTTCTTCATCAGATTTATGCTCAGTGAATGAAATTCGTTTAACTGGATTAAATCCAGCACAAGATTATTTGTTTAGAGTAATTGCAGTTAATGATGCTGGGTTAAGTTTACCTTCTGAACACAGTAGACCTATTCGTCCAGGTGAGTTATAATTACTGAACAATATAATTGTTCGTACAGATTAATTTGATCTTTAATCAGTTTCCTGTTAAGGTGGATCATTACAGAAAACATTAGGAAATGAATATTAAACATGAATATAGTTAAGAACTCATCACTGGCATTGGGCACTTTAAATAGTCACCAGAGAAAATTAAAAGATTTCGCATATCTTCCCTAGAGTATCCATTCATTAACTTTTTATAAATGTTTATATATAATGAATATTGTTGAGTTCATTAAAAACTATCCTGAGTTGATCATCAACGAACTTTGGACGTCATTTAAAGATAATCACATGTGGTAGTTGATCTTAGTCGAACTGATATATTGTGCAAGAGGTAGCTACTATAATCTTATGACTTTGTGGATAACTTTATCATCTGAAACGATTGGTATAATATCTACTTCTCAGTTGAAATACTACGGATTTTAAAAGAAGATATATTAGGGTAGTGAATTTCATGTCAAACTTAGGGACGATTCCAACATACTTATTTCATAAAGTATTCTGTTCTGTATCTGTCTGTTAAGCATAATCATTTGAGTAAATGATTCATGTTAGCAAACAGTATAACTTCGGTTTATACTACTGGTTGTTCAAATTTATGTATGAAAAGATCAGAGGTATGTACTTTGTTATTTTAATCAACTGCTATACTCCCTGTTGAAGGTCTTAACGAATCCGCTAATAAATATCAGAACTGAAGTCAATGAAACATTGTGTCACTTTAAGTAATAAACTGAATTATTTATTCTTAGTACAGTAATGTTTATATCGTTAGGACTAATATGTATCTTTATGGCCAAAATACTTAAATCACTTTATTAATATAGACATATCAGATTTTGGTTAGTCATATCAGGCCTTCACACCAAGTCGGCTTGCATACAGTTCTAATTTCAAGTTAGCCAAATAACCTATCACTTTAAACCTTTCCATCTCGATGAATTAAATATATCGAGTACCAGTATTCATTCATTTGGCTATCATCGATATTTCTTGAGCATTCATATAGTGTTGGGAAGATTCATAATGGTTTGGAATCTAATGATTTAACATGACTGTTCACATACTATTAGATTCTGTTGGTTCCCGTACTGAACTTTGTGCAGAATTTTCCTATGTTTACATTTGATAAGTTCAAATAGTTATGGCCCTTTATGATATCAGGATTTCCGGAAAAAAAAATCCAGTAGATTCAACTGTAGGTCTTCTGATGTGTATCATCCTTTCCACTAACATATTCTATTCGATAGGCATGCTGAACCTTTTGGTCAGTTGTCAGGAGAATAACATTATGATGTGACCTCAGCTTTGCTCTAAAACACGATTGCTATCATTTACACGTTCTGTTGGATACTAGGCTTCCGGAATACACGCATGAGAAATCGTTTAAATCATTATTAATTTCGATCAATTTAATTAACTAGATTTGGTGGTAACTTCTAACTAATTTAATATAACCTCGGTTTCACTTTACCATTAATTTAGGTTTTGAATTTCGTTACAATTAAGAGACCTCCTGTACCAGTAAGAACGCAATTATTTTGGAGTGAAACAACATAACAGTATTGTCCGGTGAAGTTAAAAACAATGGTTACAGATTGTACTTTAATCTTAGCTTTGTGAATAGTCACTAAATCCTAATCGGATTTTTATTGTACCTTAATACTGATGTGGAGGAATACTTGATTGTCTTTCCAATTATCCTTTATAAATAAACATTTAACATCAGTTATTTGTTCATGTTTAAATGTTAAGAAATTAAAGATGGATGAATGGGAATTGTATTTTATTTTTGAACTTTTAGCTACTGATGTGGATTTCGTTCGTCAGTTGGAGAATCAATCTATTACAGAGTTACCATCTGATGTTGTATTTGAATGTGAACTCTCTCGACCTGGTATGACATTGATATGGTCCAAAGATGGACGTGATCTAAATTTATCATCACGATGTGTGTATAGCGTTATTGGAGAAGGTGATAAAGCTTTTTGTATTCACCGACTAACTCTTATAAAGGTTAGTCCAGATGAACAAGGTGTATACAGTGCGAGATTAGTAACTGGGAAAAAAACTGAAGCTATATTGACGATTGAATGCCCACCAAAAATATTTTATGATGGACCGTTAGAAATACAATTACTCAGTGGAAAAAGTACAGTGATTGAAGTACCATATACTGGTGCACCATTCCCAGACGTTAATTGGTCATTTAATCATGGACCATTACCGATCGGAGCAAAACGTCAATCTCCTATTGCGTCAGTAGATACAGTATATGGATTAACATGTTTGCGTCTGCGTCACGTTACAGGAGAAATTACTGGAAATTACAAACTTCTGGTAAGTTATACAGTTTATTTCTCTCTGGCCCAAATGTATACATATAATACAAAAGTCCTTGGTCCTAAAACTGATACTTTTTTTCTTATAGATAAGTAATGAGCTGGGAAAGGCAACTTTAGAACTTATTGTGAAAGTACTAGATGTTCCAGGACCTGTACGTCAATTGAAGGCAACGGTTCAAAACCAACCGTCTGGTACTGCATTACTGACATGGCAAGCACCAAAAGTGGAAGGTGGTTCACCAATAATTGGTTATCTTGTCGAAAAACGTGAAGCGAATAAACGTAGTTGGACACCATTTGGCTCTCAAGTTAAGGAATTAAGCTGTGTCGTTGATGGTTTGACAACTAATACAGGTTATTTCTTCAGAGTTATGGCTCAAAATATATCAGGTTGCTCCGAGCCAACAGAAACCGATATATCAGTAGTGATACCATGTTTAACAAGTGAGTTTATAGTTTTTCAAATAAATTTTATCGTTTACTTAAAAATTTTATTGATTCTAATGTCGAATGGATAGTTTTGCTGAGAATTTATTGATAGAAATAAAAGTAGAAAATAATTTAATGTATTGGCAAGGTATTTTTAACATCTGAATTCACGAGTCGATCTAAGCTAGACCACCAATGAAAACCTGTAATCACAGAACGGCCGTTTTACCCTAGTATTAGAGGTGAGACTATAACTTATGGACGACCTTTGAGCGACGCGTAAGTGGCCTTGAGAACGGCTACCTACTGACTAGGGCTAACTGAGGGTTTTAAACCCGTATGAATGATAAGGATTATGATTTAGAGTTAATAGTTAGGGATAGGGATTAGATTTAGGGTTTTCATCACAAACTGATATCAGCTAAAATGCCAAGACGCTATTTAACCAAATGGATAAAGAATTTCACGCCGAAATCCAAGACCTATTATCTTAAATCTGATTAGTTCATCCATAAATTATAGTCTCGTCAAATTGAACTCCTCAGCAGTGCTCATCCACAGTCCCGCACGTGGAACTTGAACCCAGGACCTTCAGTATCACATGCGAACGCTTAACTTCTAGATTATTGAAAAATAATCCAACTAAGTCCATTCTAATGTTTCATAGCAAATTTTAAGCTACGTGACATTGAGTAACATAGAACAATATAATTACTTGAAGAAAATTAATTGATAGAATACATTCATAATATGATTTTATGAATTACATTCTGACAACTGATAAGATGAGGTAAACTATGGAATTCATATCCGATAAGAATTAATTAATGAAAAGGTAACAACTAAAATATTTTTCATATAATTCAGCTTAATGCATAGATATTGTTTAAAATGACTGTTGTGATGAAATAGTTAGTGATCCAAAAAAATTCCACAGGTATAAATCATACATTGATGACCTGGAAGCACTGGACGGCCACTTCGTATTAGTATGGGACTCCTCAGCAGTGCGCATCCACGATCCCACGGTTGAAGAAACTTCTTAATTAATTAGAGAAGAAAGAATCTTTAATCTATTGTCAGATTTCATCTCAGTGAATGTTAATTACCAATCAACATATTGTAGTTAAGAGGGGTGAATACTAATTACAAATAGTTACATCATTTTTTCAAACATGATGTTTCTAGTTAACCTTATTCAATTGACATGAATCTGTTGTTTGAATAGTATTGTAATTGTATTCGAGGATTTCCGGGTAAGAAATGAAACCTGAAGTTGGAATGAAAATACATCTTTAGTTGGATTGAATAAAGGGAAAATTATCCAGGATAAAGAAGTATCGAATACACTTAGTTTGTATACATTTATACAGTATGGATTCATTTTACTTAACTTATTGATATACTTCGTAGGAATACTGTAGTTTGTGGAAGTTATTTATTGTCTATATCTGATTTATATGACTTTAAATCAAGTATTATAGTAATTTTAAACTTCAGTCAAATAAATGGTAGATATGTAGAGACTCCTTAAAAGTACAAAGAGTCACTTATAAAGCAATATTTTTGTGATGTATTTCTTCTTGTTGAAAATTATTTGATTTGTTTTATAATATTCAGAACCTCCATCGGCTCCAGGGACACCAGAAGCAAGTGATATTGGTACGGATTCATGTCGAGTCAGTTGGGAACCACCCAGTTCAGATGGTGGTGCTCGATTGACATTTTATCATTTAGAGAAAAGAGCAAATCTTAAAGGTAATTGGGTAAGAGCTTGTGCGGATAAATTACCTATTCTGACGAATGAAGTAAAATCTACCTATGTGACAAAAGTAACTGGGCTTGTACCAGATAATGTCTACGAATTTCGTGTAGCAGCTGAAAATGCTGATTTTATGGTTGGTGAATACTCCAATTCAAGTCACAGAATTTCAACTCAGCTACCATTCTGTAAGTATCCACTTATAACATTTGCTTTCTATAACAGATATGATAACTGTTTTCTTTAGCGACCAGGAGACTGTTTTCTTAAGTCCAAGTATAAGGCATTTAGATTACGACTGATAAATCTTGCTCGACGGAAGTGGTTAGAAAATCGTGATATGAGATGATAAGATGACATTATTTAGGTCATTTTTTTGTATCAATTCATTATGAATTTCGGCCAGGGTGGCAGATGCGAAGTTCATTCCGTATAATATGTCGAAATCAATATTTTCTTGTATCAGTTTCAAGATAAACTTTGTTCTTTATGGCAATTGTAAACTCGTTCATTGCAATAATTTTATTAATTCAGGTGTACTGTATTTATTGTATGTTACACCCGAATGTAAATTGAATGAATGGTAACTGCTAGGGAATATTTAGGGACTATTACTAGATTATGCGTATATTCATACTCCTTTTATCATAAGTTTTCATTTGACCTATTGACTAGTATTATATGATTTACCGTTCTTAACTTAATTCCAATTTATTAATTACAGTATCCCACTCTTACAGTCACTTTTTTGGCTTGATCTTGTATAATAATTATTTTTCATTTTATGGTCATGCGGTCTGGTCTGTTTATATATAAATCAAATATGTCTGAAATATATGATTCATATAGCGAAGGCTGATATTTATGTTCTGAACTGAACGAGCTGGGTTGGTCGAGAAGCTACTATAAAGACGACCAATATGGACTCAGAGTTGACTCAATGCTGCTAGCGCTGGTTTACGTGTAGTTAATGTAGCACGGGGAAAATGTCATAGAAAACGATATTCTGATTGGCGATTTTGTCACATGATATTTAACGAGTCATAGAACTCAGTGTACTTTTGCATTGACTGTATATATACCCCCTTAGTTTTTAAATAGAGTTCAGCCGAGAAAATCTCCGTTTTGTCGAAATCAGTTGCTTAAGCTGTGTATTAGTATCCACGGTTGCTTGGCTAATAGAAAAATAGACAACATTACATCATAAAGTGATTCTAGATTTCAAATATCAAAAGGGGTTGAATAATAATTAAGGGGTTAGGAAAGACTAGGAGTATGAAAATAATTTCCGGGTTAGAATTATGAGAGATAATTGTCCATTCGAAAAACGTAAAGGTTATAATAACAATTGAATAATAATAATAACAATAAAGGATAATAATATCTGGTTACGGTTTAAAACTAAGAAACAAGACTAAAACATACTGCATAAAGGAATTAGAGCCAAGGAAGGATGAGAGGTTGGAAATGTCGTTTTTGAGTTTTGTGTAGATTGTTTTGAAGGAAAACTCATTTAAACCAACGTGTCCAGATTTGATCAGATGTTCTAGTATTGAACCGGCGATCGTTTGACATTCTCTTTTTTAAAGCTACAGCTTAAGTAAATGATTTCGTCGAAAAGAAAATCCTCTTCGCTGAATTCTCTTTATTTTAATTCAGTAACACTATGGGTTACTTTAGTATATAATCGATTATAATGTGGTCTAAGTTTGATGTGATTTTGGTTACTGTGATTTGAATGTGAATTGGGGACTTGTTTGGAGACGTGTTTTTGGGAGTCAATAAATCTTCAGTAACCAGTCTTTTCGTGTTCGCACTTTGCGTCGTGGAAATTGTGGCGGTTCCCGTCTACAGGTACATGGAATAGGCTTGAGGAATTACAATAGTTTCCAATTTTCATGTAAAAGCAGTAAGACAGTAGACTCAACAGAGTCGATACGTACATAACGACAACAACTTCTCAGATATAACAGTTGGTTACTCAATTATAACAGAGACGAATTTCGAATACATTTCATAGCTCAGCATTGGTACCTCATTCTTGATGTCATTGTAAGCTTGGTTAAAGAAAAGATGCAGAAATTAGTTTATGACAATTCAAGAAACGAAAAAATGTAACTACAAATAAAACTGCAGTTAACGTTTTATGTTTTTTTAATCACAAGATTCATCTCAATTTATTAATATTTGAATGATCTGCTGTTCTAATGACTACCTCATCTATCTATTCATTCCAGCTGTACCCGGTAAACCATCAAGACCTGAAATTCAGAATATTACAGAAACAACTATTGGTTTAGCCTGGAAAGCACCATATGATGATGGAGGAGATTCAGTAAAAAAATATGTTGTTCAATATAAAGTAAGTTTGGCATATATAGTAAACAAGGTTACTGAAGTTTAGATATTTTGTCTCGATAATTTATTGTCCAATGAAGAAGAGATTAATGTCTATGACAGTCCATTGATTAGCTGTAGATATACAACAGTGTTTTATTACCTTCGTTATAGTAATGAAAACCATTTTTTACTAAAACTCAATAATAGTGCCTCAGAAATGTACAAGCTTATGAAGTTTCTATTTGTAACTGTACGACTCTATATTAGAAGCTTTTGCATTAAGAAAACATGAAATTTACTCTTGATAAAAATTTCCACCCTCAAGAAAATAGCTCACAAAATTTTCCATTTCACATAATTTTGCTATACACATGTGAATGTAGTTACCATCAGTAAGACATGTTGTTACAATCTCGTGAGAAATCATCATTAATAATGAAATTAAAACCTTCTTGGGGGGAGTGATGTCTGAGTTACAAAGATTATTGCTGACATATTTAAGCCCCATTCGTCGGTCTTCAATAACATGAACTAATCTCTAATGTCTAAAGTATATTTCTACACTCTGATACATTCCATCATCCTTGACTTCTGGTTTGATTAGCTTTAGGATCGCTGTATTAGAACAGGTTTCGAACAGTAGCGTAGACAAAAACACTGCATATCCGTGAAATCTTCACTACCATATATCTGTATATTATATTCAAGTAATTTCAAGTTAATCGCACAGATTGGCTCATTCCAATAACAATTGTAATGATTCATTTCTCAATAACAAATATAAAACTATTGGAGAAGAGTGATGTTTGCTACAAATCCAGCTTCATTTCATTTTAAAGACCGGGTAAAGATTCCCTCAACGGAGTTGTGGATGCGCACTACTGAGGAGTTCCATACTAGGGCGAAACGACCGTACGGAGATTCCTGGTTGTCACGGATGGTCTAACTTAGATCGGTTCAGGATCTCAATCAGATTCACTATGTTATTACTATTTATAGTAAGAACTAGCTCACAAACAACACTTTTCAGAAGATATAAATTATCGGTTTATACGATCATTAAACAAACAAAAAAAGAACAATACATTTTATGATCTGTAATATGCTAGTTGGTACTGAATGTTAAAGTCATGTTTATGACTATCAAGTATTACTTAATCTAAATGTGTAGATACGCGATTACCAAAGTAATAGGACATTTTTGTAGAATATTGATTTATGGACTGTATATGCACACTAAACAAGTATAAGGATACTAAGAGTGTAGTACATTTATTTTTATTCATTTTATTTTCATATTTCTATATTTTGCAATGTTATTACCTAGACTACATCATCAAGTGAATGGAAAACAGTTAGTGAAATGCCAGTTGATCTGGAATTTACTGTAGCTCATTTACAATCAGATGAACAATATGAGTTCCGTGTAGCAGCTATCAATTCAGCTGGTCAAGGACCATGGTCTGATACATCGGAACCATGTAATCCAGCCAAAGCGATCGGTAAGTATATAAATATGTTTATTTACCGACTACGGTTGATGAGGTTATGAATTTTCATTGACTTAGATAGTTGGGCCATGTGTTACGTATGCCTGAACACCAATTACCACGGCGCGCAATGCTGACTAGTATTGGACACGGTTGGAAGAACGTTAGGGGCGGTCAAACCAAAACATAGCATCAGTCCTTGAAGTCACTAACTTCTCGTCTGAGCCATGTTGGTAGATGCAGATTACTTGGTTGGGGATCGCGAGATGATAGCAACCGATGGTTAGAGACCCTGAATGACATGGCTCAAAATCGTTTGCAATGACGCAGGTGCATCCACTCTTTGTGTTCTCCCTTATTTTCTTTCCAAATTTATTTCACTGTATTATAACACCTTCAAACCCTAATCTTTCGAATTACTGCTTATACTCTTACTACCTCTACCACTACGAGATTTGAATCGACAACTGCATCTCTGTGCTAATGTGGTGGTGTGGCAACTCGAACTGATGTACGTACGTACGAAGTTCTACGTTGTTGATTGACTGACTGACTTGGTTGAGGTCTGCGCTACTATCGTAACCAATGGTTAGAAACTCTGAATGATATGGCTCAGAATCGATCACAAAGGCGTGGGTGTATACAATCTTTGTATTTCCTTAAACCGTGAGGTTAAAATTACTTTATATCTTTCTTTCTATGAACTAATTCTTTCTCCGCGTATTATATCCTTATACACAATCTTTCTTTTATATATTACCACCACTGAATTAACTACATCTATGAATTTGTTGTTCACCTTGTTGTGCTAATGAGGTATGGCAACTTGGACCGATGCATATATGTGCCTGGTCCTACATTGTAGCTAACTGACTAACTGAGTTTACAAGCTTCCTTTATGCATTGTCTAATAGTTGAATTCAGAGCATGTATTAAGCTGCAATTCAAAAAACGTAACCTGGAAACGTTCATTTCCTAATTTTGTTAATAATGCTACAATTAAAAAATATATACATAAGTTATTTGGTGTAGACTTGAATATATTATGTAACACATCACCAATCAAAAAACGAACTAATTGACTAGATCCAATGATGAATCAAACAGTACGAACAGTCTAGAGTCAACTCTGAATTTTCATTTGTTCACTGAAATATTAAATTCTCGTCTAACCTAGTCGGTTCAGTTGAGAACACTAATATCAACCTCCATTATATATTCCAGACATACTTGGTTTATATACAAACAAATCAGACTGCATCATACCATAAAATAAAAAATAACAATTATACAAGATCTGGTCAAAAAGTAGCTGTGAGTGCGAGATAAATAGAGAATAACTTAAAACTAGTAAATCTTATAACAATAGTCGATAAGTCAAATGGAAGCTTAAAATGAAAGGAATATGAATATACATATAACATAGTTACTTAATAGCTATACAATAAGAATATATATAATAATAGTCCATAAATAGATCCTAGCCGTTACCATTCACTTATCCTTCGTCCATATATGTTAGATACATTTTGATATACTTTAACAAAACGATTTTTTTTTCTTTAAATTATTAAGTATAATCTTAATATTTTATGAATCTATTGAATTTTAGAATCTTCTAAACCTTCATTAGTCAATCCTTTAAGTAATGTAACAGTATTGGTTGGTCAATCAGTTGAATTAAACTGTGATTTTCAATTAGGTGAACCAAAAGGAAATGTTACTTGGTACGTTTATAATTCAGTATCAATTTTAATAGTTGGAATCATGAATCAATTAAAGCTAAACCATCATGGGAAACCTGGAAGCACTGGACGGCCGTTTCATCCTATTGTGGGACTCCTCAGCAGTGCTCATCCACGGTCCTGCCTCCAACCCAGTACCTATCAATCTCTCGCGCGAACATTTAACCTCTAGACCACTGAGCCGGCCGGCCGTTGTTAATGTCTAACTTCAACTAATCCACGAAACTGACCGACACATCCACCATTGTCTTCAATAAGTTACTATCTCACAGCAGACCTGGTTGAACTCCACTGGTCACTGCTTCGAATCTCGCTAGGCGGGATCGTGGATGTGCACTGCTGTGGAGTCCCACAGTAGGACGAAACGGCCGTCCAGTGCTTCCAGGTTTTCCATGTTTGTCTACCTTCAATTAAATCATGATCTCAACTATTAACATTACTATAATATCCATAAAACCCCCTCTGATATTAATTCTATTTTAATCATATACATTCATGTTCATTATAATACAACTTAATAACTAGAGCCAAGTTGATAATACAACTAGACTATATGTCGCATATTATTATTATTATTCAACAGTTTTGATAAGATTAAATAAAATAAGAAGATGAAGTTTGGTAAAACTATGTAGTATATATTGAAAGTAATTAATTGACTTACTAAGACTTTTATATATGATAAATGAAAGCTCAACTTGACCAAAGAAAGAGAAAAAGCTAAAATAACATTAAAAACAATAAGAATCAAAACATTGGATAATAAATCAATATTACCAGAATAGGTTTATTGTAAGCACAAATTGTATTTGAATACATATGGAAGGTTTTAACTTTCGTATGGGTGAAGATGGATGATGGCTAGCAGTGAAATCCAGTTTGACGCGCGTTTTGTCTTATTTGACACTCATCAGCTGGATGTACGTGCATCATACAGTTGATTTTCACTCCGGAACTTGAAACCGGCACCGTACAAAAAGGCTGAGTTGAGCTCAATCTTATGAGCTGTTTCAATTGTGATCGATAATGAAAAAAGTTGGATGTTTATTATCCGCTGCAGCCATCTCGGCACATATTCAACCAACCTCATGTGTAAATCATGATTACTTAACCATATGTGTGCATGTGTCCTCGAAAACACGAAAACTAATAAACAGATCGGGAAATAATGCAGTTGTTTACTTGCTGTTTAGGGTTTTTTGAGAAATATGGACACGTTTCGTAAGTGCCAGAAACATAGTAGGCCTCAAAATTCCGTGGCCTTTCCATCGGCTTATGAATTTAGTTGTAAGTCTATTATCCACTAATGTTTTTTTTAACAGCTTCTCCTCACCTTCAAAAGTTTTATTTATACAGACACAGTCAATCCTGTAGAACAGAACCTTTATGAAATGTCGTTTGTATTGAAATGGACAATAAATAGGAGAACTAAAGTATTGCTCTATATATGTAGGTTGTCTATAAATAGATTGGCTGGTTAAATCATCTCTTCGACTGATAAGTATATTCAAGAAATGAAGCTGGTTGTTCTTCTCCCTGTTACATGAAAGACTAATGTGATTTTTAATAAGTTTGGAACGAAGAAGAATCAGAGTAGATGTTACTACAATTTACAAAGTTGGTTAAGTTAGATATATTATTTATGTTTGTGTTCACTCACTATTCTGTATAAAATCGTTAAACACTTAACTTGACATTGATGAATGACATTTTTGGAATGGTAGATGCATTGAGATATATATGCCATGAAGTGATCGGGCTTTAAAATACTGATCATTAGATTCAAATATTTACTTTTTTTATACTTCATTAAAATTATGAACCGATCACAGGTAGACTAGCATTGAAAGCCTATATGTCCTGGATAGCTGTTTCGCCCTAGTATAGAACTCCTCAGCAGTGTTCATTCGCGACCTCGCAAGCAGGAGTCGAACACAGGACCTTCATGTGAGAACTGTTTGTGTTGCGATAGCCTCTCTACAAAAAGCAAATGAATTGAACATAAAAATCATGTCACTGTTCCACAGTATCAAAATATAAATATCTAAATAGATGAAGATAAACAAAATATTGTTCATAGTATTTAATAGATTATCACTTCTTTTTTAGGTTTAAAGACGGTAAACCAATAAGAAGTCAAGTCAAGTATTCAACAAGTTCAGCATGGGAACGCAGGGCTAATTTAAAAATAAATCGTACTAAATTAGAAGATGCTGGTGTATTTAGTTGTGTAGCAGAGAATCCATCGGGTAAAGTTGAAACAACATGTCGTGTAATTGTAGCTCAAAAACCTATTTTAAATCTTGAATTAGACAAATCTGTATCAAGTAATGTAACTGGAATTTTAAGTAAATCAGATCACTTAACTGGTCGGGTCGGTGGCTGTTTAGCACTGAAAGCAACTTGTGAAGCTTTTCCAGATTGTGAAGCTATAGTATGGTTTATCAATGGAAAACAAATTGATTCAAGTTTAGATTCAGAATTATTATCTCGTGTAATAATTAATGATACACCTACAAGTCGGATTTCAAATGTACCTAAACCTCAAGTTTCCATACTAACTATCAGTAATCTACATCTTTCGGATGCTGGTGAATATGGATGCAGTTCAGTAAATGAAGTAGGAACTGCTCAATCCGCTATAAAATTAATTTTAAACGATCGTCCACAACCACCAATGTCTATTGAAGTAACTGAAACTCGTGGTCAAGATTGGATAGAGGTTAAATGGGAAAGACCATCTAGTGATGGTGGTTCAAAATTAACACGATATATTATTGAACGTCGTGTTATTGCAACTTCTACTTCTAGAGATCAACCTCCATCAATTCATGAAACAAATTGGTCTAATGTTGGTCAAGCTGGACCATATGATGATCATTTACGAATACAAAATTGTAAGCCTGGGACAGTTTATTCATTCCGTATTTTTGCTGAGAATGAAATTGGTATAAGTGATCCAACAGAAATTGAATCACCTTATCAAATGAAATTATATACAGGTAAATATTATCAAGTGGTCACTGTATTAAAATGTTTACTTTGTATACAAGAAATAATTGTTGGACCTAACTTTACATAATGATAAATCTATACAGGTTACCGGAATATAAATATGTAATTTACAAGGGAGTAAAAAAGCTTTTACAAATTTAGTAAGGATATAAGATATCGAAATGAAAACATAGATTAATTCCCTTCGTAGATATAGAGAGGTTCCATAAATTCAGCTGACATGTGTAGGAAGTATATAACAAACAAACTTCATTAACTGTATTAAGTTTCACTTTCTACCACATGTGTATGGATCAGTTTAACTGAGTTATTTGAAGCGTGTCCTCAGTCTTACTCACTGAAACCTCGTGGAATTTTAGGAATGGATACTATTTATCTTGGTGACTATTTGAAAATTGAGTAAATGAGTTATATTGCATCCGGGTTACTTTACTGATACACCGATGAACTTATCAATACACACAAAAGATTACAAAGGAACCAAACATTAATTAAAGGGTATCATGTATGTTATGGTAGAATTTACAGTTTGTTCTAGCAATTAACCTAAAGATACGAAGGAAACTATTACCGGCTTTTGTTTACCTAAAATTGATTTAGCCATTTAAGTGGAGACAGATTTGATTATGACTTGAGGTTTCACATAACAACACTTGCTTACCGAGTAATAAACAAGAAGATGAGTGTTAAAAACTGGATTGACATAGATTACCAGTTAGAAGTAGAGTTAGTACACCTCAGACAATTAATTACTTTCATATAATATGTGAATGTATTTGTCCTAAAAATAACAGAATCCAAGGTCGGTCGGATATAATAAAATATTACATACTGCAAGCCAATCGTTATTCAATCGTCCAATCTACGTTTCACACTCCAAGAGTGGATATAAGTTAGTCTTTCTAGAAACTAAAGTCAACTGTATATCCGTATGGTTTTTGTATTCAATATTGATCACGGATCTCAGTTCAGTCAACGTTGTAAACTATAAATCGAAAGACAGTTGTTTAATCCGACTAAAGGACTTCTCAGAAGTGTACACCTACTACTTACGTAGTTAGGTTATTCACAGTGTACAAGTAAACAAAGGTTATTCTACAATTATGCGCAAAACAGTATTTCTGTCATCTCCACCTATCTTAACAAATATTAAAACGGGTTGTTTCTAAGTCTACAAATCCCAGTTTACCATAATGTAAACAAGAGTTTAATGAATAGTAAATTATTGCACTATGAACAAACAACTGTTAAAAACTGCGAAAGTGAATACTTAATGCTTTAAAGATTCCATGGTCCTACCTGGATATTACTTCCTACTGTACGTAGGTACTTCACTTGTTATTGTTTTTCAACTTTTTTTTTCGTTTTCCTCCTTGCTTTTTATGACGATGATTATCCCATTTTTTATTGTTCGGTATATTTTTGTGACATGCGGTGGAGGACGAAAAGCGAATGTCCGGCGCTTTAACCGAGTTGACGGACACGGATCAGACCCTTAGGTCGAAGGCTTCGGGTGTGGCCCCCCGCTTCGCTTTGGGCACCCAGGCAATATCCCAGCCCTCACACAAATCGAATGATTTATGTGGCGCATATCTACTTGGTGCCTCCTTGTACCAATGTTTATGTATTTAAATAAAATAAAAATAAATATATTTTTGTAAGGTTTTTTTGAAGGGAATTTAATTATTCCTTCCTATATAAACGTGCTTATTTATATATCCTGTAGGAGTCTCAAATCAACAATGAATTTTCTTTACATCGATAATTTCTTTCTTTACTCCCATTTAGACTTACCATCACCCCCGACTCATGTCACAGCAGAACGTTCATCGCCAAGAGAAGCTAAAATTCAATGGCGTCCACCTATTAGTGATGATGGTGATTCTATTCAAGGTTATATGGTTGAATTACGTGAAACACCAGATCCAAAAGATCAATATACATCAAGATGGACACAAGCCAGTCCGAAATTAATACGATCCGCCACTACCTTAAAAGTTGATGATTTACATCCTGATATGTTTGTTCAATTCAGAGTTCGTGCTCGTAATCTAGTTGGATTTAGTGAACCATCTGAACCATCTGATTGGATTGAGCCTATAGTAAAAAGTAAATTATTCTCACTTTAGTTACATCATTTTTTCGGAAAAAATTTCTTTTTAAGTATGGGAGATTTTTGAAGATGGTAGAATTTTCAGAGTTCGGATTATGAACTGATCTTAGCTAGACCACCATTCAAAATCCCGACGCACTGGACGGCTGTTTCTTCCTAGTATGAGACTCTTCAGTAGTGCATATCCACGAACACATGGCTGGGAGTCGAACCTAGGACCTTTGTAACTATTGGTTGAGTAAATTGTTAGCTATGTTTTTCACAATCATTTGTCATAATATTATTTTAAAGGACAGGAAATATTTCTACGCCTTATTACCTGAATAAAGAACTGACAAAAGCTAAAATAATATTTTAGAAGCAATAACTATCCAGAAGAATTCATAGATACGTTCCAATACCATCGGTCAGGTTTCACAGTCTGTAAGTTGGATATATCATACTTCTTAGCTCAACAGTAGTTATTTGATGTGAAGAATAACATATTGCTTAATTAAATAATGATGTGTTTGTGATTATGATAAAAGTTAACCATACAATTTTCTTTTCATTCTTTGATTGAGATCGTGAATCGATTGATGTTAAACCACCTTTGAAAACCTGGAAGCACTGGAAGGCGGTTTTGTCCTATTGTGGGACACCTCAGCAGTGCGTATCCACGATCCTGCCAGCGGGATTCGAACCCAGTGCCGTCAGCCAGTCTCCTAACACTAAACGCTTATCTTATTGTAAAGAAATTATGATTTTCGAAACGAATAGTTAAAAAGTACGTATGAAAAGGTCTTGATTTCTATGTAGCCCGTTCAATCATAGACTAAAAGAAATTATATACCTTTAACTTTACATCTCGATAGTAATGAAAAGTATACATTTATTATCATTTTGACATTTTCTAGAACCCCGTGAAAGTATAGATGAATCGACGCGCAAAAAAGATGACACTACGAAATTACCTAAAGATGATAAATCACCTTTGGATATTGTACAAGAAATAATTGCACTTAAAGAAGCTAGTCGTCCGAAGAAAATAATTGATAAAGGTTAGTAAAACTTTATTTGCAGTTTTTGTATATTCCTTTAACTTACGTTTAATAAGTTAGATTAATTGAAAATTTGATTTATAACAAAAAAATGTAATGATATTAATCTAAACTCAACAATATCCACTGATAATTATCATGTGCTAGCTAGTGACCAGCTTCAAGATAGATTTCCTGAAGCTCTAGTGAGAAGGCATGACCAGTGGATTTCAACCATGTCTATTGTAAAACAGTTACTCACTGAAGACAATGGTAGACACAATATCGTGGATTGGTTGAATTTATACATTAACACCGCTGGATGCCAACTCAGTGGTGCAGAGGTCCTGGGTTCGAATCCCGATTACGAGATCGTGGATGCGCACTGCTGGGTAGTCCCACAATAGGACGAAACGACTGTCCAGTGTTTCCAGGTTTCGACTGATGGTCTAACAGCCATCCATTCATCATATCGATCTAAACTCAACAATCTCCACAACCCTATACTGATATAAATTAAAAGTAAATCATTCATCTTGTGTTGCATAAAAATTGTGAACATTTCAATTGTAATTGATTTACTGTATGACTAAATAAAATTTTTCATTAGATTTACCATATTACTTTAGTTTTCACTCCTGGAGGCTTTATTCAATAGTATAATTCATATTCTGTATGCCCAGACATAGTGTTCCATTCAATTTGGAATAGTTGAATGTCTTTAGAAATAGTTTGTTAGCAGTATTTAAAAAAAAGAATTAGTTTCATATACCTTTTTTTATTATTATATTCTAGATGCACCTCGAATACAGCTTATTAATGAAGATACTTATCGTTTAAGACCAGGAAATAATTTACGTGTCGGTGTACATCTTGATTCTGTTTCCAAAGCTAATGTAGAACTTTTAACAGCAAGTGGCCAACCATTACTTGGGAATGCACTTGGAAGAACTCGTATAGAACAATTTGGAGATGATTTCTATGTGAATTTACGTAACATTAATCTGTCTGATGCAGGTACTTATTGTATAAAAGCAATAAATACAGCAGGTGAAAGTAACCAATTAATCCATTTAATTGTTCTCACTGAACCACTTCCACCGAAATCTCCATTAACAGCTAAAGTAATTGAAAGTCCTAAAGGATACTCTGAAGGTGCAACAGTTGAATTAACATGGGGACCATCACCATTACGTGATGGGGAATCACCAGAACTTACTTCACCAGTATTAGGATATTGCATTGAACGACGTGAAGGTCAACGTCGACAACAATTTAATTATCCTATTCGTTTGGTTGGTTCAGATAAATTATCTGTAAAAATACCAGATTTGAAACCAGGAATTGAGTATGTATTTCGTGTCAGTTCATATAATGATGTAGGATCAAGTGAACCAACTTATTCAGAACCACTTATCATTAAATCTCCATATGGTAAGCAAAAACATTAAACAATATTATTTTAATTAATAGTTAAATTAAATAACATTTTCATCCAATTGTTTTACTGTTCACCATAATAAAACATTAAACATTTTTGAATTATTCAAGGTTAACATGTCTAAAAATTCATTGAAACAAAATATTTCGAAAACGTTGAAGTCACTAAACTCACTATCAGGACTCAGTAACTATGTGGATAACGTGATGTCGTTTGAAGCGAATGGCACTGGGTTCGAGTTCCAGAGTGAATATCAACTATGGGATGCAGGTATATCCAGCTGACGAGTCCCAAACAAGACGAAACGCGCATCAAACTTGATTTCACTGCTAGCTAATATTTGTTTTTGCTTATAATCACTGTCATACCACCTTATCTACATATAATGTGAGATGAATTCAGTATTTAACGAACAGTTCTACAAGATTTACTTTAAAAAGCATTCTCTGAGTGTATACAGAAAAAAGTCAAGTATAGAATATAGAACTACAATAAAGCACAACTATGGTTACTGATATTCACAAAAGTAACCTTTTAAAGTCGATCAACTCATATGGTGTACATTCTTAAATGAAAATTGTAATTCATCAATGAACACGTACACATATATTGATAGTCAGTGACTGGAATTGTGTAGATTCTTATCTGCATGAACTAACAATCTAACAGTTCACAAATGTCTGATAGAGATACTGTGGATAATTACTCTAGGCTTTATATGGTTAACTGTTTAGTCTTTTACTTTGTTATCTGTTTAGATAGAAATACTCCAACATTGTTATTGATATTGCTACCTCCATCATTATTATTACTATTTTATAGATACTTTTGAAATAAGTTTAGATTCTCTCAATTATACTGGTGTGAAGCATACAATCCGAGATTGAACTATGAAATAATCCAATCACCTATACGATGGTTACGCACTTTACTCCATATCCAGTTCATTATATTATCGCTCATATGTTAAACTAATTCAATACCTTAAATACCTCATCAAACTAACTGACATGTATATGATTGACTAATACAGAGGGTAAGAAAATAGATAACAAAATATATAGGGTTGTAGAGATTGGTGAGTTTCATTGATGGGTTTATGATTTCAACATACATAATTATCTGTCCGCTTTCATCAACCAATCGCAACTTAGTACGATCAGACACAAATCACTTTCCTCGTAATAATTGGATTTTATGTTATCAATATTTTGGCCTCTTACTGTTTATTTTTCAAAACATACGAATTCGTATAAAACATAATAGTTTTGTTACCATTCTACTTTTTCTAAAATAATTTTCTACTGAGTATACCAAATGATTCTTGCAATTTATAATACCACCAACATTTTAAACTAGTGATATTACTTTCAGTTGATTAAAAGATCTCTATTCTTTTTTTAATGTTTTGGTCAAGGTGTTCCTGATGCACCTAAAGGTCCTTTAGTTTGTTCTGATTTAACGGATTCCTCATTGAAACTTACTTGGTTACCACCTGAAGACGATGGTGGTCTACCTGTGAAAAGATATTATATTGAAATGAAAGATGTTGGTAATCCTGCTGGGTGGATACCTTTGGGTACTGTTTCAGCAGATTCTACTTCTTATCTGGTTAGTGGATTACAGCAAGGATTCGCTTATCGATTTCGCGTGCGGGTTGCTAATGATGAAGGGCTTAGTGACTGGTTAGAAACAGACAAATCTATATCTTTCCGTCGCCCAGTTACAAAACCATCTCAGCCTGAGGGACCTTTACGAATGCTGCCAGATGGAGATAGAGCCGTCCGTTTAACTTGGAATGCTCCGCTAGACGACGGTGGATCTCCAATTAAAGATTTCATAGTTGAATTGTGCCTCGATAGATCGGGAGAACATTGGCAACCTATTGGTGAAGTGCGTGGATTAAACAAACGAATTGAAAATCTTATTCCAGATGGCATTTATAGTTTTCGCGTCAGTGCTCATAATGAAGACGATAAAGTCGGCCCACCCCTCTATTCAGAAATCTACAAACCAGGTGCGCCTATGACACCACCTGGCCAACCGGTTGGTCCACTAAAAGCCACATGTATCGGAATCGGTCAAGTGAAATTGGAATGGAAACCTCCAATAGTCGGTGGTCAAAGTGGTTGTGGAGTTCCTGATGAGTATTTAATTGAACGCTATGAACAAAAGAAAGCACGTTGGGCGTACGTAACTCGTCAAAGTGCTTCAACTGGGACAACTGTAGTAGTAAGTAATAATTCGATTTATTAACTATATAGTTAAAAGCAGTAACTTCGAAACCCTTATTAATTTAATCATAACTACCTTTTATCTAGGTCTCTAACTTGCAGCCGGGTTCTGAATGCCAGTTTCGTGTACGGGCTGAAAATAGAGCAGGGTCTGGTCCTTTCCTCGAATCTGATCGTCCAATTACAGTCATTAGTCCATTTAATCCACCTGGTCCACCTGAAGGTCCAATTAATATCTCAGAAGTTCAAATGGGTGCTAGTCTAGCGGACTGTTCGGCTCGTATTTCTTGGAGACCTCCGTTAGATACAGGTGGCTTACCACTTATTCGTTATGTGCTACAAATGCGTTATGCTAATACTCCGGGTTGGCATAGAGTGACGGGGCTTCAACGAACAATTAGTACGGATGAAATAAGTGATAAATTAGACACTGCAAAAATAGATTTGGCTACTACTTCACTTGTAACTGGTTTAATGCAAGGTCAACGCTATATTTTCCGAGTTGCTGCTGTTAATGAAGTCGGAACAGGTGCATTTTTAGAATCCGAAACATTTGAAATGCCTGAAGATGATAGTAAGTTGAAGTGGCTTGTTTTTGTCTGTTAAAAAAAAGCATGGATGCATATTATCACTGTACAGATATTTGGAGCATTGATTCAACCACCATAGTTATTAGTAGTATACTATTTTTCTTTAGATTCCCAAATATGGAAGTATTTTTTTGATGTGAACATATTTTGTTAGAGATTTAAACACCTCCATTAGTGATGATTTGGCTTTACTGCCTTTAGTCCCTGCTCACCAATCAAATGAATTGTATACTTCATTGTATCAATTAAATCATGTAAAACTCGGCTTTTGATAGTAGGAAACGCTTGTAGTGGTAAATAAATTCCCAGAATGAATAATTTTTTAGGTCTTCAACAGCATATTATCATGGGTATCCCCGAATCCTTGGAACGACCATTACTAATATCAGGTATAAAGTACTATTAAATGTGATAAAACAGTTGATTTTGGCGAATTTTGTCGACCGACAGGACTACGACATAATTTACTGATCGTAACCACCATTTACCTTGTCACGTTAGCCCGTTTGATTTGAGATTAAGTTACAAAAACGCTAGTTGCGGCCAAACTGAAATATAACTAGTCAATAAATTCGTTAATAATTGGTCTACTCAGCGACGGAAGTTGCACGTTCCCTGTTTCAGAGTTCACAAGATAACCGTTATTTTTGGCTATCGAATTTTCGATGACATGGCACAAAACGTAAATAAATGTACTGTCATACCACTTCTGAACATACACAGAATAATGATGAATCTATTTGTAAGCCATTTACTGTTTTTATATCAACTATATTTTTATCAGGCTGTAAACCTAAAGCAGACTGGGTTCGTATTGCTGGAAAATCAGCTGATAGTGTAACTGTAGAATGGCTTGTCCCACACGATTGTCGTCACGACCATGGACCTAATCGAGCTCATCACCTAGCTATTGATGGTTTTCGTGTGTTCGTTAGACCAGCAACAACACCTCAGCCAAGCAATATATCTCAATGGCAACAAGTTGCTGAATTAGACCATTATCTTAATCGTCTGGTTGTAGGAAATTTAAAACCAAACCAATTTTATTATTTTGGTGTGGCTGCTGTGAATCAGTCAGGTCAAGGTGAAATCATTTCTACTAAAGAACCTGTTTGTCCAGAAGCTATTACAAGTGAGTATTCATTGTTATCCTTATTATGAATTACTGTATAAGCTTTTCGTTGTACTTAATAAGTAGTAAACTAATGAACGCAAACAAAGCTGCGCTACCCCAATTTTTCCCTACTTACTGAACAGATGTTTCGAGTTCTGTTGTAGTGAACGAAGACAAATATGGTTAACCAATTTATTGTATTATGTAAAGTCATACGGTACCTTTGTAAAATATGAAAATCATGTATTAAATATATCATTTTCACATCTTCCATCAATAATCCTTTACCCACTCCATCATTTTTCTAATTCTGTCGCTATTCCGATCGCTCTCCGTTTTTTGTACTTCAATCTTCTGCTGATATGCATTCAACTTCCTATTTATACTACATACTACTTATATCTGTTCCACGTAAGAAGCACACACCACACTATGACCACTTTCAAAAACCATATTATCCTCTATATATATTTTCGAGATCATAAATTCTTAGAAAGATAAATACATCTAAACAGGTCACCAGAGGTGGGGTTGGGACTGATTTATATTGTTTAAAACAGTAAACTGATAAAATATTGAGACAATGTATAAAACTGTAATAACGCTTGGTTTTCTCCTTTGAATCGATGGGACACCAATTTGCCTTAGATGAATATCTACACTAGATACTCGGCCAACACCTATCCTACAGGACTTCAGCATGTGACTGGCTTTACTAGAACGTGAGTATCGCTCAACATCAGCAGCTGATAATAAAAATAATTGCGAGGAAAATAAAGAACATATTTAATACCTGTCCGACTATCTACTAGCTGATTAGGTAAACAACCAATCACTATTATTTTCTCCCACATATCAAAAATAAAGTCTCGATTCGTAATGCTACATGAATTAAGATAGCATTATACACTAAACGAGCATAGTATAGTGATTGAGTAAATAGCTCTATCACAAGAGTATATTGGAAACACGAGAAACTTGTTAACAAGTTTTGGACGACTTCATTCATAGATGTTCCAGATCCATAATAATTTAATAACTAACAATAGACTCCAGTAGATTATTTCGAACTGTTAGACTTATCAACCATATTATGTAAAACTTAATAATAAGAATACAAAAACTAGTAACGTGAAGTTTAAGTATAAGTTCTGAAATCTTGATTTGATGACACTACTTACGAATTTATATAATTCACTAACTGTCATTTCGTTGTAATTTTATTTCTTTTTATACAGCTGTACCAAGTCAACCTATAGGACCATTACAAGTATCTAATATAACAGATAATAGTTGTCAATTATCATGGTTAAGTCCTGCAAGTGATGGTGGCAGTCCAATATTAGGTTACAGAATATATAAACGGGAAATGTATCGACGCAGTTGGCAAGAGATTGGACGTATAACTGAACTATCTGGGTTGACTAGTTCAAGACAATTACAATTTCAAGTACAATATTTAATGCATGGTACTGCTTATGAATTTCGTGTTGTAGCTGAAAATAAGAATGGTTTATCTGAACCATTAGATACACAAGCACAAGTGCATCCAGCCAAAGAGACTAGTAAGTTATGAATAATGTGTAAGAATTTTGATCTAAGTTCAATCCGTTTATCAGATTCAACAGAAATATTGTATGCAAGTTCGAATAAAGTTGGAAAACTGCTGACTTTTTAGATTGTTTATGTACGGATATACACAAATAATAAATGGTTCTACAATAAATAATAAATAACTTAGTTTAAGAAACTGATAATCAAGGTGACAAACCTAGAGACAACAGTCAACCTACCACAGACAGAAACAAAATAACTAGTTCAAAGATGTGTGGTTAGAAAACAACAGCTGTATCAACCAATCCCGACGTAATGTGATCCTCTTTTCCGCTTCCCTTTAGGATTCCAAGTTAGGACTTGCCTCGTGATGCAGTTTGATGGTTTGCGTACTGTGTGTCGTATCCATTTCCATCGTCTTTTCCTAATTTCCCCTTCAGCTGGAAGCTGGTTTGTTCTCTCCCACAGTAGGCTGTTGCTGATGGTATCCGACCAATGCATATCGAGTATCTTGTGTAGACAATTGTTTATAAATACTTGTACCTTTTTGATGATGGTTGTAGTAGTTCTTGAAGTTTCAGCTCCATACAGTAGAACTGTCTTGACTTTCATATTGAAGATTCTGACTTTGATGTTGGTTGATGAATGCTACCTTATTAATAATTCACACAACAAAATTCAATCAGAAAATACAAAACGTTTGAACTCATGATAAATTATTTGCATACAGAACAAATAGTTACATTTCAATATTCCATTATTAAGGTAAACTCACAAGGTTATATTGTAGTGAACGAGAACACAAGTGGGGACAATCGAATGTATTGAAATACAAAATGACAGAATATCATAGTAAAATCTCAGAACCATACCGTAAATACTTCATTTGCAAAATATCAATCAATCGTCTCCAACTCTATTGTTCTTTCGTTTCCACACCAATAATTCTCTGTTCTCATTTTCTTTTTTTTTTCGATCTTCTTAACCTTCTGCCTCCAGATAATTCGCTTTCGATTGATGATACATACTACTTATATCTTTCGACATCAGTAGCACACACCACAATATTATACATATGGAAAGATACCAATATAACTTATAATTCTATCACTAAATGGTAATAATATTAACTTCAATTATTCCTGATTACATCCTAATGAACAAAGTGACTGGATGCAAATAAAGAAAATTCCAATCTAATCGTTTTACATTGTATTTCAGCGTTTTGAGTACCGAAATAAAATTCAGTTCTGTTAACTATGTACTATCAACTTCTTTGTTATCATGAGAGTACTACTAATTACATAACGAACAGAAAACCTTTAAATGACTAAAATATTAAAATAATAAAAATAATATTTTATAGTAATTTATTAACTAGAAATTGCATTTTTGGTGCTTTGAAACTTAATATAAGTTACTTCTCAAAAGAACAAATAACATTTTAAAAAAAAAATTAAGGTTAAGATATTGGTCCATTTGTTAGCTGTTAAGAACAGAATAGTTGTAAGTCCTAACAATGATCAATTAATACATGTCCAAACAATTTAAAGGTGTAGAAATAAAAAAAAGATAGATAATGGAAGATAGAAAGGAAAGTTAAGACCGTGGAAGAATGAGAGACTGAATAAACTGTCGAACTTGAACTAGTGAATAGCAACAGCCTCTGGTGTACATAAGTTTTCTGTTTTCATTCCTTTTGAGCCGACTCCTCTTAATGTATGTATGGTTCTGAAAGAGGCCTCTCACAAAATGGAGTGACCAGAACCAACTAGATACTTCAATATTCAGCTTTTGACTGACGTCTATAATCCTTTGGAGAACAAGGAAGGGTAATATCGTGAGATGCGTTTCTAAAGTGACTGCTTCGTGCAGATTACATTAATCTCTCAAAGCAAGCTCTTCAGAAATGCATCTTTGGACATTACTCCTCCAGTCCTACAGGAGGTCAGTCTTGAAGATAATAGCTCAGTAGTAAAGTTTTTGTTATGCCTCAAAGAGAGAGCCGATTATATGACAGTGACTTATCGATCGGATCAAGGATTCAGAATCTCGATAGTCTATTTTGGTCCGTTGTCCCCAACTCTGCTAACTCGATCAAAAAGTCTGGGTAAGGTGTAGAAAGTGTATTCTACAGACAAACAGCAGATAACAAGTCAGGCAGGCAGATCAGATCAAGCATACAAGTCAAGCGTATTTATACAAATATTTACAATCGATATTGTCATGGAAGATTTTTGAACATTAATCAACAATTGACTGCTATTTGAACATTTAATCGATAGTTCATCAATTGACCTATTTGTACATTTAATCGATAGTTCATCAATTGACCTATCTGCATATTTAATCGATAAGTAAATTACAAAATTTGAGTTTTGGGGATCTATCGTCCCCAACAGTTTTACATTACGAAGCTGGGTGGTGTCAGTTCGAATCCTACTGAGAGTATCAGTTCCCTCGAAATTTATGACTGGAGAAAATAGAATTTTAGTTATCATTCACTAAAACATAAATATTAATGTATAAATCTTTTGTCCATATGGTGACTGAACTTCTTTCATTTATTTTATAGGTGTCCCAGGACCACCGAGAGGACCATTACGTGTGCGTGAAGTTCCTGATAATATTGGAACACTCGAGTTGACTTGGTCACCACCATATGAGTTAGGAGGATTACCTATACTTGGCTATCAATTAGAAATACGTCAAGGACGTTCATTTAACTGGAAACCATATCCTTCATCGAATGAACTTGTTGCTTATGGACCTGAATCTAAATTTCAACCGTCTCACATTATTACCGATATACAACCAAATAAAGAGTACTTTTTCCGAGTGTCAGCTGTCAATAAAGAAGGAGTTGGTTTACCACTTACTGCTGATGATAGTTATGTGAAATCTATAAACTTAGCTCCACCAAAACTTGTAATGGGTCGTCGAATTCCCCCCGATGAAGCTGAAGATCAAAGTCATGAGAAACCAATACTACAAGTTTCTTGGGAATGGACTCCACTAATGGCATATGAACCACAACCAATAGGTTTTCAAGTGGAACGACTTGATATTGCATCTCGAGGTGGGAAATGGGAATCGATTGATTTTATTCCTATCAATGATCGTACACAAAGAAATTATACTCACCAGTCCATTTCACCAAGTCATGATGGGAGTTATAAGTTTAGAGTATCCACTGTATACAATGAAGGTGCTAGCCAACCGGTTGAGACGGGCGTTGTATTGGCTAGTCTTCCGACAATAAGACGATCTGATTCGACAACGCCCGGTCACTATGTACCTCCCGTTCCATCTGTTTTGCTCAAATCTGATAGTAAACTAGGTTATGAACTTGAGTGGGAGGCTCCAGAAGGTCAAGGTGCTGAAGACATTAGAGGGTATACGTTGGAAGATTGGGATTCAAGGAAACAGAAGTGGGCACCATTAATAGAAATACCAGTAAGTGCGCCTCGGCAGTTAGTTTTGGCTGCATCACGCACACCTGACAAGGACTATAAAATGAGAATTATCAGCCATGGGAAAACTGGCAAGTCTATTCCAACGGAATTTGGACTATATCGGAGTCCTATTGAGTCAATCTCATCTAGGCCTCCATCTAGATCATGGACAACACTACCGAGTACATCAGGTCTTCCAATGTCTACGACGTCCCATGATAAAACTCGTCCACGAGCAGATATTGACGATGATTTTGATTTGGAATTGGCCATGATTACTGGAGTTGAACCTGGTTCTGACGAAGTAAATGAGTTCATTCGCTCAAGGCGTCAAATGGTTCAAGATATGACGCAACGCATGATTACACCATCATCCCTAGGCAGACTTAGTTCATTAGAAAAAGGAAGACTGGATCTAGATCGCACTGACAGTTCACTATATTCGACTGGAAGGTTGACTTCTCAGTTAAGTATTTCTTCCCCAGCCGGTCTGTATATTTCAGATCAACTAAGAGGAGAAATAGTAGGTCCGACATCTGTTCATCTCATTTGGCCTGAACCAAGTGGGTGGTTAGCTCCAGACAAAATAGCTTTTTATGACATTCAGAAGTGGGAACCTGCTCATTCTAAATGGGTTTCTATTGCCAAGGCTCCGTCTAAAGTTACAGACTACATTTTAACTGGTCTCCGGTCGAATGATGAGAGCGGATGGTGGTTCCGTGTAGTGCCTTCAGGCCGTGATGCAGAATCGATTGGGGCACCTTATCAAATGGCTAAACCTCTTTATCCAAGATCTCAGCATGCTACAGTTCCTTCTTCTGTTTGGGGTGTAGAAATTTCTCCTGTTTTTGGTTTACATAAGATAGATCAACGAACAATTCAAGTTAACTGGATGAAACCTAGCAATGATGGTGGTTCTGATATACTTGGTTATCGTTTACTAATTTATGATGCCGATACTGGTGATGAACAAGAGATAATTGTTTCTCCAAAATTTTTAACTTCTAAAATTGACTCTTTAGAAGCCTTTCATGTTTATAGAATTACAATTACTGCATTTAATCGTATTGGTGATTCTATACCAGTTACTTCAACTGTACCATTACATCGTGAAACACCTGGCCTACCATCCCTACCTTTACCACCCAGTGATTTTCGAGCTGTTTTGACAGATCATTTTAACAAAGAATATTCCAGTTGTATTCTGTCATGGAAACCTCCATCATTACTTCCATCATCACCTATAGATTTTTATGTTATTGAAAAATGGAGTTCACAATCTAAACAATGGATTCCATTTAAAAAAGTTCCGTATGATGTGCATGAAATTGAAATTACTCATTTACTTGATGATGTAGATTATGGTTTTAGAATAAGATCACAAAATGTCGCTGGCTTAAGTGAACCATTGTGCTTAAACACTCATATTCGACCAAATTTAGTCAAAGAAAAAGATACTAAAGCGTTACCACCACCAGCTCCTGGAGCTCCATTAGAATTAAAACAACTTCATACTAATCAAAGTATATCAAAGTTAAAGGCAGTGACAGAGACTGCTAACCGTGTGATGGAACTATGCTGGAGTCAACCTACCTTCTTAACAGATGATGTAGGTCCAGTTAGAGGTTATGTTGTTGAGGCTAGAAGAAGAGGTCAGGAAAACTGGGCGCTACTTGGTCGGCTACCTTCTACAAGAGACAGACATTGGAATATTGTATTTGGTCCTCAAATCGGTGATTATAATAGGACTCCAACCCTACCTCTCCCTCGGCTACCCTCAATTCTTACCGACTCTTCTGGCAAGTGGGATATGAGTTTGCCACAAACCTTTTCGAAAAGTTACCCATCTCCATCTATGTTGCCAGGAGAACCAAAAGACTATGAATTTCGTTTATATTCAGAAAATGAATTTGGAGTAAGTGAACCAATTTATTTAAGACCCAAACTTAGAAGTCCTTCTTTGATTTCTGAACCACATTATAATAGGCAATCAGCCCTTGAGTACTACGAGTTACCAACTTACATATCACCTCCAAGAGGACCAGTTCGTATAGAAACCAGGCCGAAGTCTTCTTTATATCATGACAGAATCCAAAGCGATAAAGATGTCACACCAGAAGATTTGATTTTGCATTGGAAGCCCCCTTATGATACAACTAACATTTCTGGCTACGAAGTAGTTTACCGCACACCATATGAAATGAAATGGCAACCTATAGGTAGGACAGATTTATCCGACACAAATCTAAAAATACCAAGTTCATTATTAAGTGATTTTCCACAAACTGTTCATGTTGGTGTACGTTCTGTTGGTGATTATATTCCCGGAATGACTGAACGTCCATACTCTGAAACAATTGAAGAAGTCTTGTCCGTTCCACAAAGTGTGTTTACATCATCATCTTACCAACCTAAACCTTATAAAACAGTAAAAGATACATTCAGTCTACGGGCTCCTTCAGAGGTTCGTGCCAGTGTTTTCAAATACACTCCTGAAAAAGATAGTCCCGAAGAAGTAGCCTTGGCATGGCGCCCACCCAGTGTGAAATCAGTGGGAAAACATGGTTTGGAAAGTTTGCCAGATTCTTATTTAATTTTAACTAGGGAGTTAGGTCATTCTGATTGGAAAGAAATTCAAACTATACCTAGCAATATCACCAACACCCATATTAGAGCATCTTTGCTACCACAAGGTCGAGATATATATATTGGTGTGGCGCCTGTTCGTGGTATTCAAATAGGACCAATTATGTCTACTTTAGATACAATAAAGTTATCAGAACCTACAAGCCCGGGAAGGCTCTCTTCAAGAAGTTCTTTACCATTCATTTCAGCTGAGCCATTGATTGTTTTACCAGAAGGACCAGATGCAATACGGGTTCAATGGAAACCTACAGAAGCGTTAATTAGTAAATTACCTCAAAAAGGAATTTCAGATTATCGACTAGAAATGAGACGCCCACATGAAATGGACTGGAAGCCTATTCGAATTCCAAAATATATAGATTCGTTGGATGGAATACTACCCATTTCAAGTCCAATAGAATATAGACTGGATAATCTAAAGCCAGGTGAACGTGTTGAATTGCGCGTCGCTACTCGACCAACTCATTCAGCCCCATCGATTCCTATAACTGATACCTTATTTTATCAGTTCATTCCTCCTTATGGTAAGATTTTTTGGTTTATGTTAGTTGCATTTTTAGTTTTGTATACAAAGTGGTTTGTTTAGTGAAAATGCATTACCGAATGATTGGTTTTATTCAAAATAGTAGTCCTGAACATCTAAATAATCTGAAGCATGTTTTTTCTTACAATATATAATTATCATTAGAAGAACAATAAAAAATAGATAAACAGTAAACTGAATGGTTATTTCAATTTCAGAAATCTTCAATAGACTTATTTCCAAACCAAAATTAAGTCAGTCAGGTCATTTTCCAGCTGTTTTGGACAGAATGATATTGATTATAACTTCTCTACATAATTCACTACAAAGCAATTTGGTTAAAATAAAAATATTATAACTTAATCCCTGTTTACTAGAATCGATCATTCACTACCTTGGTTCCGACTTAGGTCATTACTTCCAAGCTGAACTTCAAAAAATCTGTCTAACATTTAGTCTCTAGTGAGTACATAATTATTATTTATTCAAGCGGCTGTGAAAAGATTTCTTATAAATGGATTGAAGCTTAATATACGAATAACTGAATTATGGCTCTATAGATTAATGGTACCCAAAATGTCCGATGAACCTTGAAACTTAGTTTTGATCCTATGTTGTGTCGTGTTTGAGTATTGCCAATAAGTTTCAAACTAGAATGACACAGCTTTCCGATTACTTTTTTCAAATGATATCAATTCATTACTGAAATTACTTCCAAATTACGCATAATACCACTTGAATAAACAAAATATTATAATTAAGATTTAAATTAAATTTCATAGTATCCTTTAAAGATTAGATGATACAAAAAATAGATATGTTTAAACCATTTTTAAGCTGGTTATAATTGATGTTACAACCTGCTTCTTGATCTGTGACTGACAAATGAATACTAACAGTTAACATCACTGATGGACCCTAATTACATAACAACTGACAATCAAAAAACACTAGATGGTAGTCTTTTCCTAGTATGTGACTCATTAGCAGTATGCATCCACTACTTCATTGGGTGTCGAACCTTGGACCTTGGGTCTCTCTGAGAACTCTTAAGGTCTAGATCACTGGATCGGCATTCAATGGTATACATATCTAGCTTAAATCAGTTAGCCATATTGAGAAACCGTCTTTCGTTGTCTGCGGTGAACGGTTGTTTCACACTCGATACATATGAAATTCACTGTTCGGGGCTTCTCGCCTCTTGAAGTTAGTCATTAATGAGCACGCAACTGTTATTAGTACGCGAGGTAGTGGAGACTGTAAAATCTTCATACTTTGCATCAAGCACTGATTCCAACAGTATTCATAAACCGCCTATTCTGCCGATAAATGAATATGAAAAGTGTTTCATAGTACACACGTTACTCTAAAGCTTCTGTTTTTCTGTGTATTGTTTGAAGTTTCTTGATGACATTATGGAGTTCATCCAAAAAGCTTAATTATAAACGGCCAAAACTAAATAAATCATTTCATCTATGATTTAATGCTTATAACCGTAAACATCCGTCGTCGAGGTTTCTGTCAGTCGAATTTTGGTGAAAAGTTCTTTTTGGTGAGACTATAATTTATGAACGACCTTTAAGCGACACCTTAGTGACCTTGAGAATGTCCACTTACTTATTAGGGTTAAATGAGGGTTACAAAGCATTTTGAAGAGTAAGGATTATGCTTTACAACCGATGGTTATGGTTAGGAATTAGGCTTATGGTTTTCATCACAAATTGAAATTATCTCAAATGCCAAAACGTTATTTAGACATGTGGGTGAATGAATTTCGCTTCAAAATCCAAGACCTGTTATCGTAAATCTGATTGATTCGTCCATAGATTACGGTCTCGCCGTTGTTTTTTCTTGAATACAGTTTGTATGAAATAATAAAACATATTTTACTGAATAACATAAATATTTAGACAGTACTTACTAAAATCTTGTTATGTAATGTGATAGTTTGATTCATAGCATAAATCATTCTCGGATATTTTTTAAGGGGAGGGAGAAGGCATTAACTTGATAGGATTTTGATTCCTTCTAATGTAAAAATTAAATTCACATTTTTCACGAAATCCCAAATACATTTTATCTTTGTTAATAGATGTACCTTCAAAACCTAGAGGACCTTTAATGATTGATATAATACCTACCTGTTCTCCAATATATTCAAGAAGGCCATCATCTAGTCTAGAAAGGATTGAATCTCCGTTATCATTCTCAACACATACAACACCACACTTGGACTCAAAAGGTATTCAACTTAAATGGCATGCACCCAGTGACACAGGTGGTTTACCTGTCACAGAATATGTGATAGAACGTCGTGGAGGTCCAGTGAAAAGTACCGCAAGTGAATGGATCCCCGTATTATCTGTTTCAGGAGAGACGACTTCAGCAGTGATTCCATTTCCAAGTACTCTGAGTAATGTTTATCCTTATTCTTACCGTGTTCGAGCAGTCAATCGTATGGGTGCAAGCAGTCCATTAGAAACTTTAAGACCATTAGATTTTGAGACATCAATGTCAGATCAACCTAGCAGACCTTCTTCTCGTGTTAGTTACCGGCCACTACCACCCTCTGCACCAGCTGGACCCTTACGATCAGAATTTCTTCCTTTTGATTCAGGTCTTCACCTAGAATGGCAACATCCTCAAAAGAGTTCTTACAAATTAGATGAATCACTGTCTATGCCATCTTCATACGTGATCGAAGCTACTGAGGCTAGTAGACCAGATGCACCTTGGATCGAAGTTGGCCGTGTCCCTGGTACTGTAACATCGGCTGACGTTCGAATTCTGCCTACACCGTATAGAAGCGAGTCGACGGAACGTCCATATACACCAAGCCCATACCATGTACCCCCTACTCTTCTATATCGAATAAGGGGTGAAAATGAATTTGGTTTAAGTGCACCACTTGTGACAAGAGTTGAACCACCTGGTTATTCTGTATATGAATCCAAACCTGGGTTCGAGCATCCAAAACTAAGCTCCGGCCGCCTTGAAACTCGTCTACTGCCAATGTCATCAGAATTTCAACTGCCTCAGATTGAATTACGCTGGCCGCCTCTTGCTCCAGAATACAGACGAAAAAGTTTCCCATCATCGGCTGATCACCGACCTATAACCCCTCTCGTAACACCAGATATAAGTTACCTTGTTCAAGTTAGAAAAGCTGAAGACATTGGATGGCAGACATTAGCCACTTTACCATACGGTCAAGAAACATTTATTTATCACCCCAAAGTAGAAAAAGTACCTCATAGACCACGGTCTGGTTTGGGCTCAGTCTACAGACTAGAAGATAGACCAATATTTGAAGCTTACCAGTTCCGTGTAGCTCCAAGAAGTCATTTCGGTGTTGGGAGATTCATAGAATCGGATGTGGTCAGCTGGAGTCCGTCTCATTTGCAAGCTGGTGATTATAGAACAGTAAGCTTACCGGGACCTATTTCAATGGAACTTATGGTTCCATCTGTCCCTCAGCCAATAATACCTTCTCCTGAGCGTTTCCACTTGGTTGATGTGTCTACCGAGTCAGCTGGTGAACGTATGCAAAACAGATTGGGAAGTGTAACACTATCCTGGCATCCTCCAGCGGGTATGTCTTCTACCTTACGCTCCACTGCAGATTTTGTCGTTGAATCATGGCGTCCAGACAAACAAGAATGGTGGCCGATAGCACGACGACCAGCTGCTATCAGTGCTGAATCTGTACCGGGTAGATATGAAATAACCGTTGATCGCTTACCACTCGGACAAACCTATCATTTTCGCGTTCTAACGGAAACAAAAGATGGTCGAAGTGAACCAGTTATTCTTCCACAACCTGTTTTCATGCCACAAGTAGATAAAGAAAAGAAAGGTAAGTTATCTTCTAATTTGAAGATTATCATTTTATCAAACTTGAGAGTAGGTTGACTTAAAACTGCGACTTAAACTTGACAACGGAATAGAATAGCATAGATATATAAATCATACGGATAACTAAACTGTTCATATGTAAATTAATGGACGATCAACTGACCATAAATCTTGTCACCAAACTTCAGAACAAGATCTTAATACAAAAATTACTTTTATTAATGCTCATATTTGAACAAATTTTCCTTCAAATTACCAACCAGCTGTCATTTTTATACCTAGATGTTTTAATTGTTTACTATGTTTGTATTTCATTACAAATTGAAATTTAGGGTATTTTTTTATAACTGATATATAATATACCATTGTGAGCCAGGGCAATTTTACATTGCTTCTCAGGAGAACTAGACACCGTTCAGACTTTCACGTGACAACCTAAACAGTACAGCTCAATCCCGCTTCACAAGAGAACCAGACACCGTATAGGCTTTAACGCTACAATCTGAATAGTACAGTTAAATCCTGTAGCGCAACCACACAGGTACCAAGCACCCTGGTGGACCAGGTGTCTGACAGTGGAAAACAACATCTTCCCTGTTTTGTTTTCATATTTGTTTTTATAACTTAAACTGTCACAACATGAGTACTGAACTGTCATCTAGTTCATCGGCACTACAACTAACGTGGTTCAGTTAGATGAAAGGAATCACCAATCGTCTATATTTTATTTTCAGATATAAACCCAAGAAAAGTATTCTTTGGGAACGGTAGTGATCTTATATATTCTTTTATCATGTTCGCATCGTTTATCTCTTTCTATTAAGGGGCTACGTTTACCTCGAGATGCAGAACAGGTTTTGTATGACAGGGGCCATCTAATGTAGAGATCGATGAGCGATGACCTGTAAACGAAAATCAACCCATGAGACCACTTCAAAAAATGAGTGAGAGACAAGAATCGAGATAATTTGGAATTATTTTAGGAGACACAACTTTTTCTGTGATGATCTTAGAAAATGAAGTAATAAATCAAACTCTGCCTGTTATCTAGGGAACCTGAGGAGTATAAATGTGCTCCTTCTTCAGCATTAGTCACACAATATATCTCACAAAAGAATGTTCAAGAATATAGTTGTCAGATTTCAGAGCTCTAGAATGAATTTCCAAGATATTTCAAAAGTTCCGAATATCTTTTACCAATGTTTAACATTATAAATGTTTCATCTATTCTTATCTTGAAGCAGCTAATCATGATCACTAAATGAAACTAATTAACCTCTAGTGCAATAGTGACTTGAATAAACGCTTCAGTCATGCTGAATTGGCTGAATTCCATTTTATTATTGATAAACTATACGTCTGTACGTAAATTGTTCATTTTTGGAGTCAGCTTACATTTATGAACCCTAGTATACAGAAACTTGAATCTCACATAATACACTTAAGTCTAGGGTCAATATTACACCATTTACGCTAACTACAAAAATCTAATGAAAAGCTGTGCACAGTTTCTCGTTAAAGAAGTTTCTTCATGTCTGATCAAGTAGCTAGATCAAGGTAACATTTTTCATAATATTAGGTATGGCTTGACGATGTAAAGTGTTGAGTATTGAAGATAACGGTACGTAATTCTATTAGTTTTTAATCAAATGTGAATAAAGTTTGCCGCATTTTATCGATTGGAGATATGTAACAGTCGTTAGAAGAATTAAAGAGTATAACTTAATCACAAAACTTCCGGTAATCTAAATACGTCGGTGACTAGTTTCATATATAATGTCAAACTTAGACTTCTTATACTAATACGGAAATACAAATTTGCGGATATACAGATACTAGAGATATTGGCAATAATTCTAATGAGTTCAGGTGTTTAGCACTTTCGTTTTAGTTATTTTGTAATGATTTTTGTATGTGTATTTTCTAAAATTTTCTCACAATAAATCATTTCTTATTACACAAACAGCGAAACCAGCTCCACCTTCTCATCTCAGAGTGTCATTATTAACTGGCAGTACAAAAGGTGCTTTGTTAACATGGCTCCCACCATCAACAGTAACATTCTCAGGTCGACGTAGCAGTTTGTCATTACGTTGTCCTCCAACTGGATATATATTAGAATATTGTACATTACCATCCACAGGAAATGAACCAACTACTTGGAAACGTTTGGCAGTATTGGATGCTTGGGAAACATCTTACCAAACAACTGATTTACAACATGAAACTAGATATCTATTTCGTATAATGTCTCGTGGACAGATCACTGATTCGCCACGTTCTGTAACACCATCAAGGCTTGGAAAAATTAGTCGAACTACAATTGATTCAAGCGTTCTTAGCGAACCAATCCATTCAGAAATATTTGAAATGCCGAGAAAAACAAGTAAGTTTACCCAAATATTTTTAGTACAGATTTCTACATAACTTTTAACAGATGACCTATTATAATCTTTACTGTCATTCTGTCATTTATAATAAATGTGCCCTTAAGCAAATACATATGATAGTACGTCTACATCTACATACGTCCTGTATCTCATTCACTCTTATAAACGTTGAGTTAGCTATTTCTGCCGCTCCAATTACGTATTTTTCTGTTCGACTTTTATCTTCTGCCTGTATTATCGGATGTCTGAAATATACGTACTTCAAATACTTCCTTATTGAACTACTTATGTCTACGGTATTATTAACAGGATTTACTGACAGAATATATACGAAGATGAAGATAATTCGATCGTTATCATGTCAACCACGCTCACTAAGATACTGAAATATATTCGATCAAAGATATCAGAATTGATTAATATTCTTTGATTATAGATGATCGTAACTGACTAAGGCTAAGATTAATCTCATCAATATAATTGGAAAAATACAGGGAACATTACAAAGGAATAATCTCAGAGGATAAAATTACAGCCCAGAATCATGATTTTCTAGTCCGTAACTTTAGCAACGTTTAACTAAGAATTGAAATAATAGCTACTTGAATCAATTGAAGCTAGATTCATGATCTGAACTAACGAAATTACTAAAATCTCCACAAAACCCATTCTGATACTAATTAAAGTAATTATTCGAAAAATTAAACATTTGCTACATTGCATAATATGTAAAACAAATCAACATACTTTTTTAATGAAAGGTCAGTATTATAGTAGCATCGAAAGACTGATTCTAAGAATGCGTAAAGTAAAACGTGAAATTTTAAAAAAAATTGTCTGAATATTTTTGAAGAAAAGCGTTTAATCAAAAGTTCAGCTAAAATTCATTCTTATAATGATAACCAAGGTAGTAAGTGGGATTGTACAAAATTCTTAGGTTTGTAAACACGAAATCCAATGGCTTTAGCAATATCCAAAAGATGAACTTGTAAACCATATGTTAAATTTGATGGAATATGTTAGATAACCTTAAAAAGTTTATTCAAGTCAATTTGATATTATCTTGTGTCCAACCAAAAGAGCAAGAATCGAACACTTAAACACCCTTACCTGTTCTTTACTCAGCCATGATAGGATGATGTTCTGCCATGCAATGACGAACTTTCACCCGAAAACATCAAGAGGTCTAGATTACCCTGAAACATTTTGTTAGCGGGACATAGATTGAATTAAAGCATACTCAATTCAGGATTGTTTTGGCGCACGCTGATTGGCTAATTCTTGTCCAATCAGCGCTAGCCTATACTTGGAGAACACATTAGAATCTTCTCATGTAAAAACTATAAATATACTAACGTTTTTCCTATTGTGATTCTTACTTTCATCTAACCTTTTTATTTGGAATATTATCTCTTTCCTGTTCAACCATGTTCTGATTTGGGGACTTGTCGAGTGAATTAGTGTCAAGAATCCTAAGCAACAGGAATAGCTGTGTTGTAATAAGAGAGAATTATAACACATTTCTACTTTAAAATACAAGCAATTAGGAAACTCTTATTGAGATACTTATTTTGAGGGTTTATAGGAATACAAAAGATGAAAAGATATTGTACAACTACAAACCATTCAAACTAATTGTGTTAGGTTCTTACTTTTTCTTTTCTTCTTAATTCATCGTCTGTCAGTTAGTTAATTTAGTGATTGAATGTTAAATTGCTGCTTTAAAATGAATTGAGTTTGATCTTAAACAATCGTTCTAGATGTACACTAACGTATAAAAGTAACTCCAAACTGATAAGAAACAAATTTTCAATACTTTACATTGCCTTTATGTTAATTCATGATAAAAAGAATGCTGAAGACTGTGTGTATGGTGTTTTGCATTTCTTTAAATTCCTCACTTATCAGAATATAGACAAACTAATTATGTAACAGTAATCGTTTATGAAATGGATCTACAAAATGATGACTACTTTTTAATTCCTTTTCCTTTTCTAGTTACTGTACCAAAATTAACTGGTGATTTAACAGTGAAATCAACAACCAGTTTATCTTCACTCTCACCATCGGTTTCTTTACACTGGCAACCAATTGACGAACCATTAACAGGATATATAGTAGATTTATATGATTTAAAAGAACCAACTGGTTGGAGAACAATTACACGGATTGATACAACTGAAATACGTCATCCATTCCATGGTGTTACAGTAACAGGTCTTCTACCAGATCATTCTTATCGATTCCGTGTTATACCATATAAAGATGATTTATTTGGTCGACCATTAGAAACTGTGAAAGCTTATACTGTTCCAAAAGCAGCAGGACATGAGGATACTGAATATGAATCATTAATTATTCCTCCACCTAGGGGACCATTATACGTGGAACCGGTCGGTGGTGGTGTTTATCGTTTAAGGTGGCAACCAGTGCAACTAAGAGGATTAACTGACATTATGCATAGACGTAAATTAGATGAGGAAATTGAATATATTATTGAACAACAAACACCAAATCGAAGATTTTGGTTCGAAGTTGGCCGGACTCGTCTTACTGATTATGTACTACCGATTAACAGTGCTACAGTTAGATTTCGTATACGCTCATCATTAGCTGATATTTCGTCAAGTATTGACAAACACACTAACTATTCACTTTCATATGATGGTCTCCTCTCCGAATGGATTCATACATCAGATGACAGTTTACAGTACGAAAATATACCTCGCATCGGAAGTCCGAAGAGACGATTATCTAGTGATGAAGTTTTTGACATTGGTCGAATTGTTCCAGATGGATTACGCGTTCTTCATGTTGGTCCAACTTCTGCCTTACTGGGATGGAATTCTCTTAGAATAGATGAGGATACATTACATCCATACTATCTCATTTTAGAGCGACGTATTATTAATAAGTACAAACCAAGTATTTGGGAGCCTGTAGCAAGAATTCGCACTTCTGATACATTATACGAAGTACATGGTTTATCTTCTGGTACAACATATGATTTTCGTCTTGTTGGAATTGAAGAATCAACTAAAACCCGAAGTACAAAACATTGTCAACTTTCAAAACCATTTACAACTCTTGGACAAATTGATTCACTTGAAGATGATATGAAAATATTTTGGATTGATCAACCAAGATCATTTAATGCTATTAGTAAAATTGATGGAACTCAAGAAGGTATTATGTTAACATGGAAATCACCTGAAATGCCTAATCGTTTAGATGAGAAATTACTTTATAGAATTGAAGTAAGAGGTTTTAATTTTTCAGGTGAACCAATTACTAATTGGACTAAAGTTATTTCAGAATTAAAAACAACACAATATTTTATTAGTTATAATAAATTAGATAATTTATTTAGTCAATCATCTAATTATCAATCTAGTAGTATATCATCTATAAATAGAAGAAGGCATATAAGATCAATTGATTTTGATCAACAACAATGGCAATTTCGTGTATTCGCTGAATTGGATAATAAACAAAGTTTACCAGCTGTTACAATGACACCAATCACATTAATTCCTCAAGCCAGTAAGTATATTTTGCTTTTCTTAATAATGAATAGTATTATAAAGGTATTATTCACTTTATAGTTTTCATTAATAGATTATAGCATGATTTGAGTGTTGTTACATCAAATAAATTGATAAGTCTTGCTAATTGAACGCTATATTCGGTTCTTAAACTATTCTTGTAACTCCCGAGCTAGAACTACACAGCAACCTGAACACGAGAGAAAAGGCACAAAGGTTTGGTTTACTACGGAAAATATAGGGTTTCTATAGTATTTTAGATGTCCATGGGTTTCCCGTAAATTCTCGAATGCTACTAAGCATAGTAGCAGTATAGTAATCATCCAATCAGAAACTCTACATGTGACTTTTCACTTTCTGGATGTTTCCGTCTAAACATCCAGTGAACGCTGATTGGATAAAATGCTTCTTAGTGTTTTCTGAGCCTTTGTTGGCTTTTGCGAGAAGTTTTCTGGATCACCCCAACATAAACAATTAAAAAAAATGATTATTGTAACTTGATTCTAACTGATTTCTTAATAGATCGTATAGATTTATCTTAAGTTCTTTTCAACTGCTCACTATTCAACAGTATTACTTCATATTAGTTCCCCAGATAAACCCCTTTCTTCAGTATTCCACAAGTTTCAAGCTTATATGATCAAAATATTAGGTTTTTAAATAAACATCATACTCAGTCCCTACTCAAATTAAAGTTAAGTAAACTATATTCTGTATATACTACTGTTTATTGTATTCATCTATTAAGCCAAATATATTTGTTGGTTTTGTTTTCGGTAAGTTAATTATTCAAATAATAGAAAGCTCTTTAAGCCTTCTAACAAATTTTTTGAATACAATGTATTCAATTAAGGTATTTTGTTTAATTCGATTTTTTTTTGGGGGGGGGGGCTAGCTCAATTATTATGTCACCTTTTTAACTAAATGAATCTATAAGGGCGACCGGCTCCTGCTACTATGTTCAGACAATCGTTTATTCTTAGCAAGAATCACCTTTAATCATAAAGAGAGATGTCGTACGACATGGCGACCCTCAAAATCTATATAACCCCGGACTCGAATGGACCATATCGCCACCAGCCATCATCGGAGAGTCAAGATAGAAGACTACCACTCATTCTGAAGATAATGTTTAAACTCTAACCATGTTTTAGTACGAGCACACATTTGTTTCTCCCCTTCTGGGTGCAGAAAAATCGTAGCAAGAAACCCATTAAAGTGAAAATCTCGTGAACAACTGGAGAAGCATTTGGTTAATCGTCAAACTGATGCTCACTCTAATATGGGTTATTTTGATATCCGGAGAGCCTTGAAAACATCGGCGATATCTGCAAGTGACTAAAGCCAAAAGGTTAAGAAAAATTGGTAGATTTCAACAGCGTCTTCCGAACTGACAGATATTCGGAAACTCATCCTGTCAGACTCCGAACATCATGAGGAAAGAAAGCAGCTTATACGTAGACTGCTTTATTGGAGAACTTTGGTCGCCATGCATACACTTCTGTAAACTATATTATTTTCACAAGCTGAAGAGTTCTAAGGAGGATGAAACGCTCATCTTGGATTCTACCGCTACCCACCATCCATTTCTGCGTAAAATGTTTGTCACTTACTGGGAATATTTAGGCAATCCCCACAGGATGTACATACATCCCAAAAGAAACAGATCAATTGTAGTTCTAAACATCAATAGGAAGATCCAAACAACTAATATATATGAATCACAATTTTCCAAATGGTTGTAAGTCAGCATTTCATAGATTATGCCATCAAATACTAAATAGGTTCTTGACATTGTCTAGTTGTTCGACGAAATTAAAACAAGACAAATGGTTCTAGTGTATTGATAATATACTGTTCTTTATACTGTAAACAATGTTTATTAATTTTCTTCATTGTTTACAAACAGAACGAAGTCCATTACGTTTCATCAATTTGCGAGATGATCGCATTATTTATGCTGTTCGTGGGCAAAAATTAGTTTTGTCTGTAGAAGTTGAAGGAGAACCGAAACCAAACGTCTTTTGGTTAGTGATTAACTGATTTTCTACATATTTTTATATTAAAAATTATTGTAGCTTTAGTTTTTCTGTACAATTTAACTATACTACTAATGAAGATTGTATAGTAAGCAGATAAAATGTGGTATTGTTGAGAAAAAACCCACAAATGTGTGGTTGTAATCAGTTTACAAAAATGCTTTGACATGTATTATGCGGAGTATTTTTTTACTGAAATCCGTCAGTTTATCAAAGTATATTAATTTTCAGAAGAGGTTTTGTGGAGATTGTAGTAATCTTATAATTAAAATCATGAGTCAATTGAAGTTAGACCACCATGGAAAACCTGCAAGTACTGGATGGAAGGTTTGTCTTATTGTGGTACACCTCAGCATAGAGCATCCACGATCCTGGCCGCCCGATTCGAACTCAGGACCTATCAGTCTCATGCGCAAACTCCTAACCTCTAGACCAATGGGCCCGCTGGGATCCAACGGTGTTAATGTCTAACTCCAACCAATCCATGAAATCGAGTCACCATCAATCACTATATTCAGTGAGTTACTATCTCACAACAGACCCGGTTGTAAAACCTCTTTTCAACTGACTAACTATCTATAATCTGAATGCTTTAATGTATTTCTATTGTATTCGTTCGTTTACATCATCAAAATTATTATTACAAAACACTATACATTATTCACTGTTGAAAATATATTAAAAATTATTTTTTTAAATGAGACGTAGTCTTAATTCAAAGCTATTTGTGTTATGTTGTGTTAGAAAGCGATAGAAATCCTTATGATAGAACAATCTAGAATAACATGAATCGTTCATTTATCGATGCATGCCGTTTGTTACCGAATTTCAATAAAGTGTAATTTTAAAACTGTTGAGGTGTTTTTTTCCATTTCTTTTTGTTAGCTACTTCTGAAAGTATTATGAAGATGACTACAAAAATTTAAAAAAACTATTTGTCATGTGTAACCAACTTGTCAATTTAAAATGGAAAACCCGGAAGTACTGGACGGCCATTTCGTCATAGTATGGGACTCCTCAGCAGTGCGCATCCACGATCCCTAACGCTCAACTCTGATCTAGAGGTTAGGCGTTCGCGCGCAAGACCAATAGGTGCTACGTCCGAGTCCCACGGTCGAGGTAGTAGGTGCTCACTACGACGGGACGGCCGTCCAGTGCTTCCAGGTTTTCCATGGTGATCTAGCTTTAATTGACTTATGAATTCAACTATTAAAACGATTTGATAGTGGTTGGAAGTAGTCAACAGGAAACTTGACCCGGGTTTCTTGCTCCTTGGCACTCGTCAGCAAGGTGTACCTGTAATCTTTAGGGAACTGGTACTCCCTGACAGATCCAATCCCATGTCACCCAGCTTCGCAGTCAGACCGACATCCTGTAGGACTGGGATGTAATCACAATTGATTGATCACTGTGTAGTGATCAATGTCATGTGTTTCAATTCGATAGCATTTGATCTGCACTAAGAAGCACTTAAAATACATGACATTTATCACCACCCAGTGATCAATCAACTGTTATTAAAACGATTGTAATTGATTTACCCATCCAGTTCTTATGCAACCGATTTGTAATATAATTGAATACGCATTAATATATTTTAACCTTTTCTGATACAAAACATTTGTTTTTTTCTTATATAGGTATTTAAATCACATACAAATAGATGAAAAAATATTACCTGGTTGTCGTGTGGCTCAAATTGGTGTCGGTATTTATGAATTGACTATTGAACAAGTACAACCAAGTCATGCTGGTTTCTTAGAATGTCGTGTATGGAATATTTATGAGTCAATATCAGAAACATGGGAATTGATAGTTTCAGGTACGTGTCGAATTTTAAAATGAAATATTTAGCTCCACATTAACAGTATATATATATATATATATATATATATATATATATATATATATATATATATATATATATATATATATATATATACTACTCCTACAACTACCAATCTCACAAGGAGCATAATTCCCCTCAAGATTGCACATAGTCCTTTCTGACAAGCCCAAACCAACACGAAACCCGAGTCCTAATGTTTTCTGTCAGATACCTTCAAATATTGTTTAGTGATTGAAGTATTCGATTTTCAGCCTCTGTATCTCAAGTCTGAGCCCCGCACCACCTACTTTGTTTTGCGCAACTAGGTGGCATCGTTAGCCATCACTCTCAGAGTGTGGCTCATATCCAAGTACCCGGAGAATAAGTTAACTTAATAAATAATAAGCCACCTAACACAACATATTTATTTACCACTAGAGGTGTGTGGATCGAAACTAAAAGTGCTAGGTTAGGATTCTAGTTACGGGGTTATGGATGCGCACTACTGAAGAGTCTCATAGTAGAAAAAGACGCCTGAAAAATGCTTCCAGGCTTTTAGTGGTTGTTTAACTTAGATCAGTTTATGATCCCAAAAATTTATTTATTTGGTTTATCCAGTATGGTATATGGGTTTGAAGTTACCATATTCTCATACCAAAAAAGCCTTCTCGTTCCACTTTGATGAAACATGGTGATTAGCAATATACAAATATTGAATGCCTAATGAACTGTTCAAATTATAAGCACAATACTAAATTTTGGAATTATTTTTGGAAAAGAATGACAGTAATAAACGATCCTACTCATTTCAATTATGGTTTAACATGTATACTACTTATAATTAGCTCTGCTCTGTTTTGAAAAATTGTAAATGTCGAAGTGAATATTTTGAAAGTAGTTGAACCTGAAAGAAAATGATCGGATAATTGGCCAGATAATGTATGTTTTGAGTCATAGAATTTCTAAAATGCACTTTATAGTACATAACTGATATGCTATTAAACGAAAAAGTTAATCGTGAAGAAAAACGGACACAAGGATGCAATTCGAAATCAAATAATTTCAATCAAATTATTTTTTTATATTCAGCGGTGCCACGATTCTGCCGACTTGGATGGGCTGCACAACCTCATGAATATGAATTAAGACATGGAGACAGCTGGTATCTACGTGTTCCATTAGAAGGTTTAGACTATATACAAGACCGTGATTGGATTACAAAAGTTTGGTTCGAACGTTTAAGTCATTTGACTCCTGGTCTTTCAGTTGAACCGTTAGAAAATCGTGTTCGAATAAATCTATCATCTGGTTGCCGTTGGGTTGAAGTGGTTGTTGACAAATTAAATCTAGCTGATAGCGGACTATATCGACTATGGATACAGAATCAAGCTGGTCGAGATTACATCGATTTGCGTTTACGTATTGCTGGTAAATTTGGTTTTCAATTACTTTGAATTATTTACCGTTTATTTGTTTGATCTGATTTTCAAAATTTGAGATAAATTACGACTCTTATTCCTATGTCACAATTCTAATGTCGTGAAGGAGAACACAGGGACGAAAATCGATTATATTTAGCACAACATTACAGAGTTACTTGATGAAATAGAAAAACAATACTCTAATACTTCATTTGCAAAATGTTCGTTAATTGTCTTAAACTTCATTGTTCCTGCATTTTCATACCAACTGCTTTCCACTCCCGTTTTTCTCTCTTCGATCTTCTCAACATTCTACTACCAGACATTCTATTCCTGACTAGCGTTATATACTACTTATGTCGACATACGTAGCACACCACACTACGAACCAAAGGAAGGGTTTACTGCACAGCAGTTCGTCCCGTCCTACTTTATTACTGTGAAACATGGCCGGTAAGAGTGGAAGATATTCGTAGGTTGATATTATTCGATCATAGGTGTCTTCGAAGCATTGTTCGTATATCCTGGGACCACCGAGTAAGTAACGCAGTTGTTAGGAAACAGGTAATAGGTAAGGATGGTAAGTCAATTGATGAAGTAGTGAAACTTCATCAGTTGAGATGACTGGAACATATATTACGTATGCCCAACCACCGACTGACAGATGTGCGATGTTTTATGGTGTAGGAGAAGGTTGGAAGAAAGGTAGGGGTGACCAGACCAAAACATGGCACAAATTCATGTAGTCACTGACAAGTGAATTGAGCCACGTTGGTAGGTGTAGACTACCTGGTTGGGTACCGCGAGATGATAGCAACCGATGGTTAGAGACCCTGAATGACATGGCTCAAAATCGTTTGCAATGGCGCAGGTGCATCCACTCTTTGTGTCCTCACAAATTCTAATCTTCTGAAATCTTCATGTTCCTTTGTTTTTTTTTCTCTTTTCAACTTTATTTCACTGGATTATACTCCTTGAATAATATCTTTAAACCCTAATGTTTCCGATTACTGCTTATACTTTTACTATCTCTACCTCTATGCGATTTGAATCGACAATTGTATCTTTGTGGTAATGTGGTATGGCAACTTGAACTGGTGTACATACATATGAAGTTCTATGTTGTTAATTGACTGACTGACTGACACCACACTACCATCGTTATGCCAAATAATCTTCTAAAAACGAGCTTCTAAACATACATGTATTGAGTGTTTCTTATGAATCAAATGAATAGCTTAATAAAATAGGTTTTATACTTCACAATTCTTTTAATCCCATTACTATTGTCTTGTCACTGTGATGACCCTTTATTATGTGATTATTTGAATAAAACCCGACGAAAACTGAGGCAGGATAGAATAAATTTAAAAGGTGAGATCGTAATTGTTATACCGATCAGAAACTGACAAAATGAATCATGTAACAGTTATAGACGGTGGATCAATTTCGTAGATTGGTTAGAAATTAACACCATTGGATCCTGGCCGGCTCAGTGGTCTAGAGTTTAAGAGTTCGCGCGCGAGACTGATATCTATCTATGCAATGCAAGTGTATAACATTTTCTAAGTACATGATAAATTTTCATTGAACTATATATTTTCTTTAAGACAGACCATCATGTTACGTTCGATACTTGAATAACGCAGAATACGGTATATAACTACGGCACTCGAACGTATAGAACCCCACAGTCACAAAATCAGAGGATAGAAGGAATCTACATAAGTGTTTGTTGGATAAGAATCAGAATGTACAGAAAATCATGCGTATTTATAGATATTAGCGTTTGTTATAATATCATTATAATTCCGCCAATCCGCAAAGAGACAAGTTATGCTACTGTCCAAGTGTAGTGTGCCACTTTGATATTCTAGAAAGCTCCATCACGTTCTGATTGTTTGGAAACTTGTCGGCTCTTTTAGAGTCTCTAGAGGCTCCATTCTAATTCTCAGAAGCTATCCCAACACATCAGAATTCTTCTGAGTGTATATCTTACAGTTATTTCAATATTTTTTTAGTAAATATTTTCTATATAGGTGTTGACGGTCAAATTTCTGTCGAATTACTTTTACCATATATAGCTTCTTAGATATAACTTAAGTGAATGGAGTAAGTGTCGACAATACAGATAACATTTTCTAAAAAATATATATAAATAATGTATGTTGTTTATCTCTGTAATTCATCTTTCATGTCGTATCTCATATTAGAGTAAAATTTACATGAAGATTACTGGTTATCATACAGAGAATATTGTCAATGTGTAGCCTAACTCAAGTTATGGTATAAACTTAGCAGGGATTATGTTAGTTCACCGATTATAATTGGTTGCAGACATGTAATAAGTATAAGTACATCTATATATAAGTACATATAAGTACACCTAAATCTGAAAGGGGGTGTTGTGGAGATTGTAGTAATTTAATAGTCGAATTCATGGGTCGATTAAAGATAGACCACCACGGGAGATCTGTAAGCACTGGACAGCTGTTTCGTCCTAATATGAATAGCAGTACACATCCACGATCCCGAGCGCCCAACTCAAACCCATGACCTTCAATCTTGCGCGCGAACACTTAATCTCTGGACTACTGGGCAGGCATCCAACCTGTACCTTATGATCCCTTAAAGTAAATAGTGACAGAAAACATTAAAAAGCATTAGAAAATCAATATTCATGATATTTAACTTGTTACAATCATTATGAATGTAAGTAATTATCTGAAACAATTTTATTTCTCATTAGAAATATCTCACCAGAATTTTAATTAATCTTATTTTATTTAGATAAACCTTGTGCTACACTACAGAAACCTCGAGTAAAACCACATGGACCTGGAACATTACTTATAGAATGGACTCCACCTTTGATTACTGACCGTTTAGAATCTTTAGTTAAATTTACTGGTTATCGGGTAGAGTATCGTCGTGATGAACCTGGAGAAGATTGGTTCCTTCTTGGTACTACATCTGCTGATCAAACTTATTTTATTGCACGTAGTCAATTAAGAAGAGGTGTAAATTATCGTTTCAGAGTACGATTAGAAAATTGGCATGGATTAGGACCAGCTAGTGATGCATCAGAGCCAGCACAATTACCAGTACATCGGCTTACAGAAGGTATATATAATAAAATTTACAAATACAGTTTTTGTTGTATAAATGTAAATAAATTACTTCTCATTGAAATTATCAATGTGTGAATGAAATTGGACTAAAGTTACAAAAAAATATTTTCAATACCAAAACGTTAACATGAAACTTTACTAGACAGCCTTGCCTGACTCCTGTCCTTACTTGGAATGCATCTGTCAGCTGTCCTCCATGCATGACTTTGCACTATAGTCCGTCGTATGAGTTCCAGATAATGTTGACAATCTTATCGGAAACTTCACGGTGTTCACTAATCTATTCTACTCCATTTGTTTCCTGTTGATTCGTATCATTCTTCTTAGTAACTCTCATCATTTGTTGATTTTCTTTTAATTGAATGACACTTTAAGCCTATGTCTATTTTAACTCTTTATTTTTCATTGAAATTATGAACCGATCAGTGTTAGACAACTATAAAAAACCTGAAAGAACTGGACGGCCGTTTCTTCCTAGTATGGGACTCCTCAGAAGTGCGCATCCATACACAGATCTTAAAAAACTGATCTACATGTCGCCTTTGTTTCACGATGTTTTCTTTGAACCAATAGAATGATTATCTATACATATTGTAAACTAGAACATTATATCCAAAATGAAATGTTTTACAACTCTGTAGTCACATTCAATTTACTGTATACAAACTCCAAATATTAGCCAAATTATCCAGTTCAGTCATTTAGTTAACTGATATCCGTTTAGCGGTCAGATCTCTAGTAGACAATTGTTATATCTGCCCAAAGGCTTTCTGTAGATTTTATCCTAACAATATTCATGCACAGAAATTAGGCCGGGGATATTTGCATAGGTGTCACAGACTCTAAAATTGATTATAGGTCAACCTATCTAGATCAAGCTAAATATTGTAGTCAGACTAGTCATCCTGATTACTGCGAAAAATATAAATTTTATGTTGGCTAGTTGAAAGTATTCAGCCAAAGCTTCAAATCTGTTCAGTGCTTATAGATGCTTATCAATGGAAAAGTAAACAACTTCGTGTGTGTATCGGAGAATTAGAACTACAGTTTTTGTCCTTGATAATGGCATTTTTGTACTAGATTTTGAACGAAAATTCAAAACATAAATCTAAATGAATATAGTGTATAAGCAACCAGGAAAATGTATTCATTTATTATTTTTATCAGAATGGGGGTTTGTGGAAATTGTAGTAATTTCATTAGTTAAATTCATGAGTCGATCTAAACTAGACCACCATTGAAAACTTGAAGGCACTGGAATGCCGTTTCGTCCTATTATGGGACCCCTCAACAGTGCGCATCTAAAATCTCACATGCAGTACTCGAACCCGGGATCTTCGGTTTCTCTCGCGAACGCTCAACACCGTTTGATGCTGGCCCAGTGGTCTAGAGGTTAAAAGTTCGCGTGCAAGATCGAAGGTCCTGATTTATTATTGTCCTTTCCAATTACTTAATAATAATTTTTAACCAAAGAATATTTAAGTGAACAGTTTTTTTCCCTCATTTCATTATCAGGATCTACAGTTATAGGCCAAAATAAAGCTTGCATTAGTGAATTTGACAATATTCTTTAAAATGATGAACTGTTGCGTTTGAAGACATAAATACTTCGAAATCGTGCCATTCGTAAATTAGAAAGGTCATTTAGTAATGGTCAGACTGATTTGTAATAGCGTCAAGCTAGAATCAATGATAGTAATATTAGTACAAAGAATCTCGTGAACAAAATGTTTAATAGGAGAACGTTACCTCGTTAATTCGGGTTGTAATAATAATAATAATAATAATAATAATAATAATAATAATAATAATAATAATAATAATAATAATAATAATAATAACGTTGTGTACATATAATATGTAATAAGAGGTTCTGTGAATGTTTAGATTAAAAAATATAAACAAAAAAGGAATTGAGAGAAGATAAGAGGTTTATAATATCCAATTTACGTATCTGGTGCCCCAGTCATGGACCAAGGTAAACAACAGAGGCTGGATATATTTTTCCTGGATACATGAGTTCGGTTTTCCGAAGTTCATCCAGACGGCGTCAGCTATGTAGAGGAGCAGTAATCTAGCTCCTTTTGGTAAATTGATTGCAACCCGATACGAAACATAGGAAAGTTTCATCTATTTTAATATGATGTTCACAATCTACCGAATGAGAAAAAATGGCGATGTGAATAGACTCTGTGACTCCATTTCCCAACCATGCTGGTGGATGTTCACGAACACACAAAGACAAAGTTCTCTGAGTACGGCCTATGTAACTAGTTCCACCTGGAGCAGTTGAATTGGTAATACGCACGTAGAGCACCCCATCATTGGTAACCTATCCTTGATTTCTTGTGTAATTACTGGTTTAGCTGAAAAAAATTATATGTAACTTGGCAGCGTGAAACGTTCTTTCAACAGATCTTTTGAGTCAACGTGTCAAAATGTCACCCACTTTGTCCTCTTAAAAGTCCAGTTTCAGATACAGTGTTTTTTTTACCGACCGAGTCACAGTTTCTTCTTTATTGTAATTCCTTCTAATAGAATTTTTATGACGAAATTATCTAGATATCCATTATTTCATAATGTTCTTTAGCTTATCAATTTCGCTTTCTACAATATCATCAGAAGATAATAGTTTGATTCTGTGACTGAGACATTTAAGCAAATTTATTTTGTATTGATGAGGTGTAAAGCTATGAAAATGGGTATACTGACCCGTCCAAGTAATATTTCTAATTACATTTCCTTTTACGGAACTATCTATCCTACTAAAAAGTAGAACATAAAGGAAAACTATACAATCATCGTTTTCCCTCTACTTTTATATTGTTTTTAGTTTTGGATCTTAATGATATGGAATTCCGTCATTATACAGATGGATCATTCGATTCACGATATGACATTATTGAAGAGTTAGCTCGGTGAGTCAATTTTATACATAGTTGATAGACACAAATAATTATTATATTGATAAATTTGTAAACTTTAAAAATGCTCTGTATCTCTTATTTCTCTGGTTTGATATATACAAGCATACCTCCATTAGTTATTCTATAAAATAGTGTTTCTTATAGTAAACAAAGGATTAAGAACAATACTAAAGTTAAAGGTTATCAACTTATTTGATGAATTAAAAATGAACTTGCATTATTCTTTCTCATAACTATCGCCAGACTATGAACATCCGTCTATAAAACTTTATTGTACTTGATAAATTTGAAGTTGATATCTATTTTGTATCGTACTTCTCAGCTCCTGAGCATTATTATATGTTCTATAATTGTAAGTAAATAGTTGAGTTTATAAATCAATTAAAGCTAGACCGTCATGGAAAACCTGGAAGTATGGGACGGCCGTTTCGTCCTAGCATGAGACTCCTCAGTAGTGCGAATCCACGATCCTGCCTAGTGGGGTCCGAACCCAGGATCTATCGGTCTCGTGCGTGAACACTATAATTGTATTGTAAAAAATACTCCTTAACCATTTAGAATGTAATACAAGAATTCTCATTCAAAAAGTCAGTATAAGTATACGTATATTTGCCTACACAGTCTTAAGTATTGTGATTTCATGCTGATACATGATCTTGAACAATAAATTATGTCAGAAGGGGTTTTTGCGAATATTATATTAATTCCAATAGTTGAGATCACGAGTCGATTGAAGCTAGACCACCATGGAAAACCTGGTAGCACTGAACGGCCGTTTCGTCCTATTATGGGACTCCCCAGCAGTGCGCATCCACAATCCCACCACCTGAGATTCGAACCCTGGACATATCAGTTTTGTCAACCTAGTAATTTAATACATAAAACTACTTCATAGTGTATCATGTCTCTAGAATAAACATATAAATTATATGCAGATATAAGTCTTTCAAGGAATATTACATTTAATGGAGATTTTGAATTTATTGATTGGGATCATGAACCGATTGATGTTAGACCACCATTGAAACCTAAAAGCACTGGACGGCCGTTTCATCCTACTGTGTGACTCCTCAGCAGTGCGTATCCACTATCCCGATTCATGATCTCAATCAAAAACTCAATAATCTCCACAACCCTATACTGATAATTTTAAATTTAGTCTTGATTTTTATTTGGTGTGTCCGCAAGTTTTTCATTTTGCTGACCCTCCAAATAAAGATTGTATTGTAGATTGTTTAAAATAACCTCGGAAATCCAAACTTTCTTCACTGATGAATGTTTTAATGTACTGTCAAAAGGTTCAGTTTTCTTCTAAATGGCTTCCAGTATAGTGATAAGTATATTCCTGAATGGAATAATCTTAGTTAAATTGATAATTATAGAACATTTAGTTATATGGATTATGTATATTGGTTTAATATAAAGAGAATTTTCATTACTAACTTTTGTCAACTGGGTTAATACAAAAAAGCAGAGAGAATCGGATAACTATTTCATTCTAGTTTAAGTTGTGCTTATGCTCACCATTTAGCAGTCCCAAACTAGAATGAAACGGATATCCAGTGTTCTATGTTTTTCTTTAGTCCCCTTAGCTGATATCCGTCCTTTGTAAAAATACTCAAAAAGTCACATAATAATCAAAGCAATTAGTCCATTTGACAAATTTGGATAGTGTAATTAAAAAACGAAGATTATCAAATCTGTGATATATTAACACGATACAGTTTGAACAATCTGATCACATATATACTTGCTAAAAACAATTATATAATAAAACTAAAGGTCAACTAGGCAAGTGGAAGGTAAAAGGAAACAAAGTTAATAACGTTAGTATACACTATTTAACACTTTTACGCAATATCACAAAAGCCATGTTAAGATCAATATTATGATCTGTTTCAACTATATGCTTGACAGAGTATGATGAATGTTTATCATCTACTCTTATTATTCGAAATGTATTGCGCTAATCTATCATATAGTTTTGATAATCTTTGTCCTCTTACTACACTATCAGAACAATATTAATTTCTGCGTTTTCTGTTGTTGTTTTATTTTATCTTTTCGTTCACTTTATCATTTTTGTGTAATAAAGCAAGTGGTTATCATAGATGACTGAAATATTTTGATGTGATTACTTTTCATTCGTTTTCAGTACTAGAAATTCTGGTCTTTATAGACTTGCTGAACGCTCAACTGGTCGTTATTGGTTAGGTACTATTATAGATACAAGTCCATCTGCATTGACTAAACGTCCAGTTAGCGCTTTAGGTAAACGCGACATCAGCTATCCAGAATTACCTTCGCGTCCAGTTAGTGTTTTGGAAACTGAACGCCCTGTTCGTAGACGTGCTTCTTATGATATATCAAAGTATACAACTAGACATGATATTACTGACTGGGAACAAGAGAAAGCCGAACGTGAACTGAAACTACTTTCGCGTATCCAACAAGAAAACTTTGCACATCTACATGAAGCTTACACAGAAGCTAAACGTACTATTTGTGTAATGGAAGAGTAAGTAAATTTAGTTTTGATCTATATATTTCTTTGTTTACTAATTTACAACTAAAACCTGATGTAACTCTAGGCACTTACCTAAAAAATTATTTACTCACTCATGTATAGATAGTATCAGTTAGTTATAGTAATAGGGCCCAGCACAAATGTTCGTTAGCCAAAGTTGCCATACTGCATTAACACGATTAAATTAAATTAACATGCTGAATATAAAAGGCATCAAAATAATATTAGTCTCAATGATAATTAAAAAAGTTAAACATTGAATAATGAGGTTAAGAATGAAAACAGTACTTGTATGAAAGAATATTTGAACTCGAGAGCTCAAAAAGATAGAGTGGCTATATCTGATTTTGAGGCATTTCATCAAACGTTCTCAACCATTAGTTACTATTATTGGATGGATGATGGCTAGCCTTGGAATCCAAGACATTAGTCTCGCTCTATTTGAGACTCTTCAGCTGATGTATCTGCACCTTGTTGATGCTCATACAGGGACTGGGACTTATTACTTTCCACTTTAAACGTCTAAGAAGTTATCCATTCAGATGCTGAGTTCAAACAGCTACTGACTTGTACAACAGAGTGAACTTTAATTTATTCGTATTGCCTATTTGAATCTGGATTCAAGTCCAGGTGTGAATCACAAAATTAGAGTTCAGGTATATCCAGCTGACCATCTCCGAATAAGACGAAGTGTACGTCTTGGATTTCACTGATAGACACAGTCCAAATTTATTTAAATGCTTGTGATTTGATTGTAATATCAAGATCATTCACACTGGATGCACATATTCCAAAAGTAACTGATCAATCACAGTCTACAACATCAACAGTAAGATCCAAACCAGTAAAAGTGAGCATCGTTTATACATAAAAAGCTGCTTAGCTTGTGAATAGATTTTTGTCTTAATAGCCCTCCTCAAACTTTAAACTGTTTACTTTTTCGACATGAATATTTCTATTTTATTCAAATTATCATATGAAGTAATGAATGTGACATGTTTGAGTCCCTTTAACTAAAGTTTACAAAAGCCAGTGATTGGTAAGTTTGATTCAGAATCATATTATCGACAGATTTAAATGCAACTTAATAATTTATACATAACTGACATACCCATTTTTTAAATTAACATTTTTAGTGTTACATCTGGTGATACATTATGGCATCAATTAGGTCGACGTATTACAGTAACTGAGCATAAAGCAGCGGATATATTACGTCAATTATTAGATTTAACTGCACAAATACACAAAAGTGGTGGTGTACATCTTGGTTTACAAGTAAGTGTTATTGATTTATGTAGTAAATTAAATTGAAACTATCTTACATTGATGATGTGTAATAGACCTTGAATTGGTTTTTTTCTTCCTAAAATGTGAATTTTAATAAACATCATAAAACTGACAAATAATTTATGAGTATAGGGTTATGGAGATTGTTGAATTTTAATTGAGATCATGAACCGATCGATGTTAGATCACCACTGAAAACCTGAAAGCACTGGACGGCCGTTTTGTCCTAATATGGGAATCCTTAGCAATGAGCATCTACAACCCCGCAAGCGGTTCATGATCTCAATTAAAACTCAAAAATCTCTACAACCCTATTGTGATAATTATCATGTGTTCACTAGTGACTAACTTTGTAAGTAATTCTAGGAATGTGAAGCAGTCACCCACCGAAGACAATGCAAGATGGTTGCACGACAACATGGGTTGTTTGGAGTTAGACATTAACACCGTTGGATCCCGGCCGGCTCAGTGGTTTAGAGGTTAAGGATTTGCGCACGAGACCGATGGTCCTGGGTTCGAGCTGGGCGTGTGAGATGATGGATGAGTACCTATGAATGGAAATTGCTTGTTTTTTTCTTATTTTAAATTTATGGCAATTCTTTTTTTCTAATTCGACGATTCCCTTTTGGTTAGAATATATCTGTCACCAGCATAATACATTTCGTTGAACACTATATCAATAATTTAAGAATGCCCGACAATTTTTGAAAAAAGAATAATTAAGTACTGTAATCATAGCGAATTAATAATCATGCAGATAACAGTAGATTATTGAGTATGGTAGATAGAAAGATGGCGGAGTTAACATCACTTTAGAATAAAGAATTAGAAATATATTCCTTTTGTATGCAGAGATTAGACTGGACTCAGTGAATTCCTAAAGCTTCTGTATTACATATGCATTTATTGATATGTTTATTATTATTATTATTATTATTATTATTATTATTATTATTATTATTATTATTATTATTATTATTATTATTATTATTATTATTTAAGAGAAAAGGACAAGTTGAGTAGAAGGGTTTGAAATCAAATGAAAGGAGACTGAAAATAAATTGGTTACTTTAACAAATTTGTCTTGTTTCGTTTATTCCTTTTTGTAGCCAGAGAATATCTTCTTTACTGATCAATCTAGACAACGGATTGCATTGGCTGATCTAGGACAAACGCATGCTTCAAATGTTGATAAACCTGTTCGTTTATCATTTCGTTCTATGGTATATATTCCACCAGAATTAACTAATGCTATGCCAATTAGTAAATCTGCACGAGTTGGTCAATCTGCTGATATGTGGTCATTAGGTTTATTACTTTATCAAATGTAAGTAATAATGTTAAATGTTAAAAAAAGAAGCAATTACATTAAAGTCATTAACAACAAATTAGCAATTCTGTCAGGTAATATTTTTAGAAAATGTGTGAATCCGAATTGAAGTCTAAAGGCAGTCGCTCAATATCGCTTACGGATTGATATTAGACGTTTCAACTCAGTGGTCTAAAACTTAAGCATATGTGATGAAACTAGATGATCCTGGGTTCGATTCCTATCTATGCTCACTCCTGAGGAGTTTCATGCTAGTGCAATATAGCTGTTCACTGGTTCTTAGTTTTCGATGGAGATCTGATTAAGGTCAGTTCTTGATGAATACTATAAATCTGACGTTAGTTGAAAAAATGGTTTTCTAAAGTTTGGCATTACTAACCATTGAAATCTAATCCCGTGTTCCAACGCCCATTTGGACGTTGTAGGAATCTAAAAGCACTTGGTTTACCTATACAGTCAATGGAGGTCATGTTACTAAAGACTTTCAAACCAGAATGAAACAAGCTGTTCATTTTCTTGACTAGTATATATTATCTTTATGGTAAAAATGATTTCCACCAGTAATCAATCGTTTGACATTACGATAATTATTACATTGATACTGAAATCTATTTCTTTTCAAATAGGACTACTGGTGATACGGAAGGTCCACCTGAACCACAGAAACTTGAAAAGATGCATTATTCTCCAAAAATGGTTGATTTTACTAAACGTTTACTACATACTGATCCAAAACAACGAATGACAGTTCATCAAGCTTTGGAACATCCATGGATAACAAGTATGACCACTAAAAAATATGATACAGTTGAACGAGAAGAAAAAGAGGATCACTTCAAATCTGTTTCTTCATCAAGACAATATTCATCAAATCTATCTAAGAATTATGAATCACAAATAGAAGATGAAATTCTAGAAGATGATATTGCTGAACGAATAAATAAACGTGCATATACAAGATTATTACGTTGGTTAGATGCCAGTTATGTAAATGACACTGATGATATTGATACAAATGATACATCAACTATTCGTAAATTGTCAAGAGTTGGATCTATTCATGATTCATATCATCGTTATTATTATGATTATCAAACATCATCATCTAAAGAATCTGAAGAAATTGTTGTACATGCAAGAATTACACCACGTGGTCAAGCACCAGAAATATTAACACCTATGGGTTCAGTAAGTGCTCCAGAAGGTAGTACAACAATGTTACGTTGTGCTGTTTATTTACCGAAAATAAAAAAATCATCACATCTTACAGATCAGTTGAGTGATTTACAAATTCGTTGGTCATTAAATGGTCGTGAATTAAATATTGGTTGTCCGTTACCATCATTAAAAACTCCTACGACACAACATTATGTATGTACATATGATACTGAAACAGGTGATATTAAACTTCATATCAATGATGTTACAGTATATGATGCTGGAACATATGAAGTTACTATTATTGGTCGATATGGTCAAGTATCTGATTCAGCAAATTTGAAAGTTTATGGTAAGTAGTGATGGATAAAGTATTTTCTAATGAATATTTATATGGGAGAAAGTTGAAACTTCATTAGATCAACGACAATTTCTTATCTTAAAAACAAATAAACATTAAGGTTTAGTGGCTTGTAACACAATGTTTAATACAATGAAATGTAAAACTAAAGAGAAATGTTTTTTATTAATGATTATTTAAATATCTGAAACTAGATATACCAGACTATAGTTTTGTATTTTTATTTATTTGAACACATAAATATTGATACAAAGGGGCACTGAATACATATACGCCACACAAGTCACTTGATTTGTGTTTGGGCTGGGATATGGGTCGGGTGCCCAAACCGAAACACGTGGTTTTCTTAGGAGACCGCACCCGGGGCCTTCATCCTAGAGGTCTGGTCCACTAGACAGTGGAGGAACGTAAGGACATGCAGTTCCATGGTAGATGGTGACCAATAATTGGTTCATACTCCATTCTTCCTTCAGGATCCTGGAGCCCATGTGCAACATTGGTTTGAAATCAGGGTTTTCCAACTCCCCTAGGTGAATCCTTCATATCGACCAACCCGGTTAAAGCGTTGGACATTCACTTTCTTTCCTCTCAATTTTGTAAACAACAGTAATGCCATGAGAAAGCAGTGAGTATGACTTCCGTAGCAATGGCTGTTTATGCGTGGCCATTTGAGAGCATTTCGAGAGAGAGAGAGCTGACTCTTGCAGGTGAAATGCAGGACGCGCGTTTCTTCCTATTCAGGACTCGTCAGCTGGATGTGCCTGTATCCGAGTTGACGTTTACTGCATGACTCGTACTCAATACTGTTCACTTCAAACATCGTCCTTTTATCCACTTAGCTACCGAGTCCAGTCTAGCTCGTGAAATAGGGTGAAGTTTAATGTGTGTCCTAGCCACTATCCATCTATGCTTATAACGATTGTTACCTAAGGAAATATTGAGGCAATCCGCACAGAATGCACATATGCTAATAAGAGACTGATTATTTGCAGTCCTAAACATCAATGGGAAGATTCAAGCAATCAATGCAAATTGAATGAATTTTATATTGTTTCTTATAGATAAATTAGTTATGATTGACTTTATTTATTTACTTCATGTAGAATCAACAACTCAACGTTCAACTATCAATTCTGATTTATATGTAACAAGTGAATTAGGTGCACGTATTCTATTACCATTAGTTGATATGACATGTACAACTGGTGGTAAGATTCAAATGAAAGCTAAAGGTGAGTTTCTCTTGTTATTCATGTTCCTCCTAATATAAGTATTATTTTGACCCATGGACTTATTACACGATTTACCACCCTTGAGTTATACCTAGTCTATTGATTACAGTCTCCCACATTCACAACCACTTTTGGCTAGATCATGTATAAATGTTATTTTCTATTTTATGGTACGATATAGTCTGTTTGGTTTGTATATAAACGCAATATATTCGAAATACATGATTTATATCGTGGAGGCTAAGACTGGTGTTCTGAACTGAACAGGCAGGGAGAAGAACCGATAAAGCCTCTAGACTGCTCGTACGAGTTTCATTGGTCTGGCCGATAATTCATTGTTCTCTAATTGGCGGTATCATTACGCTACACACTGATAGGACACAAAGCCACAAGTTATAACACTGAGTCAGTGAATATTACATTCAGCGAAGTTACGAATATAGTTTTATAGATAATACATAATCCTTTGATTAATCTTATCATATACTTATTTTGTTCAATATTCATTTTTTAGTTTGTGGAATACCAGTTCCTCGATGTACATGGTTACATAATGGTGTCCCATTAACAGCTTCATCACGTAGACGTTTCTATCAAGAAGATATGAATGGTACATCATCATCATCATCATCATCAGAATTAATGCTAAAACTTGAAATATCTGAAATTACTACAGCTGATGCCGGACTTTATTCTTTAGTAGCTACTAATAAATATGGATCACAAACATGTTCAGCTGTTATTGAAGTATTTGGTAAGTAGATCACTCTTTCAAGATGCTTTACTTGAAACATACTTAATTGATTTTTATTATTCTCTTATACAATAATTTCATATGTCTGAAATAGATTTTGTAACTACACATGTTACGTAAAAAGTATAAATTGGGGATGCAGCCAGTTATGTCTTGCATGAAAGATTAGCGAGGGCAGTTAATAAGATATTCTATTGTAGCTAATCCTACACTGGGATTTTCTGTTTGACCAGTATTATTCACTCAAACTAAAGATAAATTACCTGAGTTCACCTCTTGAGTGTGCAACTACAAATCAAACTTTTCCTGAGGAGTTAACTATATTTAGCTTACTACCAGGCAGCTTAACCAACGACTAAGTGAACATCTCTCACTATGGTTTGGAAAGTGCCAGACAAGGACAATACGCAGCTTTATCCTGTCACACCTGTTTGATGGTGATCATATAGTAGATAAAACCAAACCATTCCTAGTGATCCATTGCATATTTTCTTCGTTCCCCTAAAGGATTTGATCCAGTCTCCAATAAAATTCATAACCTATAACTCTGATTTATGTGCTCAGAAGAAATTCTCAATACTTCTGTCTCTTTCTTCGTTCGATATAACATAAAAAACGATATTTTTCACATCCCCTATTTGTTTATTGTTTTTCAACCCATTCCTTTTATATTCAACAATTCCTAATTATTTACACACTTCTTATTACGCAATTTTAATATTTTGTGATTATTTTATAGTCTGTTTATCCAAGTTTGATCTACATCGATCTATGTTGAACCATAGACTGGCCCTTACTTATTTTATAATTCTTATCACTACTAGTACACCTCTGTTCTTACTATTCATTTATACTTTTTACCTATAATGTGTAATTAAACAATTAACTTCATTGTGATCATCCACTCATAAATTGTCTAAATTGATTTAAAATACTCCTATAAATGTTCATGTAAATTAGAAGGGAGTCTAACAACAATCTAACTAAAAATAGTATGTTGTTAAATCTATTGGAGCGTCTAATCAAACAGTTGAAATCAAATTTCACAAAACAGCGATTTGTCTAAAACAAGGCGGTTCTTTATTGAGTAATATATATACAAATTAGCTACAAACTTCAACTTGTGAGGTATCTATGACCCTTGTGCGTCTATAAGTCTGAAATATAAAAAGCTTCGATAGTGCAATGATAGCCAATAGCTGATAGTAGTTTGTCAACAAGCGAAAATGGAACTAAGAGCAAAAAATATGTAAACTCTTGCATTTAAACGAGGATTAAACGACCATACAAAGACTGAGAATAACTGTTACAGTGATTGAGAGGAAGTACTTATAATGGTAAACACAATAGATGTTATAAGTATACGTAAATACTTACACACTTACGTTACAACATACGCGTAAAAATTGTTAGGAATGCAACTGTTTACTGAATATTAAAAGTAGTATAAAACAATACACAAAAGAGTTGAAGGGGAGAAAAGAAGGAAAGAGAACGTAAACAGACTTAGCATATGTGTTGTATTAATTTTCATAATGGGAATCTTTGGATAAATTAGTTGCATAAACTTCTCTTCAGCGAATTGCTCAATTTTTCTTGGTGAAGAATAATGCTATAAATGAAATCCTTTAATATATATCCTTTTATTTCATTATTCTTAAGTGAATATTGATATGGGATTTTTGTTGTTATTATTATTACTATTATTCTATAGCTTCTCTTGAGGATGGTTCAGAAGCACCACATTTTCTTAAAGAATTAACAAGTATTACTGTTGTTGAAGGGAGTGCTGCTCGTTTTGAAACATGTGCACGTGGTCAACCTGCACCAACTGTACGTTGGCTTAAAGATGGTAAACCATTATTAACAGATGGTATACGTTTATGTGTATCACAAACATCAACTGAAAGATCTGGCACTAATACATCTAGTCATACACTTTTAGTTAAAGATGCTATACCACGTGATAGTGGAACATATACATGTATCGCAACAAGTTCATCAGGTACTGCTATCACTGAAGCAGCATTACATGTTCGTGGTAAGTTGATTTCTTTCAATCTTATTCTAGTTAAACCATTCTCATTATCTTGTTATTCATAAAAACATAACTTTAAAGACTTTTGTATTTATATTCAGTAAAATATTGTATTAAATGAGCACTTCACTGAGTAATTGTAGAACAATAGAAGCGCTTACTTTACACCAAGATACACAATTTTCAGTAGCCTATACTTTATACAATACGTTAAACATAAATGACTAGAGGAAAGAATAAGCATTTCTGAACTGAACTCAATTCTATCAAGTTATTTTAGTCCTCTTATGCGTCTTCTGCCATAACAATTCAGTAAATTCAATCACAAACGACAGGGTTATAAGAAGCCTTCTTTCTTGTAAACTATTCGGGATAAATGAGCATAGAAAACACGATTGGTGATGTATTTTGTTGTAAAACGAATGTGTTATATAAACGATATGAATTAATAACACACAAAAGGAAATAATAAATTGTTTAAGGTTTAGTCACAATAGTAGCCTGATTCAGCTTCATCGTACACAATTTTAAGTATAAAGAATCAGATAACAAGAATAGAAGTTTATAAATTATGTTTGTGTATCCATTACGACTAAAAGTAAACCTTCATATAATGATAATTTAAATAATTTGGAGTGTTCAGTACTTACTTACTTATTTACTTATGCCTGTTACTCCCAATGGAGGATAGGCCACCGATCAGCATTCTCCAACCCACTCTGTCCTGGGTCTTCCTTTGTAGTTCTATCCAATTTTTGTTCATTCTTCTCATTTCTGTCTCCATTTCTCGGCGTAATGTGTTCTTTGGTCTTCCTCTTTTCCTTTGGCCTTGAGGATTCCATGTGCAGGCTTGCCTAGTGACTCAGTTGGGGGCTTTCCTCAATGTGTGTTCATTACATTTAAAATATTAGTTAAACCATATCGTATAACTTTATCGATCATTTTCAATCATAAAAAAATTTTTCCCCAAGGTTTATTCGGTCGTGGAGGTCATATTGGTTCAGATACAGTTAATAGTGGTGGTATTCGACATCGTCATCCTGAATTCACTCGTCGTTTACGTAATCAACAAGTTGATTTTGGCAGTACTATACGATTAGCTGCATCAGTATTAGCTCAACCATCAGCTACAGTGGTTTGGCAAAAGGATGGTATAGAAATTTTAACTGACCCATCGGATGATCCAAGAATTACTGCTAAAGTTAGTTTAATTATTTCATATAGTATCTAAATTTATGTATATTCTAAACTATATAAAGATTAATTTACTATTCGATATCATTTCTTGTTCTCAACACATTTACTCATAAATAATCAGTATTATTTGAAGAAAAATTATCGAGTTCTAAACATCTACATCACACATTATTGATCTCAAAGGATTTCAACTCAAAGTCTGATTCAGTTAAAACATTATGGAAAACCAGTTGATCAGTATCGGTTTTATTTACGACTAGTATTCGTAAACTCATACTGGATCAAATTCAGGGTCTTCATGTAGTGGATGAGAACACAGGCAGAGACAATTAAATGTGTTTCAACATATTACAGAATATCTTGGTAAAACCGGAGAACCATACAGTAAATACTTCATTTGCAAAATATTCATCAATTGTCTCAGACTTTGTTGTTCCTTCATTTCTATAGCAAACACTCTCTATTCTCATTCTCTTCTCTTTGATTTTCTCAACCTCCTGACACCAGGCATTCCACTTTCGATTGTTGATACTACTTATATCTGTCAATATCAGTAGCACAATCAGATTCATATCCGATTCGTTTTTTGGATGACTATGTTGAAATTTAATAGTTCATATTTCAAACTCAGATCAATTCACAATCCTATCGTTGATCAACTACTTTAATTATGAACTGTGTTAACGCCACTAATCACAGACTCCTATGAATCTTACAAAAATTCATTACTAGGGGCGTTATTTTGTATTAATTAGCACGGCGAATGAAAAAGAAACTATGAATATTCTGTTTACAGTAGTTGTAGTTAGCATAATTAATGAGCAGTTTCACATGAGTTTGTCATCAAAAAAGCATAAATTACCGTTTGAGTTAAACATTTTGATGATATAATTAGTAAGTGGTGAAACTCTTTTATTTAAACACTGTCGTCATCATGATCATCATTAAAAATCCCTTTTTTTACTATGTAACTGTTAATTTACAGAATCATAGCGGTCATCTAGAATTACGTATTGAAAATGTATGCAAAGATGATTTGGGTCAATATACAGTGATTGCATATAATTCTGCTGGTGAAGCTCGTTGTTCATGCATTCTACAAGGTACAACTAAAATGGAAATACAAGTGCCTAAATTCACTAAAGAACTTCGAGATTATACAATATTAGAAGGTACTAATTTATGTTTAGAAACCATAGCAACCGGTGAACCAATACCTGAATTTAAATGGTAAGTATTAAAAAAAAGATATATTTCCATTGAATAATTGAACAATTATTTAGTACATTCTTTTCATTTATATTGGGACCATCAAGTGAACTATGCTAAACTTAGACATAAAGTACTAAGGAAATTTAACAAATTTGTTGATGTGGTAGTGAATCTTCACCAATTGAAATGATTAAGATATGTATTACATATGCCCCACCACTTCCTACTTCAATGCCTAATGTTGGTTGGTGTAGAATTAAGTTGTAATAATGTCTTAGATGGCCAAACTAAGACGTGATATCAGTCAATGAACGCATTGAGTTGTGAGAATAGGTGCAGACTACCTGATTAGAGTCAGTGTGATTACCTCAACTAGTTGTTGGATATGCTGGGTGGCATGGCTAAGAATTGGTCTTAGTTTAGCAGATGGATTCAATATTTGCTTTTCTTTAGATTAAAGATGCCACAAGTATTACATTTATTTACCGCTGCAAGATCTTAAGTTTCGGAATTGTCTTCTTGTGGGAATTCTTTTTTTTCTCTGATCACACCGTCTACATCTGATCTTTTTTACTACCAATGATACTGTTATTAATTCTCTCCTACACTCTGATATTTATTTTAATAGTTTCCACTCACTGTGCTAATATGTTTGGTAAATTGAACTGACACAAAAATATCTCAGGTCATATGTTGTTTATGACTCGCTGTTTGTTACTTAGTTAAAGATTAACAGTGATAAGTGTCAATCTTTTAAAATTAGTATCAAGTACTCTTTTTGGTCACTTCAGTCCAGTAATGATATGCTATTTATTGTTATTTGATTGTATTAACTGAAAACAATATCTAAATGGAATATTTTAATTATAAATTCGCTTTGATTCTTTCTTTTGTATCTAACGTATAAAATAGGGAAAAAGATGGTTTTGAAATTCTTCCTGATGAATATGGTCCACCACGTATCACACCTGGGACAAATGGTAGTGGTTTAGCTTATTTACGCATTCACAATGTTCGTAGTTCAGATGCAGGTTTGTATCGTTGCATTGCATATAATAGATTTGGTCGTGAAAGAACAACTTGTATTGTTCATGTAGAATCAACTAAACAAAAAGGTGTGCATCGATCAGATATGAGGAATGGATCATTTACTTTGAAAAAAGACACAGATTCTTCTTTAGCATTGTTATCTGAGAATGGTATTAAAGCATCACCAAGGGATCATTCAGATTCACCCAAATTAACTGGATATATTAATGTGTTACGTCCATTGCCTAAAACTATTGAAGTTGAAGAAGGCAGTCCTATTGAACTAACATGTCGTGTTGATACAAATTTACATTACATTCGTAAGTATCATTTTTTGATCAGACAATGAATATTGTTTTCTTCAAATTTTAATAATATAACGACAGAATTTAAATATTACCTGCTTGCCACGTTGTACTACTATTATACAGTTTTGCGACCGGTAGGACAGATATTATACTACCACCAGACTGGATACTCGATCGATAGGCTATATACAAACTAGATCTCATTATATCAGGTACACGATTCACGACTAGTAATAGAGAATCAGGGTATACGCTAGACAATACTTTATTCAAAAAAATTAGTTGCACTCAATGAGTACAGAGTAAACATCAACAATACGAAAGGAAATCATGTATATAGTGGTCAGTCAGTTGTGCGTTTATTTGTTCACGTTCGGTGACCAGTCTCATTTACTTTCACCAGTCACACATCATTAAACTTATCTTGTAGACAAAAGATGCAGTTACTCGGAAAGTTGTTCACCTTCAGATAGTATATAGTTTGAAATTACTTTGGGTTTAGTGAAAAACTCTGACAGGAACTTGAACCTAAAACTTTAAACGAAATCTCTGCAAAGTTAGAATTTTAGAAAGGACTAGAAAAACGCTTTAAAAGATTACTTTCACCTAAACGTTCGGTTTTTAACAAAAAATATCTGTCCAACAAACACTGATTGTTCTTGAATGAATCACTAGGTTAGAATCTAATAGCTTTTAAAGTTTGATTATATTAGCCCACAAATGCCCTGATACGGCCGAGAGTGGGGAGAGTCAGCTCTCCCTCTCGAAATTCTCTCAAGTGGCCACGAGCCTACAACCACTGCCAGGGAAGTCCTACTCACTGCTTTCTCATGGCATTACTGTTGTTTACAAAATTGAGAGGAAAGAAAGTGAATGTCCAACGCTTTAACCGGGTTGGTAGATATGAAGGATTCATCTAGGGGAGTTGGAAAAACCCTGATTTCAAACCAATGTTGCACATGGGCTCCAGTATCCTAAGAGAACAAATAGTGTTTTTGAACCATTTATTAGTCACCATCTACCATGGGACTGCATCTCCTGACGTTGCTCCACTGCCTTATGGACCAGACCTCTAGGTTGAAGGCCCCAGGTGTGGTCTCCTAAGAAAACCACCTGTTTCGGTTTGGGCACCCAGGCAGTATCCTGCTTCTCACACACATCGAATGATTTATGTGGCGCATATCTATTTAGTGCCTTCTTGTACCAATGTTTATGTGTTTAAATAAAAATGGCTGATTCATATGTACTAAGCTTTATTCTCACGAATAAAAGCTATTATACAACATCACGAGTATTTTGATAATAATTAGATCTACAATTGGATTCTATTTAAAGTGTATTGAACTAATTTCTCTTAGTTATGTTTATCTGATGAAGTAAATGTTATGTAACATTGGAATAAAATATTTCCCTTATATATATTTTTTTATTAAAAGCTACGTGGAGTAAATCAGGTCGAACTTTAACATATGATGGTCGTAGAAGAATTACTCGTAGTAAAGATGGTGAACTTACATTAGCTATTGATCAAGTAATGTCTAATGATGAAGGATCATACACATTGACATTAGAAGCTTCTGATGCAAATGCACCGAAAAATCTAGAACCAATTGTACTTTCTACACGTGTTCAAATTAAATCAAAACAAAGACCACGGTAAATTCAGTTATTTGTATACAATAATAGTTTATAATTTTACATTTTAATTTAATCATAAATACAAAGATAGTTGAAGTTAACAAAATGTAATTTGATGCTTACTGAATAATTAGACTTTTTGCATAACGCATGACATATCGTTTAGAATGATAACGAAAGTTTTGGGATTAATTAAACCATTGAGTTGGTTAGAGAATGCTGGTGAGAGGTCTATACTCCTCGACGAGGAGTAACAGGAGTAAGTAAGTAAGTGATACAGAGAAAGTTTAGGAAATAAAACATGTTCAATTCCCAAGTGTATAGTGATCGCTTACTTGGTAGTAACTAATATCATGTTTATCTAGTTCATAGTGGCATTCGAATTCTATCAATCAAACTGTAATGTTTCCAATAAGTTTCAAAAATTTAACATTACATTCACTACCTTTGAATGTTGGGTGGCTGGAGGCTATCGTAAAGAACTTCGAACCTAGATTAATGCTAATCATAGGTAGAATCTGATCACGACTGATTGACGTAGGTTCGAATTCCAATAAGGAGCGTCAATACCCTTAGAATCACAGATGCACCTTACTGGAGAGATCCAGCTATTGAGAAGATCAGGTTCATAGGATTTCATTGGTTGCTTCCGATAAGTCTCACTAATTGAATGCTGGATTCGTTTCCTAAGCTCTTCTAGTAACCTCCAGGCTAGATCTACACATCGACTTGAAGACGTGAGCAAAGGCGCGAAATATGTAAGAAACACTTTACTCCAAAGGTTCGTCTATGTACAGAAAATCTGGAGTTTTTATAGAATTTTAGATGCTACTAAACATAGTAGCAGTATAAGTAATCATCCAATCAGAAGCTCGACATGTGACTTTTCACTTTCTAGATGTTTCTGGCAAAACTTCTAGTGAACGCTGATTGAATAAGATGCTTTTTAGTGTTTTCTGAGCCTTTTTTTGGCTTTTGCGAGAAGTTTTCTGGATTTCCCCAGCAACTTCTAACTATCTACCACTTTCATAAATTTATACAATAACATTTAATAATAAACTAATAAATGAAAATTCACTGTGATTTATAAACGCCTAACCACTTGTGAAAGTGATTTGTTTGCAGAAATCAATCATATAATCCGGTACAGTTTTATTTCAAACATACTTTGCTCATCAATGAACTTAACTGTGATAATTAGGAGTATTTGAATTATAGTACAAACTAAGAATCCCAGAAATAACACAATTGGATCAAGAAGTAGTAGATAAGCACGAACGAATGTACTGTATTTGGAATTCGAAATCAAGCATTCGACAAGTACAAAGGAATCGTTAGTTCATACAAACACCACATTCACCACAGATTAAATGAGAATCCAAATTTCTGCAATCAATTGTGCCCCTTCTTCGTAGGTTCATCGTGTCTGTCCAACCGTGCATTGCATGTAGACTCTGTATGATCTAGAATGTGCTCATTAGTATTAGAATTAACAACCGAAATCGAAACAGACCCACCTGGGTCCTGGAATTGTATGCAGTCACCTTGTCGGTTGTGTACTGAAATCACTGATAACTAGAATTTGAACCAAAGATTTTCCAACACTATCCTCCACCACAAAATAATGTTGGATCATCATATCCCCAAGTTATGAATAATGTGGCTTCATTTAAAACATATTTCTCACATTGATTAGAGTATACATTGGAAGTTAATTTGTGATAAGGATGAACATCAGTTGATGTGAAACCACGTGAATTGTAATCAGAATCGAGCTCATTTAATACTCGTGCTTAGTATTGAACAAGTTTCCCACAAGAAAAGAATGCATTATGAAGACAAATAATATCTGATGACATCAAGATTTGATTCTTCTGAAATACTTCCCTCAAATTTATTAAGATTGTCATTGCAGAGTAAAGGATCATTAGAAAAATCAGCATCTATCAATCTTACATCAGGTTTTCGATCATGCCTAGGTTCATTCAACATATTTTCCTCAGATTTGTAAGGAATTTCGTCAGAAGTAAGTGAGTCATTAGGAAAAACCATATCTGGTACAATAAAGTGAGAAAACTGATAAGTCGATTGATTAGAAACTGTTTTCTCGCAAGGATTCTGAGTCTCATTTAACTCTGAACTACTATATGACTCTACACTGTCTTTTGAAATCGTTGATGAGGATAAATAATCATTAGGAACACTGAACTTAATAGAATCAGAATTACAAAACTTAATATTCGTTGCAGCAAGATGAACAGTAGTATTACAAACTGACTGAATATGTCCAACATCATCACATTTAAAGCACTTAGAATTACGAAATTTACATGAATTAAAAGAGTGGAACTTACCACAGAACAAACATTGACCAAACTTGTGCCCATCGTTAATTCACGTAAACACCACACTAACACTTAATGAATTCTACAAATAAACTATTTTACATTTATGAATATATTCATTTGTTCCCTGTAACATTTTTTTTTCATATTTTATCATAGTTATGATACAGTTTCACGTGGATCATCTCGTGCTAATTCTCGAGCAACAAGTGTTTCAAATGGTCGAACTTCTAAAGAACCATAATATCAATCAATTATAAACAAAGATAAATGTTTACAAGACAGTATAAATTACAATAACTATGTATTCATATAAGATATTTGTTTGTGTATTTTTAGTCATCTAAGATATTTTGACCTATACAAATAATTTTGATCTTGTTTCCATAACAACAGTTTATGTTATCGATAATGATCATGAGAATGACTAGGATTTAACTGCTTCTAGATTTAACCTTTTTTTCAAAATAAACGATTGTATGTAACATGACAAACAATTATGCAATTAGAAATCTTCAACATTTCGAAAGTTTCGTATTCACATCTATATCAACTTCATGAAGATTATGTACTTGTTTGTCTATATAATAATTTCTGTTAAAACTTGATTAAACTTGATGTATGAAAAATATAATATTCGTTTCTTTTACTTTGTCTAATATAAATCAATTTTTTGTTGCTGTACACATCCCCCTTTAAGTATTAACTATTATGAATACTACTACTGGTACTACTACTACTACTACTACTGCCACTGATACCAATGCTACCCCTATCGCTACCATTTTATCTAATTATCACCTAATGATAAGTTCATTTATTAGTTTACAACAATCTATGTGTAAGAATATCCCTTTTTTGAATATATCACATTTCATTAAAAATACCCTGATTCCCCTCTTCCACCTCCCCCTCCCCAAAAAAATTTATTTCATTCATCCTTTTATAACTTATTAATTTAGATAATGTTATTTTAAAGAGAGAAATGAATGCAACTCTACCAAAAAAAGGAAAAGATTCTTGTATTTCCAATGAAAAACACATTACGATTAGTTTCATTTATAACTAAGTAACTATAATCAGAATATTTATCAAGTTTATCCATGAATTTGTTTGTTATTCTTTCCTCTTTAACTTTTATTGGTAATTATTACACATCCTTATATACTACTGATTTGAATTATTTAATTAACCAATTAATGAAATGTTTAAATAAATCACTTGATAATTAATTGACTATTTACTTTTTCATTCAGATCAATTTGGTAGACAACGTAAGTGTTCACGTTTACAGATGATTGTAGTGTTCTCCAAGCTAACTAGTTTAATTGTGATCATTGTAAATCATTTAGTGTTTATCAGTAATCATTCATTGTAACATTTTGTCGTTTCTGCTTTACTCAATTATTTACCATCCTGTTGGACAGTTGATTCATGAGTTTGTATGTAATACTTGTTAGCAGAATATGCTAAGCGTTTCGTATATCCCGACAGCGGAAAACGTGTTATAGTTGTATGATTCTGAAGAAGCAACTACCTCCCCCCTCCAGATCCTTATTCTGAGTAACAAATATTCTTAATTATCTCGACATGAAAGCCTGATTGGGTAAATAATTTTCAGAAAGTTACAATCTATCTATGTTATTAAAGTTATTTTAATTGAGTTTTTGATTGAGATCTTGAACCAATTGATGTTAGATCATCACAATTGAAAACCTGGAAGCACTGGACGGCCGTTTCGTCCTATCGCGGGACTCCTCAGCAGTGCGCATCCACGATCCCGCGAGCGGGATTCGAACCCAGGGCCTTCGGTCTCGCGCGCGAACGCTTAACCAACTGGACCACTGAACCGGCATCCAATGGTGATAGTTTCTAACTTGTCGGGTAGAGACAGTTATCTACCTCAGTACAATGGAAGTTGGTCGCGCGATTTCGTGGATTCGTTGATGTTAGAAACTATCATCATTGGATGCCGGTTCAGTGGTCCAGTTGGTTAAGCGTTCGCGCGCGAGACCGAAGGCCCTGGGTTCGAATCCCGCTCGCGGGATCGTGGATGCGCACTGCTGAGGAGTCCCGCGATAGGACGAAACGGCCGTCCAGTGCTTCCAGGTTTTCAATTGTGATGATCTAACATCAATTGGTTCAAGATCTCAATCAAAAACTTAATAATCTCCACAACTCCTATACTAGTATTTTAATTGAATTAATCGAAAGCCTATTACTTGTAATGTAAAGGAGTGAATAAATCAAACTCCAAAGTAGTTCACAAATTAATCAAAGATATTTTTAAGTGTTTTATTTGAACAATCAATCTACTATAAATAATTTTTGTACTGAAACTATATTGTACTATCATATTCTTCGAGTAGATTCTTAAAATAAATTTACGGAATAATCCCGATTAGAGTTATACATTAGATTAAATACTCGTCATGATTAGTTAGGAGAATGGGAAAGTATAAAATTGCAAATCTGTAAGACGAATCTGAAGTGAACGGCACTGGGTTCGAGTTTCAGAGTGAATATCAACTCTGAGATGCAGGTACATCCAGCTGACAAATTCCAAATAGGACGAAACGTGAGTCAAACTGGATTTCACTGCTAGCCACTATACATCAAATTTCAATTATTTAGAAATATTGTCAATATTTCTGTTGGTTTTTATCACTTAAAATAAAAACATGATACATACTACTTATCATTTATGAGATGAAAAGATACTCTTCTTTCTCATTTGATTAAAACTTACAAGGCCTTCACACTTTCAATATATTAGTATATCAGGAATAAGTGCTTCAAAAATGAATTACTTACCTATTCTGACGTACGGTTATATAGTGTATTTATTGAAATTCTTTAACTAATCATATCAGTCATCTGAAAGTAGAGTAGACTAGCTTGTTTGATGATGTTGAGATTCCTATATTACTAATCAGTGTTCAAAATAATGATTAGTCGAAATATCCCGTTCTTAAAAATGTCCTATGCAATTCTGCCCTATACTGTAGAAGACTTGTCTTTTCGAGGTGAGTATGTCCAGCGAATCTATGTGCCTTATCTGTGTTGCATGGAATCTTGACTTAGTATGACTTTGATCCAGTTACCGATGAATATTGAGCCTGGAGTGAACTTATTACTTTTTTCCTTATAAAGACCTCTAAACTGACCTATTACTCTCTATAATAATCGAATGATCTGATCAGTGCTTTGTCAACAGATTGCTGTAGAGATTCTCAACCTAAGATTGGTATAGATTACACAAGCTGATGACTTTACAATGAACACTAGTTCTCAAAACTGATAAAAGTCTAAACTAGACGACACGACACCATATAACACTGGCTTTCATATTATTGCTCAGATATTGAAATGATACCATCTTTAATTAAAGCGTTACATCATGGTTAGTTTAAATCTCCCTATGAGGGTGAACATAAATCTCCGAATTCGTAGATTAGGAAAAACTTTACTAACTCAAAGCACATCAGACAATATATGGGTATTCAGTGAAACTACCAGTGACGAAATATTTTGTCATTTGCCCTGACATGACGGAGAATTAGGAAAGTCCGGCCATATTTCCATTTTGTGTCCGGTCCTATTCTGCAACTCAGTGGCTTAAATCTGTCGCATTGAAATTTCCAGTTCATTGGATGGTCGGTTTGATGAATGGTGTCATCGAGTACGGAATCTGTCATATCTTTCCAAAAGCCAAGCCTGGCACCCAAGCTTGCCTCCTTCAGCATTTGAATTTCCATGCAAAACGGACAATACAAAGTTCTGACCGTTTCTTTGGTACTAATATATACTGTACATTATAGACAGATATCCAAGCACAACTTCGTTCTCCATCTCTCCGTTCAAAGATTATTTCATGTGCGCTGACCCGGAACCATGTAGCACAGACATCCGATTTCGTTAGCGTCGGTGTCTCACTACGGAGCAGAGCATAGGGAGAATTGATTTGTCCTTATTAATAGTTTTCCACATACTTTCTCACTAAAACGCACAGCCAGTGATAAGGAACCGATGTGGGGAATGATGTCTTTTTGTAATCTCCAGCAACTCACGAACAAACTGCAGCACGCATGTAACCAAAGTAGGGTCCTAACATCAAGTCAACAATCTCAATAGATGGTGGTGACCGGTGTGGATGCGCAGATCGAGTGTTTAGGCGCAGAGGAGGATGGCTTGGGTAAAGACTTTATGATAGCTCTAGATTTGTCATTTGAAAAATGTATCTAAGTTTACTGACGTCTTTAAGGCTGAACTTTGCCATTGATAACATTCTGGAAACAACTCTGATCGAAATAAATACTAGTGGTGCGAACCTGCTACGCGGAGAAAGACTTTTCGGTCTCAAATATGCAAATAATATTGTCTTGATGTGCAGTGATACACAAACTTTCTAGATCCCACTTATTAAGTTAGGAATGTCTCTAAGTATGGCGTGTTTTGTACCTTCTAGAAATAGAACATTTCCACAAGACTTGGCAGGTACCTGTGCTTGCAATCACTGCTTTTGGTGAGTTATCACTAGTCGAAAAGTTTGTATCCAAAGAAGCTGAGTTTTGGTGGAGTTACAATCGATAAAATCAATCTACGATTAGCGAAAATCAGAACGACCTACACTCAATTGTCCTGTCTTGATATTAGTTTGAATCTATAAGGTCGAGTTTACGATGCGTTAGTGAGAGCGATTCTGCTCTTTGCTTACAAAACATGGCTTTCCAAAGTTGAGGATCTTCAGTGATTGCATGTTCGACAGTCATTGTCTCCGAAAGATTGCTGACATCCAGTAGCAACTTTATATTAGTAGTACAGAAGTTCGACACTGCGTATTCAAGTGTAGTGACGATGATCCAACTAGTCTCATCATCTTAAAACACCTGCTTCGTAGCTTGGACGTATCTTACAAACGTCATCCTGGCAGATCCCACATCGTGGATTAGTTACTAATGCTCAGACAGAATGGATAAATCAGTAATACTCAACATTGAACCTAGTACATGTGTACATTGATTCAAGTTGTCACACTGCAGCTAGTACAGTGAACTGAAAGCATCAGGAAAAATTCGAAAGTAGTAGATATAGCACCAATATTAATGGTAATAGAAAACACTAAGCATTGAAGATACGATTTGAAAATGAAATCCAAATTAATGAAATAATGAATGTACCTCTACCATTGAGGATGATTTTAAGCCATATCATCTAAAGTCTATAATCATTAGTTACGATAATCAAGCGAACATCAACCAGATAGTCTGCAACTATTTACATAGTTTACAATCTAACTATTCGTGTCCTCATGGAATGCTATCACGTTTCGATTTCATGCTCTATTATACCACAATTTACACATTATAAGTAAATAAATAAAATTAATAAATAAATAACTTCAACCAATCCACGGAATTGCGCCACCGTCAACCATTGTCTTCAGTAAGTCACTATCTTACAACAGACTTAGTTGAACTCCACTGGTCATGACTTTTCACTAAAACTCCAGAAAATACCTCTTGAAACCGCGAGGCGGGATTGTGGATGCGCACTGCTAAGGAGTCTCATACTAGGACGAAACGACCGTCCAGTACATTCAGGTTTTCCATAGTGGTCTAGCTTTAATTGACTCATGAATTCAACTATTTAATTACTAAAATCTCCATAAAACCCCCTTCTGAAAATAAATAACTCAACTGTTACAAATTGGTATTACAAAAAATATATAACAATATTCTTTAAAATTTCTAAGAAATTATCACTAACTAATTATCCTCTTTTTGAGAACTTATTTAAAGAAACCCAAAACAAATATAGAACAATGTAAATAAGAGAACAGACTCAACGATGAATACATGTATGTATGCGTATGTGTGTGCATATGTGTATATATATATATATATATATAAGTTAAAAGCAAGTAACATAAGCCAAAAGATGAAACACTTTGCATAGAATGATATGGATGCAAACCAAAGAAGGAAAAAAACGGCGAGAAACTCTAGAAAGAGAATTCTATTCACAGAGAAACAACATTATTAACAAAATGCATAAAGTTAAGAAAAAAAATACAATAATCGTTGGATTACAGGGGAAAAGAAAGAAAGCAGAATCTGGAATGACAACAACAACAGCAACAAAGAAAACACGATAAACATTTACAGGAACTGGACAACTAGTTGTTTTTTATTATTATTTATAAATGAAGTAATTACATAAATGTATGTCAAA